ATTACTCAGTCTCAAGTATTTCTTCATAGCAGTGTGAGAAGAAACTAATTTATGCTTTATTAACCATATCCACAACTATCTATAGTTAAGCCCCTTTGGCTTCCTCTCTGTCATTGGTGATGAGGGTCCCCTGGCTTTTGGTGATCAAGTGAAGCCATCTGCCCTCTATTGCTTTAGGCCTGCATCGTGACCATGGATGTTAACAAACTCAGCTCTGCATCTTCCTCTCCTGCCAACAGCTCTGCCTGCACAGGAGACTATCACTGAGCTTATTTGTGATGCTTATGAGACCCCTTTCATCAGTACATTCCTGATGACCTTGGTGAATGTTGCATCCTCTGGTGGGTCTTTGGGCTTCACATTATATGTCCACTTCAGCATCCCCACTCCTCAGCCTTCGAATTCCTTCCTCTACCTTTTGACAGGGAAACTCAGAAAGGGCCTTTGTTTTCTCCTGGATTCTGAAGCCACGCTAGCCACAAATCTGTCTCATCTCCATTGGTTTTTTCCAGAATGTTAAATCTCACATCCCAAGAAAGGCTCACCCAGTGAATGAATTCTTGCTTACCCAGTTTTACCTTTCCATCCCCTTGACCAAACACCTTCAGAATGCAATCCCGGCATTAGCCCCCTCACTCCTGCCAGTGCATGTTAGCTAATTCCTGGAGCTCCTATTAGATGTAATCTCTTTCCTTCCTTATCAGACCCAGAATATCTCTAGTCAAGTTATACTGGGATTTATCCAGCATAGTTATCAACCTGGCTGTCAAGAGAGATGAATGTGGTTTCTGAGGGCACACCAGTTGCCTGGTTGAGAAAAGGTCTCTATCATTTTCCTCTACAGAGAAAGTGCTGGCTCTTACTTTGGAGGAGTGGGCCACTTCTACAAGCTTTGAAGTATCAGAAGGGTCTGCTGAGCCAAAATCTTTGAGGTATTTATCTAAATACCTTTATTGTGTGTCAGGGCACTAGATTTTCTGAACAGACCCACCTTGACTGAGCACTTAAACATCTAAAACACTGCAACACTATATCAAATGCTGAGTTTGTTCCTCACCTGTGTGTGTGTGTGTGTGTGTGTGTGTGTGTGTGTGTGTGTATTTTTAATTTATTATGTATCCTCCTCCAACTATAATGCTGGAATGTAACCTGCATCAAGTCACAGACTTTGCTCTGTTTAATGCTCTATTCTTAGCACCTATAACAATGCATTCTGCATTTCAGCCACTCAGTATTTTTATTAAATGTGTAAATTAATGAATTGAAAATCTACAAAGGAGAAGTAAACTATAGTAGATCCATCCTAAGGGATTTTATGCAGCCATCAGAAGCACGTGCAAAAGATTATGTAATAGAGGGAAAGTTTATGTAATAATGTTAAGTGAATAAAACTAGGAGAGGCACAACTACAACTATTCCAGCATGAAAATAAGCTCATATTGGGGAGAAAAAACTGAAAGGAAATATCCTAAAATATTCACAGTAATGTTTGGGAGGTATAATTTGGCCCCTTCATTCTCTGGTTGTGTGTGAAGAAGCCCGAAAGGATCAGGACAGGTCATCTGATTCAGGCTCCCTGTAACCCTGACCGGCTGCCAAAAGGAAAGTTGGACAGGTTTCCTTTTACCAAGGAGTAGCAAAGAGAAGTCAAGGACACCCTAACATTCATCCTAGATTCACAGAGACTATTCTGAGGTTAAAAGGTGGGTTTGGGACAGGGTAGAAACGGAGAATGATAAAATAAATGTTTGCTTCCTTTAGCATATGTTCACTATTATTTCAAAGGCTTCCAAAAATTTGGGCGTCACCTATGTCTGATATGAACCTCAAAGCAGTTCTCCAATGTCCGTAATCTGTCCAGGTCTCAAGTGATAACTCATTATTGAAAGAATCCTCATGAGTCCCCAGTGGGATTACACCAATTTTCTGGTATTCTTGGTATGAGCCATAAGCAAGGATTTGTTCTGAAATAGGCTGGAAGAAGATAATGATAAAATTAATGTATCAATCCATTAAAAGCAAATACTTACTTTGGCTTAGAGAATCTACAGAGGAGTAAAAGACACTATTCTATCTTCAGAACGTTTGCAATTTATCTGAGTAGGTAAAATGCATAGAAATAGAATAGAAAAGACTTGCGATTACTGCCAAATGAGATTTAAAGACATTAAGGGCAATAGTAATTCTGAGAAAGGAGAGGGTTAGGGGCAGGCTTTTCCAAAAAGTTAGAATATGAGCTGGTTATAAATGTTGAGTGAGATTTAGTAAGCAGAAAAGAATAGGCCAGGAGATCCCAATAGGAAAGTGAAAGCCAATATAGGTAAGCAACATAGAGTGCATCTAGGCCCCAAAATAGACTTTTTCTCAAGAACATTTGGAGTAAAGCATTTTAATCAGAATTATATCAACATATTAATTTTATCTAGATAAATGTTTCCTCAATTGGCAATGTTAAACCATAAACAATTTAGCATTTGCTTCCAACCCTAAATTGCATTTCAACTTATTAAAGTATTTTCCTTATGGATTCTTTTCCTTGAACAATTTTAAATGAAGGTTAGATTCACTACCAGTTAGATCTTCTGTCTTTATGAGTCATTACTTCTCTGAAGTCTTCCTAGGTCACATAACGCAGATTAAAAAAAAATATTGGCGGGCACGATGGCTCATGCCCGTAATGGCAGAACTTTGGGAGACCAAGGCAGGCGGATCACCTGGGGTGGGGAGTTTGAGACCACCCTGACCAACATGGAAAAACACTGTCTCTACTAGCTGGGTGTGGGGCACATGCCTGTAATCCCAGCAACTTGGAGCGCTAAGACAGGATAATCACTTGAACCCAGGAGGCAGAGGTTGCAGTGAGCCAAGATTGCGACGTTGCACTCCAGCCTGGCAACAAGAGCGAAACTCTGTCTCAAAATAATAATAATAATAATAATAATCAGTAAGATTTTATTCTTCTGCTAATTTTATTTTAACAAGTGCCATTTTTAGCCACTGTCAGTTTTTTCCTCTGGATTATAAGATCTAATTTTTCTAGAATTAACTTCCAATTGTAGTACTATAATTTCAGAATTAACCAACGAACTATACTTTATGTAATTATTTTTATTTATAATACATTTTACACATGACATTGTTAGCCACCAAAAGGCACTTAGGGACTTTATGGCAAACTCTACACTTAATAATGAAAAGCCAGACCAGACCGTTTTAAAAAACGTTACTGCACCAGATAATGGCACATCCACTCATTCAATTAACATTTATTGAGTATCTTCAGGGTTTTTAGATGTGTGCAATAAAAATGATAAAAGGGTAAAAAAAGTATTTCTACCACTATTATCATTATGAATTATAAAAAAAAATACTGCTAATTCACACATTTCTTAGAAACATGAAAATTTTGTAGGCCATTTCCCTCAGATATCCTATACATTCTCTATTACCCCAATTGTAATGCAAATGTATTATACTGCAAACTTAATTCTTCTATACATTTTTGATGTTTTCTTATATCTTCCAAAGGTCCATGCCACTGTCAAAGCAAAAATCTCACTACAAACAACAGAAACTGACCCTGGCTGGTTTAAAAGGTAAGTGTTTATTAAACGGATATGGGGATAACTCTCAGCACCTTGGAGAGGACTTGAGAGCAGACAGCAGAATGGGTCTAGCCTGGCTGCCCAAGCTATCAGAGGCACCAGCCTCCAGACTAGCTCTGCTGACTCTCCTAGCCTTGGACTCTAGATACCACTTCTAGCACCACTAACTCCTTTGTGCCAGGAGCCAGACTGATATGTTTTGGCTGTGTCCCCACCCAAATCTCATCTTGAATTGTAGCTGCCATAATCTCCAGGTGTTGTGAGAGGGACCCAGTAGGAGGTAATTGAATTATGGGGGTGGGTTTTCCTGTGCTGTTCTTGTGATAGTGAATAAGTCTCAGGAAATCTGCCGGTTTTATAAGGGGCAGTTCCCCTGCACATACTCTCTTGTATGCTGCCATGAAGATAGGCCTTTACTCCTCCTTCATCTTCCACCATGATTGTGAGGTCTCACCAACCATGTGGAACTGTGAGTTTCTTAAACCTCTTTTTCTTTATAAATTACCCAGTCTCAGATATTTCTTCCTAGCATTAGGAAAATGGTCTAATACACAGACTATTGCAGTTGGCATCATCCCCAGAGAAGACTTGCCATGGTCTCTGATTCTTTGCATCCCTAGGTCTCAATTAGAAGCCTGGGGCAAGTGGGTGGATGAGTCTCAGTGGTGAGGCCTGGGTCATAATGCCTGCTTCCTTGCTGCAAGAAATGCCAGGAAAGTGAATGGAACACAGTTCCCACCCAGATTATAAAGGCAGAGGATTTACCCAGCACAGGAAGGGGCTTCATATCATGGCATAACAAAAAGAATAGCAAATGCCCATTAGAGGATGAGAAGATCAGAGACAAAATATCCTGCATTATTCAGCAGAATATCAGATGTGGCCGAGTGACCACAAATCCTGGGCCTTAACTTGGGGGCTGTTCACCATAGAACTAACACATTTACTTCTCTGTATTCCTTGCTGATCATCTGTGCAGGCTCTCAGGTAGTAGGCAAATTATAATATTAACTAAATTATCCAAGGTGAAAGTGCTTACATGATTCTTTTCCAAGGCAGATTTTAGCAACTGCTATAATCAAAATGTTCTTCTCTATATCTAGCAAACTTCCTGAGCACAGCAACTTAATAAAACAGAGAATGGCTTCACGGGTGTTGCTAACTGAATAACACAGAGAATGGCTTCACTGGTGTTGCTGTTAGAGCAATTGTGGTTTTAAGATTTAAATAGACAACTGCAAAATATATATTTTGTTTTTAAATTAAAGTTTTCTCTGAAGAGTTTTTTTGTAACAGTTCTCATTTCAGTGTTTATTTTTTCATGTGGTTGCTAAAAATCACACAGCTTGAATTAATATTGTATAATCATTTATATTTATTTTAAGCATAATTTGATACAAAATGTAATCTTAAGTATTTTATATATAAAACAGATATGGTAAATAGCAATCTTTATGCTAGATAATTTCCATAATACCACATAAGTCAGAGTGATTTTTATACAACTCAAAGATTGCAGAATGCAAAACTTCAGGACTTAGAGATCTTCATAGTCTTATTTTCAATATGACTGAATCTACTGCTGTAAGCCTCCAAAATACAAAATATTTTACAGTAGTGATTAAAGATAACATATGACATTGCAGTAATAACTTTCCAAGTGATTTCCCATGTCACAGGTGCTGGTTTCTTCTGTATGTGTTATTTTTCATTTCCTCTGTCCCAATTGAGATTACTTGTAGTTCAGTCAACCCCCTGAGCCTACTACTTAGCCTCTTCTTCAGATCCCTGAACATACCTATTCTGTTTACAAACATGTGGCCAGGATATTTATATTACAGTCCAAACTGAAAGGTGGGTAACAGCCTAAAGCACATCAAGGGAGAGGGAAAGCAGTGTTTCCCTTCCAGACTACTGAGTCTTCCTAAGCTTTCCACTTGCTTAGTGTTCATCTCATAATTCTACTGAAAGTCAGGCAGCTGGTATGGGGATTGCTAGAACTGAAACCAAATGGCACTCAGAACCAAGATTAGAACTCAGGAACGTTGCACTGTTTATTTAGAGTCATAGAGCATAATGGCATTTATCATTCTTGTGGAGTTTTCTTTCAGTAACTACTGAATGAGAGTGTTTATCTCAACTCTGTATTTCCCAAATGACGCTGTTAATCAGACCCATCTCCATATCCACTGTGAGTGAGACAGGCATAGTTCAGGCCTTCGGGCTTGCCAGGAGGGCAGTAAGCCACTTGTTTTTCTTGGCAGAAATCTTTGTCTGCATGTGGTTCCTTCTCTTCTTTCCTCAGACCACAAGATTCAGATTCCTGGGAGCCTAGGGGACCCTCAGACTTTTCTTCACCTTGGCTGCATTCTGTAGCAAGTACCATATAGTTTAACCCTTCTCTGTTCTTGGTTTCCATCAAAGCAACTGGCATAATGTCATCTGAATTCAAACAAATCACATTGCCATCATCACCTGTGAAAAAATATGACTGTTATTTTAACATCTATTTAATTTTTTATTTGTAATAATATACAAGCTACATCAGAATTATAGCAACACCAACCTTATACACTTGTTCAGCAAACATTTGTGAAGACTCCTAAGTATGGGAAATATAGAGATAAATAAAACACGCTTCTTATCCTTGCAGCTGCTAGTCTAGTAGGGAAGCAGACCAATTACTATAGAAGGTGACATGTACTTTAATAAAGGAATATTTTTAAATGTAGTAGGAGTATAGGGGTGATTAACTCTGCCTTAACAAGTGGAGCAGGTCATGGTCTTTGTGATAGGATTTAATTGGCCCTAAGAGGGCCCTTTTCGTCTGAAGTGTTTACTCTTTTATACCTCCACAGCAACTGAAATATCTACTTTTAACGACTGATTTTTCTAGATTTAGAAATTTTGCTAAATTAATTGCTCAATATAATATTTACTGATGACTGCTACATTCCAAGCCTGTGTTCTAGTTATCAATGGATATACCAATGAAGAAAACAATATTGCCTCTACATTCACCCCAACACATACCCAGGTTTGATTTATTTGTAATGAACTTAAATTGAAATATGGGGAAAATAAAATGATTTCAAAAGACTACAGGAGGTAAAACTGTACCTATTTTTCCCAATAAAAATTTAATGGATCTACCTATTTATTACGTTTAACATCTGAACTACAAAGCTTATTTTGTAAGAGCATATGGACCACATCCCTTCTCCCCAGATCATTTGGCGTGCATTTCCTTTTTCTAGATCTTCCAAATTGCTGAAGAACAAGATAGCAAAGCTCGCAGTCTCTTTGGTGGTATCATCTCATTTTTCTCTTCATTGTTCAAACATCATTATAGCATATTACAAAACACGTGAATAGTTAGACGTGTTGCAAAATTAACTCCCGAATAGAAAATACTTTATCAGATGCCAAGTTTGATTAGTATCAGGGTTATTGAACACCTGTGGAAGTTATTCAACTGTTATGATTATTGCCAATATGCACAAATAGCAATTAGGACACCCATAAGAATAACTTGGTATATGTAATAATAGCAATGTAAAAAATTTTTAAATGTTAGGAAAAAAACAAGATACTTAAGTAGTCCAGTAGTCTGATAATTGGGGAAATTAGGATGTTCTTAACAGATTTAAATAAGTCAGGTTAAAGGAAAATTTAGAATTTCAACAAAAACTTAAATCTACAATGTGGTCTACCTACTCATATAAGCTATTTCATTGTCATACCTTTAATCCATGAAACAGCATATTGGAAAACTTCCTACCAAAATATGGTTTTAATTTTTTAAACTTTTTTGCTTGTTGAGTTGTGTGAAAAATAATATTATATATGAGGCAAATAAATTCTTTTTGAAATTCTGTTGCCATGTGTCAAAGAAAAATCATTAGCTAACTACTTTATTGGTTTATAGTACTTGTAGCAATATTTAGTAACTTGACCCTGGCAAGGTTTCAGCAATTAGTACATCTTCTTGTTGCATAAAGAGCTTACAAGAGACTGCAATAGTAGAGATAGGTTGTTTTGTTTGTTGGTTTTTAAAAATTATTTAATAAGTAGTCTATGGGTAGACCTTAAAGCCGATATCCTGAACAAAGATAGCATGCACTCAGCAACCTCTTTAAGAGAGAAATATTAAAATAAAGACTTCCAAGTAAGAAGGGGTATTTACAGACTAGACATATGCCGGCTGACTGGCTATGTTTAGAACAGCAGAGGAGCATTTAGATTTGTTTCCTGTAGAACTCTCTGGGACTGATGAGGTGATGTTTACACAAATGTTTGGATGAAGTCACTGGGATATTTTTACTAGATGCCCAGATATGTTACTAATCTTCTCTCTCTATCCCCTTTCCACCCCATTAGGTCAGTAGGACCATAGGATAGGCATGGTATGATTGTTCCTTGTTATCCTGAGGGCCCCCACTTTTTTACTTTAAAAGTCCTTCCAAATGCTTTTCTTATCTTCTTATATATCTCCAACAACAATGAAGACAGTCATTTTATTGCTTTGCCAAATATGCCCACCAGTCTGCAAAGCAGTATACTATTATTAAACACATTCTCTTTCATTGAAAAAGTAATTAAGTTTAGGCTTGGCTTGAAGGGTCTATTCCATTATTTTTATCCTTTGCAGATATGCAAATTTTGCCTTTAGTTCAATTTCTTCTCTCTTCCCTGCCTCTCTTGTGCAGTCAAAATCTCATTTAACAATTTAGTGATTTCCACATCTCTTTTCTTTCCTTACCTTCAGGATTTACTTTCCTTGTAAATAGCAGAATAACGATTTCTCTTTTCCTAAAATTATATTTCTGTCATGGCCCAGAAATGCCTGTTGCTTTTTAAATTATAATAGTTTGATGATATTCCCTGTTAAATTTTTCCTGCATCATTACTTTGAATATTTGTTTGCTTCTCTATTGTTATGAATATTATTTAGAATTTTAATTCTTTCCGTCAACAACCTGGTACCTAAATAGATTTGGTATAACCAAAAAAGATCGTGTATATTTTCTAGCAGGTTATAAGTAATCATTTCTTTCATTATACCTAGATGTGCAGAACACTATTGACAACATAACTGGGGAGATTGTGTGGGTCATTTCCTTACCACAGCCATGGCTTTGTGAAGGCTTAGAGGAAAGGCTCAACAATGGAGACAGACTCTATCCCTATTTCAGCAGTATTATTATGAGCAAGTTACCAAACCTGTTTTCTCATCTGTAAAATGGTGATAATAATAATTCCCACTTCGTAAGGCTGTTGTAAAGATTTAATGAGGTAACCTACAGAGCAGAGTGAGTGTAACTTAGAAAAGTACTAAAATAAAATTAGAATAGTAATTCTAATTAAAAGCCTTTCATGGTGGTATTTTATTCTTTATATTGAGTGTGAGCATTGTTTATTACCTATTGCAGCCTCATAGATGAACTAGGCAATGCAAAATGCTGAAAAGATTTTCTCAAGGGTCTGTGAGACTTCTAATAAAATCTAAAGTAAAGGTAAGCTCCCAGGCTTGCTAACACCCATTATGGCAGCCTCTGTGACTTTTATAATATGTCTTTACACATTAGAAGAAAAGGATTCCATGAGCAAACAGTTGAATTTTAAAATACAAGTAAACTGTAACATCTGTGCAAGCCTCTGGATTGCTTTACCTCTCTGCAGCATTTGGTCACTCCCATCTTTGAAAGCCTCTCTCCTCTGGGTTTCCATAACAACCCTCCCTAAGACTTTCCTCTTCCCTTTCTGGCTGCTCCTCCCCATGTCTACCATCTTTGTAAGCCCCTCATAAACTGGCTGCTCTCTGGGGTCCACATACTTGTCACTCTCTCCTTATTTCATATACTCTAATTTAATGACCTCATCTGCACCCAGGACTTCAACAATCTACACTTACAGGACAGACATTTCAACTGAGTATGAACCCATGTCATGACTGTGTCCTGGACTTCTCTACCTAGATATGCAACAGCCAACTCAAACCAAACTCATGCAAACTGTTCCTCTTCCTATGTTTCTCATCTCCAGCAATAGCATTGGTTTTTTACAAACTTTCTCCTTTTTCATCCACTTAGCTGCCAAGTCTGATAGCATTTACTTCTATGGTAACTCTGGACTCTCTTTTCTTCTCTCTAAAACTGTTACCATTCATTAATTCAGTTTTCATTACTTTTCATTCCTTACTTTGATCAGTGTGAACAGTAACCCTCCAATTTTACCACTTCCCACATTCTACCATTATGCATAATAAACTATATGCAGTTCTGGGAATACTTCATTCTCTATTATTCCCTGCCTTTTTACATGCTGCCCCTTCTCTCCTGAAATAGACAGGATGCCTTAGCTTCTTTTTCTCATACCTCTGCTTCTAAGTGGGTCTCAGCTTAGATGTAATCTCCTCCCCATGGCCTTTCTTGACTCACCATCTGCCATAGTGTGGACTTGGCATCCTTCCTCTGGACTCCCACAGAACATGGATTTCCTCTCAATAACAACATAGAATGCTTATTCTCCTGGATTCTGGCAGAAGATATCATACAAAATCATCTTCTCACCAAATTTTTTTTAAAAGCCTATTTGTAATTTTTTAAAATGCTGGAGAAACTACTAGAGAATCTACAGCTCATCAGTTCCTTTAGATTACCTAAATTTAATCTCTGAATCTGGATAGTATATACAATATTTGCAAGTATATAACCAAATCTTTATCTGTGGCTAACACTGGGGAGTGAGATAGAGATGAATTAGGAAACTTAGTTTTTACACTGCTTAAATAATTTTATATTTTTTACAATAAACATGAATTACTTTTACAATAAAGATCTTTAAAATGTAGACACAGTTATAAAATAATACAGCAAGAACAGTTACTGAGATTAATTACTGGAAAAGTTACAAGGAAAACAGAAAAGAATCAGGAGTCATTTTTATGATTGGTGTAAAATAGCATAAAAATTACTTTTAAACTTTTAAAAAGTTCATGATTGTATTTAATTAATAAAGTCTATAAAATTAAATCAAAAACATTTGAGCCTCAGCAGTCAAAAAAATCTGAGCCTTATTTGTTGATTTGAATGATAAGAGCATGCTAATATCCCTGATGAACACAGATGCAAAAATTCTCCACAAAATACTGGTAAGCCAAATCCAAGAGCACACGAAAAAGAGACTATACTATGATCAAGTAAGATTTTTCCCAGGGATGTAGGGATAGTTCAACATATGTGTATATGTTGAATATACATGATCCCTTACATCAACAGAATGAAAGACAAAAACCATATGAACATATCAGCAGATGCAGAAAAAGCATTTGATAAAATTTAGCATCCTTTCTAATAATAAAAGCTCTTATAATAAAAGCTCTCATAATAAAGCTCTCCACAAACTAGGCATAGAAGGAACATATCTCAAAGTAATAAAGGCTATATATGAAAAATTCACAACCAACATTGTAATAAATGGGGAAAATTTGAAGACATCATCTCTAATAATGGCAACAAGATAAGAATGTCCCCTTTCACCACTCTTGTTCAACATAGTACTGTAAGTCCCAGCCAGAGCAACCAGGCAGGGGAAAGAAAACAAAAGGGCATCTAACAAAAGACATTCACAGATTATATGATCTTATATCTAGAAAAATCTAAAGATTCCACCAAAAAACTCTGAGATTTGATAAATAAATCCAATAAAGTTTCAGGACAAAAAAATTATTGTACGAAAGTGCAGTGCATTTCTATATACCAACAATAATGTAGCTGAGAATTAAATCAAGAAGGCAATGCCACTTACAAGAGCCACAAAAAGAATGAAATACTAGGAATATATTAACCAAGGAAATGAAAATTCTCTACAAGGGAAACAACAAAACACTGATGAAAGGAATTACAGGAGGCACAAGCAAATGGAAGACTATTCCATGCTCAAGGATTGGAAGAATCAATATTGTTAAAATGACCATGCTACTCAAAGTAATCTACAGATTCAATGCAATCCCTATAAAAATATCAATGACATTCTTCACAGAAATAGAAAAAAAAAATCCTAAACTTTATATAGAACCACAAAAGACTCAGTTAATGAATAGCCAAAGCTATCCTGAGCAAAAGGAACAAAACTGAAAGAATCACATTACGAGATTCAAATTATACTACAGACCTATAGTAACCAAAACAACATGGTACTGGCATGAAAACCAACATGTAGACCAACAATACATATATACAATTGAATACTATTCATCCACAAAAAAGAACAGAATACAGAACACAGAAATAAATTCACACACCTACAGTGAATTCATTTTCTACAAACATGGCAAGAACATATACTTGGGAAAAGACAATCTTTTCAATAAATACTGCTGGTAAAACTGGATATCCACATGCAGAAGAATAAAACTAGATCCCTATCTCTCTACATCATAAAAATCAAATAAAAATGGATTAAAGATTTAAATCTAAGACTTCAAACCATAAAACTACTACAAGAAAACCCGGGGTAAAATCTCCAGGATATCAATTGGGGCAAAAATTTCTTGAGTAATATCCCACAAATACAGGCAATCAAAGCAAAAATAGACAAATGGGATCACATCAAATTTTAAAAGCTTCTGCACGGTGAAGGAAATAATTAACAAAGTGAGGGACAAGCCACAGAATGTAAGAAAATACTTGCAAACTACCCATCTGACAAGGGTTAACCACCAGAATACATAAGGAGCTCAAATAACTGAATAGGAAAGAAGCTAATAGTCTGATCAAAAAATGGGCAAAATATTTGAATAGATATTTCTAATAAAAAGAAATACAAATGGCAAACAGGCATGTCAAAAAATGCTCAACATCACTGATCATCAGATAAATGCAAACCAAAACTACATTGAGTTATTATCTCAGTCAGGTTAAAATGGCTTACATTGAAAAGAGAGGCAATAACAAATGCCAGTAAGGATGTGGAGAAAGGGAACCCTCATACACTGTTGGTGGGAATGTAAATTAGTACAATCACTATGGAGAACAGTTTGGAGGTTCCTCAAAAAACTGAAAACAGAGCTACCATTTGATTCAACAATATCACTGCTGGGCATGTGCCCAAAAGAAAAGAAATCAGTACATCAAATAGATATCTGCGTGCCTATATTTATTGCAGGACTGTTTACAATAGCTAAGATTTGGAAGCAACGTAAGTGTCCATTTGCAGATAAATGGATAGACAGGGCACAGTGGCTCACGCCTGTAATCCCAGCATTTTGGGAGACTCAGGTGGGTGGATCACTTGAGGTCAGGAGTTCCAGACAAGCCTGGCCAACATGGTGAAACCTGGTCTCTACTAAAAAAAAAATAAATAAAAAAAATAAAAAATAAAAATAAAAATAAAAATTAGCCAGGCATGGTGGCATTTGCCTGTAGTCCCAGCTACTCAGAATGCCAAGGCATTAGAATCATTTGAAACTGAAAGGAAGAGGTTAGAGTGAGCTGAGATCATGCCATTGCTCTCCAGCCTGAGCAACAGAGTGAGACTCTGTCTTAAAAATAAATAAATAAATAAAAAATAAATGGATAAAGAAAATGTGGTATATACATATAGCACAGTGGAGTACTATTCAGCCATAAAAAGAACGGGATCCTTTCATTTGCAAGAATATGGATGGAACTGGAGATCATTATGTTAAGTAAAATAAGCCAGGCACAGAAAGATAAACATCTCATGTTCTTACTTATTTGTGAAATAAAAATATCAAAATGATTGAACCCATGGAGACAGAGAGTAGAAGGATGGTTACCAGAAGCTGGAAAGGGTAGCAAGGGACTGGGTAGGGGAGGTGGGGATGGTTATTGGGTACAAAAAATAGAAAGAATGAATAAGGCTTAATATTTGATAGCATAGTAGGATAACTATAGTCAATAATAATTTAATCGTACATTTTAAAATAACTGAAAGTGAAAAGTTGGTTTGTAACCCAAAGAATAAATGCTTGAGGGAGCAGATACTCCATTCTCCATAATGTGATTATTCCACATTACATGCCTGTATCAAAACATATCATGTACCCGATAAATATATATATCTACTATGTACCCACAAAAGTTAAAAATGAAAAAATTTTTCAAAATACTACAAGGCTATAGTAATCAAACAGCATGGTAACTAGTATAAAAATAAACATAATTTAATGGAACAGAATACAGAATCTAGAAATAAAGTCACATATGTACAGCCAACTGATCTTCAGCAAAGTCAACAAGAACACACACTGGGGAGAAAAACACACCTTTCAATAAATAGTGCTGGAAAAATTGGATTGCCATTTGCAGAAGAATGAAACTGGACTCTTATCTCTCACCATATAAAAAAATTAACTCAAGATAGATGAAAGGCTTAAATGTAAGACACGAAACAATGAAAATACTAGAAGTCCCAAGTGTTCTGCCATTGGCATTCTTAGAATCAGTTCTGTCCATGATGATAGTGAGTAGAAACAATGTGAGACTATGCACAAGGTTTACTCTAATGAGAGTTATGACACATGGTCAAGGCATGTGCAGACCTTTCCAATCTGTCGCTAAGCAGATAGTGTTAAAGAAGTTACATGATCGGACTTTTATGTTCATATAATGGACCCAAAGTCACCCAAAATATGTAGTAAGAAGCATATACAAGTAGATTTCTGTCCATGGGCTTCTTTGTTACATCTGCTATTAGTCAAGTACATCACTCAAGGTGAAGGTCTCATGTGAGGGTAATCTGGCTTCAACATCTGCCACCCACTGATCACCAGGGTTGATTCACCTGGCTACACAAGTGTCCCCTTCCTCCACTATTCCACATGTAGCCCTCCTCAAGTTGAAAAATGGGTTGAAGAGGATGACCTTCCCTGATAGAAGAGGACCATTCTTTAATCAAGGGTGTGCTAGTAGCTCTCTAAGCTCTCAAGGTAAAGGTTTCACCTGCACTGTCAGTTTTATAGTCAATCACAGCAAATAGCAAGAAGCTTAACTTCTGAGAGTTTCTAAGTTGTGGTCCATCTTGCCAGCTTTGTTTGTAAGCAAGGACATCTGCATTTAAATAAGCAAAGGGCCTTTGTTTATTTTTAATACTTTTAATAACAAGAAGTTTTAGATCAACTGAAAGAGAAATAATTTAAATTAATTTTTCTGCAGCCAATTAGACATACATACAGTAAATGTGACTTTAGAAATGAATTGACTACTGTGGTTTAAGTCTATTTACATTCAACTAAAAGGCTTAGTCTGTCCATCATAGCAGAATGCTTCCAGAAGATTATTATCTTAATCACCAAAATACTAAAGTCATAGAATCAGACTAGATCTTAGCAAGACCTGATCCACTACAATAATTACAGCAAAATTTCTCATCAGTTTGAAGCAAAGGATTAGAAATATACCTATCAACATGGATAGATCTTAAAAACATAGTGCTTAATGAAAAAAGAAAAAACACATTCATGCATAAAAAGCAATACACATTTTTCAGGAAAACATGCAAATTAAAAGATATGCACTAAAGACATTAGAATGGTTGCCTGACGGGGAGGGAGGACGTTGAAGAGGTGAGGAATACTGGGATCAAATGGCTAAACAAACAAACAAAACAGGAGCCATGCATAGACCAATGATAATAATGTACCATAAACAAAGAGTCTATAATTAACATTGTACTTGAGGTCCACACTGATGTGTGGGGAGAGAGGAGAAGGAGAACAGACCTTGCAAAAATAGAGTTTAACATATTAATTCTCCTCCTTACTATCTTAGATTATAAATCCAGGGGCCATAGCAGTATCCTTTATTTTTTCAGTTTTTCAATTAAAATTGAAAATTTTTTATTTTTTCAATTAATAATACAAATAATTTTCCAAGAGGAATGCCACAAAAACCTAATTATGATGACAAAGGCGCCAGTATATTATTCTTTCTGCCTAACCTAAAATGCATTCTGTGTACATCCCATTTTAACCTTGTTCAGTTCACAGTAGAGAGAAAACTAGAATATTCTGAAGAATCAAACTTACCTTCAAAGCCTTCATTTATGACTCCATTATTTGCTTCATCTCTGCACTGATAAATACTATTTAAGAAAAAATTTCTGAATAACTGAAGTTGGTCTTGAATTCTATGAAAAGTAGGCCTTTGGTCAGGTTCTTGGGCCCAGCACTGGATCATTAAATTCCACCTAAATATGGAGAAAGATAGAAAAGTAAATAGTGATTGGATATAATTATTGATAACCCAGGTAGGGTCATTTTAGAAAGGAAAGAATTTGATTCATTGCCAGTTTTCCACAATTAATGTAAACAAATCATAACAAAGGCTTTGGTTTCTTATTTAAGAGTCGCTTGTAATGTTACTATGTTTATTAAATAACACATTTCTTTTGAAAAGCTGACATTATTTCAACAGCTATTATTCCAAATAAATAGATGGATAAGTAGATGGTTGAAAAATGTCTACTTAACACATAAAGAAAGTAATAACTATAAAAATTGTTGAAGAGGCTGAGATTTAGAAGATTTACTCCATTCCACACAGATATTTAGTGACAGAACCAGAGGCAGAAATCAGATTTTATGCCAGTGCTTTTATTGCTCATGATACAGTCAGGTTAAGTAAGAGGTTGAGTTTCCCAGACATTCATAGCTGGTTAATTAAACATTATCTTTTCCTTAATGGTTGTCCAAGAAATATCTGTGCAACACTCTTAAGTAGTATTCATTAATTTACTCAGCAAAGATTTTGGACACTTACTTTATGCCAGCAGTACATCAGGAGCTAGGGACATGGTCATGTGACTTTCGTCCTCACAGATGGTATGTATAGTAATTATAAGAGAAAGGCAAAATTCATCACACCTCAACTCATATGAGCAGAAAAATTGTGACTCTTTTGTGTTGTTTATAATTAACTAGGTCTTTTTCAGAGTCCCTACTTAGCAGAAGAAAAGTAACTTCATTTAGTACAATGTTGTTTATAACTTAGTCCCATTATTTTAAGCAATCTGTTTAAGTAATATTCCATCTTTTCTGGATAGTAACCCAAGCTTTCTTATTTTCAGGCCATCCCCACTCCCTCTGCCTTCCTTTCTAAGGTAGTGTCAGGATATAGGTTGGGTATGAGGCTTATGTGACTTCTAGAGGCACAGTGAAGAATCCTTTGAACCCCACTGTGCTCTCCTGATCTTTGCTAGTTTCAGTGGCTAATCCAGAATTGAACAAGGAGTGTTTGATCTGATCCAGCCTAGGCAGCAGCCCCTATTGATAGTCTATGAATTCTTTACCTATTCTTTTGATGTTTCCCCACTAAAGTGGTCCACCCTGGTCTCTCTCTAGCTGTGGGATTCTCAGACACTCTCAAGTCCTGCACATGCTCTCAAGGCCCAGGGAATCCATTCCCATTTCTGCTGTATGCCCACAGGGTGCTTCTTGGCAGAATCTCTAGCTCACAATACAGGAAACAAAGGAAGTTTGGAAGGATCAGCTAGACCTGTCTGTACAAGTGCTGGGTCTCTCACACAAAAGTGAAAGCCCTCCAGTCAATGATCTCCTTGTAATTCTTCCAAACTAGGGGTGAGTGAGCAGTTGGCCTTGGTGGTACCCATATCTTCTAATTGAAACCTGCAGAGGAGGTTTCTGAACCCAGATATCCAGTATCTCACCCTCCCACCTCTGTCAAGTTCTTTCTTTCTACACTTCTTCAGGGCTTGGAAGAAATGAGGACACTATCCACTGCATTTTTTTATTTGACTACCTTATATAAAATTGTATGTTTTTATACATACAATTAAACCTAGTACTTAAAACGTTAACAAGGAGCCAAAGGACTTTAGAGAGCATCTTTAGCATATAGATGCTCTCTATATTCCAAACCTGGTTTTCAAGTGTACTGACTTCTTATAAACAGGTACTTGCTCTCTTTTTTGACTTGCTGGAGCTATATGGCAGATCAGAATCAGGGAGAGACAATTGATAAAGAAACAGATTGGGAGGTACTTAAAACATTAGTACTACTATATGAATAAATATACAATTACAAAGTATAAGTTTTTGCAAAGTAATAATAAAAACAAACATGAATTCTAATAAGCATGAACCAGTTTTGGAAAGTTGCTTACAGAAGGCCCCTCTGAAGAGGTGACATTTAAGCCAAAGAACTTCGTTGGAAAATAAGATGCTAGTCATGGGAATAGGGTGTGGATGGGAGTCAGGGAACACACTACAAGTGGGGAAAGCATGTGTAAAGTCCTAAATTTGGAAAGAGCTTGGTACATTTTAGAACCTGAAAGGAAGCCAGTGTCGCTAAAGTGCAGTCACTGAGGGGAAAGGATGAGATGAGATCAAAGGAGGAAAGCGAGATCATGCAGGTCTTACAGGGTAGGAAAGGAGTTGGATTTTACAACACTACAAGGAGAAGCTTTTCAAGATTTTTTAAGCAGACATTTTTTGAAGGATTACTCTAGCAGATATGTGGACAATAAGTCATAAAGAGGCAGGTTGGAAGCTATTAAAGAAGACTAGGTGAGAGATAATGATAGTGTGGACTAAGGTAATGCCTATGGAGCTAGAACAAGATTATAACCACTAGATAACAGTAGCCCAGAAATTACTATAGGTATTGTATTTAAAATAGCCAGTATCCATTTTGGGAATTATAATGCAATCTCCATTCCATTCCAATGTAGCATGCAAACTCCACTTCCATTTATTTCACTTCTTGACAAGCACCTCAGGTCACAGTTGATACTCTGTATCAGAATAAATGATATCAGGGAAAACTAATACTGGACTGTTTCAATGTTTTTGTTTTAAACTGATGACTTCACATGTATTACAAAGAATTTACATACTGTGTATACAATACCAAACTTGGCTCTATTTTTTTAAAATGAAAATCATATCTGAGAAATAACCAAAAGACAACCTAATCTTTTACATATTTCTCTATAACCTTTTATAGAAATAGGAATGATGCAAAGATGTATCATTTAGAAATAGGAATGATACAAAGATGTCAATGAAGGATCATTAGACTTTGAAATGAGATATTATTACCAATGTCAGATCACTGAATTTAAAAAACAGAGTTTTAATGATTTTTTTTTTTTTTTTTTTTTTTGAGATGGAGTTTCGCTCTTGGTACCCAGGCTGGAGTGCAATGGCACGATCTCGGCTCACCGCAACCTCCGCCTCCTGGGTTCAGGCAATTCTCCTGCCTCAGCCTCCTGAGTAGCTGGGATTACAGGCACGTGCCACCATGCCCAGCTAATTTTTTGCATTTTTAGTAGAGACAGGGTTTCACCATGTTGACCAGGATGGTCTCGATCTCTCGACCTCGTGATCCACCCGCCTCGGCCTCCCAAAGTGCTGGGATTACAGGCTTGAGCCACCGCGCCCGGCCTGAGTTTTAATGGTTAATCTAAGGGTTGTCCTCAGAGTTGAGAGGAAAAAATGAAGTATTATAATTCTCCATAGGAAGCATTTTATTTTTGAAAATAAAGCTGTGATTCAAAAATATTGCCAAGGCACATAGACAGAATCTCTCAAGGTTGATCATATTTCAGTTAAGAGGCTTTTACAGTTGTCCTTCCTTATCAGTTTTGCTTTCTATGGTTTCAGTTAGTTGAGGTCAACCACCCAAAAAATATTAAATGAAAAATTCCAGAAATAAACAATTCATAAGTTTTAAATTGTATTCCATTCTGAATAGTGTAATGAAACATGAACCTGAAACATGAAACTATCCCTTTGTCCAGCATATCTATGCTGTATATGCCACCTACTCATTAGTTGACTAGGTTGTCAGATCAAGAAAACATAGTATATATAAGGTTGGGTACTGATATGATTTGGCTCTGTGTCCCCATCGAACCTCATGTCAAACTGTATCACCAGTGTTGAAGGGAGGGCCTCTTGGGAGGTGACTGAATCATGGGGGCAGATGTCCACTGCTGCTTTGGTGATAGAGTTCTTATGAGATCCGGTGGTTTGGAAGTGTGTAGCATCTACTTCTTTCTTCCTCCTGCTCCCTCTCTTCCTCCTGTTCTGGCCATGTGAAAGACTGTGCCTTCTTCCCCCTCTGCCATGATTGTAAGTTTCCTGAGGCCTCCCAAGCCATGCTTCCTGTAGAGCCTGTGAAACCACAAGCCAATTAAACCTCTTTTCTTTATAGATTACCCAGTTCTCTTTATAAATTACCCAGTTTCTTTATAAGTTACCAGTTCCTGAAAGCAGTGTGAGAATAAACTAATACAGGTATTATTCTTGGTTTCAGGCATCCAATGGGGGCCTTGGAATATATCCCTCACAAAAAATCGCCATTGACATACTTATTTGTAACCTGCTTTATTCTGCAAAAAAAAAAAAAATCAAGATCCTTAATGGAGATTATTTAGGAGAGAAAAAAAAGGAAGAAGGAAGAGGAGGTCAGGGAGAAGGAAGGCGGGGGGAGAAAGAAACCATCCTTATAGCTGCCATCTAGCCACTTGCATATCACCCACTTATTCTGTCTCCAAAAGTTCAGCCTCTTGTTTAAATTGTGAAATCCACTTAAGCAGAAATTCCTAATTTTTTCATTTATGCAGGCTCTAATTGACGTTGAATCCAATCATTACTCTCTACTTAATTTTCTGATAACAAACACATTTGACCTGTTAATATATAAAACATTTCTGTTCCATGATCCAGGGATAAATAAGGACTAAAAAAAGAGGGGCTATATAAAAATAGTCATCTAAAAGTAAAGAATAAAATTCATGTTCTCAAACAGCAATAAATTGGCAGTGGAATGAAATGAAGAGCTTTTAATAATCCTAAAAAGGTTATTCCTTTTGTCTTTTAAGTAAATTAACAATGAAAACTATCTTGGCATAGAGGATCTTCCCTTCCAAATACTCCCTTGTCACCATTCTATATCATGCAGTATATGCTTTCACCAAGTTATAGTTACAAATATTCAAACATATTACTCTAAACAAATTTGCAGTTCCTTCAAGTTTGTTAAAATTTACCTGGGCTGTTTGTTATGACTCCAGAAAAATACTCGTTATACTTGAAGTATCTCATTTGACTAAGTAGAGGTTCCAATTCCTCCACTCACCATGCAAATCCCTTAACAACTCTTTTCCTCAACTTTTTTTTTCAAAATAGCGCAGGACTCATTGGCTATATCCAGTGTTAGCCTCTATGAATATTGAAGACTTTGAATTCACAAGGCAATTGAATTTTAGTACATGAAAACGCCATAGTGTTTTTCAGTATTAAAGGAAAAAGTTTCTACAGATATTTATACAAAGTACATAAAATACAGACATTAAGATTTTCCTTACTCATTATACCTAACCTGGAGACACCCAATTAGTCTCTAGGTGTACATATTTTTTAAGATGTAAAAATAAGATGGTGAAACTCTGTGTTCTCCCGTGGTTGCTTCTTACAACCAAGGGACTCTCCAGTAATTCCAGTTGCCTCTGTAATATATCTGTTATAAAACCCCAAAAAGCTCTCACTTGAAGTAGATTGCCCTTTGATCCTATTTCTTCTCAGGAGTGGTGTAGTTGTTGTGCAAACTAAAAACTGAAGAGAATCTTGATGGCTGGGCTTTCTACCGTACATCCCAGGCTATGGAGAGAAGGGCAGGAATGCTCTGAACCTAGCATTCCATTAATAGCTGAGTACAGCATAGCTATCTGTGGGCTCACCTGACCTGGAGTGCATCCAGGTGCTGAGTATTTAAGCAGTGAATGGAAGATGTAGCAAGGCTCAGTGCAGACTTTCAAACCCCTAAGCTGGGCCTGTGATCTCAGAAAACTGCTTCAAATAAATACCAGTTCCCTCTGTAGTCTAAGGAGAGTAGTTAATCTTTATCATGACAACTTAAGGCCATGACCAGATTGAATGGCATTGCTGAGATCTCCATTTCCTAGCCCAGCTTGTTTTCCTGGTTGGCAATGGATCTTTAACCCTTCCCAGGGCTTGTCAGAGTCCTGCAGCATTTAGAGGGCTCACTGTATGGCTTATTTGTATTAATGATGTTCAGATGGACTTCAAAACCACCAATGGAAAATTTTCATTTCAAATAAACTATATTTTTAATAAAACAAGGGCAACCCAATCAATAAATTATTTAAGATAAAACTATAGAATATTTTATTTTTCCACTCATAATCAGGAATACTTTTCTAGCACTTCTTCCTCCTTCTAGTTGCATTTTTGATACCTTTAGATTGAGCAAAGTTCAACATGTCTACATTTTGCTGCTCCACAATACAGCAATTTGCTATTAATCACCCTGCCCCAAACAAAATCATCAAACGTATCAGTCAAAATTAATAGTTTAGTGATCAGTTTCTAAGGAGCCTATCCAAAAATATTGCATGATTGTGATGAGGCACGTTAACCCTTGGGGAGAGAGTAGAATAAGCCAGATAACATTCTAACAGCATTAGGAAAATTTTGTGCAACTGAAATTCTGGCAAAAATTCTGAGTGTTTGACATGTAAGAGATGCAAAACAGTGACTAGTTTGTAATTATTTAGTTAAAATTTATTTTGTATTTAGGTATTCTGGTCTTTTTTCTTAAGCCCTACATGAAAGATATTCAAATTTTGTATAATTAATTATCCTTAATTTATATAATTTTCCCCAAAATAATTATGAATCATTTTTAGGCACTATTTCCAAATTTGGTCAGATGTGTGTGCATCTGATCTTCCTATAAATATCCCGGAGACTATTAAGCTAAATGAGAACAAGCAGTGATTCTAATCGTCTTCTAGCTGGAAGATTTAAATCACACAAAAACATTCACCAGTACAACATCCAACTAAGGTGCCCAGCTCTTAATCATCTTTTGGCTCAAGTCTGAATAATCCTCTAAATAACACAGCATAGTCAAGGCAGTACAACCATGGTGTGCATCCGCATACTGCTAATTCCTTTTGCACTTGTCTGTACCACACAGTTTAGCACTTTATTACATGTTGGCTTGGCATCCAACTGCTCCGTGTGGGTGTCTTTTCATTCAAAATACATTCTAAGATGCTGAAGAGCTGGGTCCCTGGTTTAAACACCTCTGTAATCCATACAATCCTTGGCATGCTGTAGTGCACGTACAGAGTTCATACTTCTTTGCTCTTTTAGAAACTTCTTGGATAAGACAATTCTTGGAAAAAGTTGTCAAGACTCAATATTTCTGCTGAGATTTTCCACAAGGAGGCAGATTAATACTCAGAATAAAAATTTTTCCTTATAATTTGATTCAAAGTCACTCGCTCTTCTGAGAAATCACTATTAGAATTCAATAATGGCCAGGATTCACTGAAGTTACAATACTTAGTCATTTTTTTAAGCTCATAAACAGATCATAACCTGTATAACTTTTAGTAATACTATTTCCTACCAGTCAATATCAGCTATATCAACAAAGGCAATCCAACTTTTAAACAATATGTTCCTATTTAGTAGAATCTTTTAATATGTAGATTAAGATACTATTCAAATCAGATCTCCCAAAATAAAAGGTGTATGTGTGTGTATACTCTCTCTCTGTCTCTCTCACACACACAGAGTGCTTTTATTTATTAGAATTCACTTAACCAGAAGTATAAATATATTATACTCTCCAAAATTTTGTTTCTCAGTGAAATATCATGTGTATATACAAATAAAAAGAAAACATAATCTATTCATAAACTGACACAATGAATTTATATTTATGTGGAGTATAGAAATATATAAGTTCCAATTTTTATTTTAACAATTTAACAAGCTATACCAAGAGACCAAAGATTGTATGTGCACATGTTTTTGTTTTAGAGGTGCTTATGGTAACATAATTAACTTACAGATCATCAGGACAATTTCTTGGTGGCTCCAGTCTCCCTCCTGTTTGCACATAGTTTAAAACATCAAGATTGGAATGAGCTGGATAAGGCTGATGACCAAGAGTTAAAATCTCCCAAATCAGAATTCCAAAAGACCTAAGAATATTAGAGGGTTTGCTTTAATTATACTTATTACAAACACCAGGTTTACAGTAGTTTCTCCAACAACATTTTTTCCTGGGGCTAGCAGGATCTACTTTGTTGGGGTATTATTGGCCTCATAAAAGGCAAATGGGAGATATAAAAGCAGGCTGACCTTAAGAAAAAGTAGAACAAGACACTGCATTTGAGAAAATACTTCAAAGGTGATAGGGTGATAGGAAGGCTTGGAGGAGGCACATGTGTGCACACACACAGAGACACAGACTCATATGCATGCTCACATATATGCACATCCACACACACATACACACATGCACACACAGAAACAGACACACAGGCACATGCATGCACACACAGAAACACATGCACACACACATGCATGCACACATATATACATACACGTATACACACACTCATAGACACACTCTCCCTGTCTGAAACCCCACTTTAGGTCTCCATTATCTTAGACTTTCAGAACATCAACATGCAGACACACATAAGGGTGAGCACAAAAGCATTTCAGCATTTTCCTCCTAAGTTTGCACGTGATACAGTGCCAGTAAACATTGAGAGGGAAGGCATAACTAAAAATTGGCAGCACTGAGACATTTTGTTTCATCCCTAATTTTGCCTAGGGCCAGCCCAACTTAAAAGTCATTGAATAAACCTTTACATTTTGAGCTGTTCCATTCAAAAGTTGGGAGTCAACAAACAAAAATAAGAAGTGTTATTCAAATAATGAAGAGATGTCCAAATCTCCCCAGTGTCCTGATCTTTTTGAAATCCATGATTTAAAATTTACAATAAATTAATGACCAAACAGTCCCAAATAGTAGTCATTTGGGCACACACTTGGACATTAATTCCTAAGTACTAATTCCTATTAGTCATATACTTTTTCAACTTTGGCATGTAATAAAATATTTAAATTAAATATATCTATTTCATAACAAAACTAATTCAGGGAGAAGCATGAACTACTGAGGCCCAGGAATAGTCCTACCATGACCACCAACTCTCACTTTAGCTTGAGGCAAATCACTTAATCTCTCTGATCATCTGTTTTCTCACATTAAAAAAGCAAGATTAGATGCCCTTTTAAAATCCCTTCTAAGATCTGATGATTCTGTCAGCATTACTCTGTGTCTCATTAAACTTACCATACATCAGAGTGAGTAGTGAAGATTCCATCCATCAAACTTTCTGGAGCCATCCACCGAACAGGGAGCAGGCCTTCCCCTCTCTTTCTGTAGTAATCATTTTTATAGATGTCCCTGGCAAGTCCAAAGTCCCCAATCTTCACTGTCCGTGGACTGGTATAGTCTTTCACAGAAACAAGGCAATTTCGAGCTGCCAGATCCCTATGGCAGAAGTTATATTTAATAAAATAATAACAATAACATTCCAAAAATCAAACAGACAACCCTAGTAGGTCTGTAAAGAAGAGAGGCTTTTTTTTTCTTTAAGTTTTGGGATACATGTGCTGAGCATGATATTTGCTACATAGGTATACATGTGCCATGGTAGTTTGCTGCACCTATCAACCCGTCATCTAGATTTAAAGCCCCACATGTATTAGATATTGGTCCTAAGTTCTCCCTCTCCTTGCCCTCCACCCATGACAGGCCCTGGTGTGTGATATCCTCTCCCTGAGTCCATGTGTTCTCATTGTTCAACTCCCATTTATGAGTGAAAACATGGGGTGTTTGGTTTTCTGTTCCTGTGTTAGTTTGCTGAAGATAATGGTTTCTAGCTTCATCCATGTTCCTGCAAAGGATATGAACTCTTTTGTTATTTATGGCTACATAGTATTCCATAGTGTATATGTGCCACATTATCTTTATCCAGTCTATCACTGATGGGCATTTGGGTTGGTTACAAGTCTTTACTATTGCAAATAGTGCTGCAATAAACACATATGCATGTGTCTTTATAGTAGAATGATTTATAAAAGAGATGTTTTATTAAAATTATTGCTATTTTGAAGGAATTAAAATGTTTAATTATCATGTGTGCTTTCCCACACTACAAGTAACTACTGTGCCAATATCCATAATAACCCTGTATCCAGAAGGGGATTGTACCTGTGAATGAAGTGCATCTGCTCCAAGTAGACACAGCCTTTTGAAATATCTACACACAGGTCTATGAGGTCAACCAAGGTGAGCAAAGGACCATAAAACTGTAAGAAATGAAGAAAAAATTACAGGTGGTTTTCTAGTTTGCATGAAATATATACATGTATGTGTGAATATAAGTAAATACATGTATATGCTTATACATGTATGTATCTGATACTTTAAAGGGATTTTTAGTTATAGTTATAAGAATTCAAACATAGAGGAAAACAAGCTTGCGTTTTCTATGCAAATATATATAAGTAAATGATGGCTATGTTTAGGAAGTAGAGGCAATATGGAATTTTCATTAGAGAGACCTCCAGGTGTCAGGTCAGACAGATCAAGATGTGAAACCTAGTTCTGCTACTTACTAGTTGTGTGAACTTGCTAAAGTTACTTAACTCACTAAGCAAATTTCTCATATGTAAAATGGGCAATAATACTGACCTTGCAAGACTCAAGTAAGTTACATAATATGGTTGGTAGAACCCAAGCACTTAACAGTTACTGCTCTCATAAGTAGTAATAATGATCACTTATTTAGTGCTAGTTCGTTTAATTACTGACCCAATGGCACTCTGTTTTGCCAGTCATGACAATGGGCTTGTTTCTCATACAAGCCCCATATAAATTGTTAGCAATATCCTATTTCAAGGTTCCAAATTACTCCTCTCATCTAAGAGAGCCAGTACAAATATACACTTGAGCCTGTACTGGTTGCAATGATTTCTAGGTGAAAAAAAAGCCAGTCGAAGTTTTTATTAGTACCATATGAGAAAATTCAAAGTTCCTGCCCTGAAGCTGTATTCCTACACTGTCTGTCTCTTACCATTGCCCTGCAATTACCCTGGTTCAAGCCTTTGTCATCCCTAATCTGATAGATTCAAAAATTTCCCATGTCTGCCTCCTTTGCTTTCATTAGCTTGCTTTGTTGTGACCCACTTCCTGTGGAGTCTGTTATAAATTCCTGAACATAGCCTCCACAGCACCCTCAGGCTGCACCCGCCTCTCTCCAAGTCCACAAATTTCTGATTGTTTCTCCTTTCTCAATCTGTGCTTCAGTTACGCTGGCCCACTTGCAGTTCCTTATACCTACTCTGCATTTCTCAGCCTGTCTTCTTTATTCCTGCTATCATTTTCTTCTCCTGGAATGCCCTCCTGTTTCCTGATTTCTATCCGCAGCCTTAGCTGAGTATCTCAAATGATTCCCAACCTCCAAGTTCCTCAATTTCTTAAAAACAAATGTTCTTAAGTGCTGTTCTCCCTACCTCCCCTGAGAAGTTTATCTCTTGCCCCCAAACTGGGAAGAATCCTGATGTTCTGGGCTCACTATTGCTGTGATCCTGCTCAACCACACCTACAGCTAATAACTAGGCTCTGACCTTATTCCCAAATCAATGCCTCTCCAACATTATTCAGGTCCACTGTCTCATTGCCTGTATCTGAGTGTCTGCTGGATGTCTTGAATGGTTCACTGGTTCCTGTGTAAATGGAACCCTCCTCTGCTCTTGGCAAAAGCTACTCTATCTGTGAAGACTTTCTCTCGGCCTGGGGTCTTACTCCCAAATTTCATTCTGGTGGCTAGTGCCCTGTTCCCTGCTGACAGATTTTCATAATGCTGCCTGCCTGCATGCCTGCTTGGATCTCTGACTATTCCTTCCTTCTGATATCCCATGTGTCAACCTGTTGGGATACCTCATCACTCCATGTTGGGTTTCCTTGACTGTAGATGTTACCCTGGACTTACCATCTGTTATCTCTTGTTAAACACTTCAGACATATTAAACTTTGATTTCAGTCTATCCCTAGTCAAAGCCTTTCATAACTCAGTGGGAAAGTATAGTTCAGCTACTCTTCTACTTCCTGCTTTGGTTGTGTCTTAATCAAAAGACCTCTTCCATGAAGCCCCTCAGCTTTCCTCAGTTGAAAATCATGTCTCCTTCCTCTGGGCTTCTGCAGTATATTCTCCACTGCACTCTAATGAGTCCACCTATTTCCTACTTTAAGTGGATTATTTATGTGTGACTTAACATCTCTACCATGCAGCAAGTCCCTTACAAGAGCCACATCCTTCACTGCTGTGTAGTAAACACCCAACAAAAATTTGGTGAACTGAATTTTATCTGGAAGGCAGCATATTTACTGAATACTTGTATTTGACAGTTTTTTGTTTGTTTGTTTTGATTTTTTCTATCTTAATACAATCCTTTTAACAAAAGTTAAGGCCAGGTGTGCTAGCTTATACCTGTAATCTCAGCAGTTTGGGGAGCCAAAGCAGGCAGATCACTTAAGGCCAGGAGTTTGAGACCAGCCTGGCCAACACGGTGAAACCTCACTTCTACTAAATATATATATAAAAATACACACACACACACACACACACACACACACACACACACACACATACAAAATTGTCTGGGCATGGTAGCACATGTCTGTAGTCCCAGCTTCTCAGGAGGCTGAGGCAGGAGAATTGTTTGAACCTGGGAGGCAGAGGTTGCAGTTAGCCGAGATCATGCCACTGTACTTCAACTTCGGCAAGTTGAAGTACAAGCAAGACTCTGTCTCAAAAAAAAAAAAAAAGAAAAAAGTGACAAGGAGACTTAGGAAGTTTTTGATTAAATATTCCGTTTGTTGATGAAACTGAATCCTCAAAGCAAAGGACTAGACTAAGCTTTCTGGGCCTAGTTGCAGTCAATTCTTAGGCATTCAACCCAACTAAACAGTCCTTGAATGCAGGGAGAGAGAAAAGGGCTTCTGCTGGTTCTTCTGGTATGGTGCCTCTGAGCATCCCACGTAGAGAGATGCTGGCCTCACATGAACTCAGCTTGAGGGTGAGCATTTGTGGTGGCTCCCGTAGGCCTCAGGCCCTCATTCTGCCTCAGCACCTAATGACATCTCTATGGTTGCAGCGATGGAGACGAAGCCCTGGAAGCTGTCTTTGGCAGCCACCAGGAAAACCTGCAGAACAACTGGAGTGCATTTGAGAAGCAATCTTTATAAACATCAGGATCCTGGATGAATCAAAATGATTTGGAAAAAATAGATCCATGTGTTTTTCAGTCCATCCTTTTTTATCCTCTCTTCTCTTTTCTTACCCCCAGCCCCACCACAAAATAAGAAAATCCACAGATTAAATTTATTGTTCAGATGAGAGATTGAATGTGTGCATGTTTAGTTCCACTCTTTCCCCAAACCCTACTAATATAGCAGTGCAGGGAAAGTTTTTATAATTTCACAAGGGCAAATCAAATGTCAGGAGAACTGACATGGCAGACAAAGCATTCTAGAAGAGGGAAAGCAAACGGAATGGTAATTTAGCAGAGCCAAGAGAGATGAAAGCTGACTGCCTACAGAAAATAGAGGCAAGAATTGAGCTGTTTTTCACTATGGAACTCCATAAAGTCTTGAGAATGGGAGGCAGCAGGCATCCCTGAACACAGGGATGAGAAGAAGGACTGAAAGCAAGAGGAATGTTTAGGTTATTTAAGGCCTAACTAAATCATAGATTCCTCTACCACAGATGAAGTCTTTTGTCTACAGGAAACAAACAGACAACAGAAATCTGAACCAAAATAACTCCAAGTTCAGAGATACTACCAGTCACACTGAGGCACTGTACTGAAATGGGGAGAATTAAAATTAAGTGAGAGTCCACATACTGAGCCTTGAGACCTCCAGCCCACTCTAAACGCCCTGAGTGGATGTAGCAGGCATTTACTGCCCAGAGAAGAAATGAGCAATTTCCCCCCAGGTTAAACTGGCATATGTCAGGGAAGAGATCCAGTTACTGACACTGGAGGACCCCCAGGGGAAGAGCAGGGTTCCACCTAACACCACAAGGAAGCTTCTCTGGACATGTAGCTTGCTTGGACCATCATTTTGTAAGGCTCAGGATTAAATATGAAACCAGCCAAGAATACTGAACATTTGAGAAAGATTTTCACATCTAATCAGATTCCAAAACAAAGATGAACAAGGAAGCCAAGACAATTCAGGAAGCAAATTAACACTTTTTGAAAAAGATAATTAATATCCTAAAGAAAGATGAGTACAATTTTGCATCTGTGAACAAAACCAGAATACTATTTTAAAATGCAGTCAAAATACAAACAAGTCTGTGAAGAATTAAAATATATTAACAAAAATTTTTAATTCTACAAAAAGATCAGGGGACAAAGTTGAGGAAATCTATCAAAATCGAAAGCAAAATGACAAAAGCTAGAAAATAGGAGAGAGCAGGTAATAGAATAAGATGAAACAAAGCAGTCCATTATAACAGGATTCCTAGAACAGAGAAATAGAGGGAATAAGGAATTTTATTCATTATCAAAGAAACAATGCAAAAAAAAAAATCCTGGAACTGAAGGGAATGATTAGCAAAGTAACTGTTACTTTTCTTATAAGTACTCTTATAAGTGAACAGTACCACAGATAAAACTTTCCTCAGATTTTTGAAGGGGAGGAGGCAAAAAACAGACTACTGATAATAAGTTCAGGAATCAAAATGGCATAAAAATTCTTATTGGCAATTGTAGAAGCTAGGAATCAAAGATGTAATGGCTTTATCTGTTAGATGAAGAGTTTTCCAGCCAGGCGCAGTGGCTCACGCCTGTAATCCCAACACTTTGGGAGGATGAGATGGGTGGATCATGAGGTCAAGAGTTTAAGACCAGCCTGGCCAAGATGGTGAAACCCCATCTCTACCAAAATACAAAAATTAGCCAGATACTTGTAGTCCCAGCTACTTGGGAGATTGAGGCAGGAGGATTGCTCGAACCTGGGAGGCAAAGGTTGCAGTGAGCCGAGATTGCACCACTGCACTCCAGCCTAAGCAACAGAGCAATACTCTATCTAAAAAAAAAAAAAAAAAAAGTAGCCATTCAATCACTTTCTGTCACAGGAAATTGTTTGAACCAGGGAGGAGGAGGTTGCAGTGAGCCAAAATCATGCCACTGCACTCCAGCCTGGGCAACAGGGTAACAAGACTTTGTCACAGAAAAAAAAAAAAAAAAGGTTTCAATTTAAAAGTCCAGTCAAATTATCAACGAAGTGTGAGGGGAAAAATAAAGGACATTTTCTCAGAAATTTTTTGAAAAAGGAGATTTTTGCTGCACAAGCATACTTTCTCATACTTTCTCTTTTCTAAAACAAATAGACAAAAAGTCATGAGATACAAGGAAAAAGCCCCACATGGACAAGAGTTGAGGGAAATTCCCAGGGTAAATGTGAAGGAAACCCCTACAAGAGCAGCTGTGTAGTTACCCTAGAGCACAAGTATGCACACTGTTTCCAGGAAGGAAGTGTCCAAGAAAAAATTAAGTACTGGATAATCTGATATTGTTAGCCATATTGAGAAAAGTGTTACAATTCAGTCGAGGAGTTTACATATATAAAAAATCAAAATTTTAAAAAAAGAGGTATTTATTAAACTAGCCCAAGGAAAAAAACCTTACAATAATAACATTTGGGTAATTCAACTCCAAAAAATAATAACTAAGTAGTTCTAATAATGCAAACCTGGAAGGATGGTTTATCTGCAAACTGTGATAACTGTTGGAAGATGGGGCAAGCAAAGTTTTCCTGCGTGTAGCATGGTGGGGGTTGGACAAGTATATTATGAGGATGTCTAAAAGAGTTAAATCCTCTTCTTCCATAGTGGGCAATTGACCCTAAATTGAAAAATCAACGTGTGTCAGTATCAGCAGACTATTTAGGAACATGACAGTAAATACTAGAATATATGTGCTGGCCTGAGAGGTGGGAATGAGGCAGTGCAGGAGGCTTCTGTTTTTCACTATATGCTTTGTCACACATTTTTAATTTTTAGCCATATGATGTTTACTGTGATAGAGAAAGAAATGTTTTAAATTCACCAGATTCAAACTTTGGTGACTTGCCTTATTTCAAGTGTTTTCATCTAAGGTATAAAGTAGGCTCCTGCTGGTAGTCACCCTTGGCCCTGTCAGCTATTCCACAGTATTTTCAGGGCTCATAATATGCCACCTACTGTTCCAGGCACCAGGGATACAACAGAAGAAGGACTGTGGGTGGCTGCATTTTACAGACAGAGCTTGTTAGTATGGATGTAGGGAAAGATTTGAAATCAAGGAACTAGATGGGTGGAATAGGGGAGGATGTACAAAATCAAGAGCTCTGTTTGGGGCAAAATATGTTTGAGATGCCTACCAAAATCCAAATAGATATTTCAACTAGAAAGGGACATACACGTCTGTACTCAATAAAGACATCAGGACTGGAAATATAATTTGGGACAGACAGGCATATAGATTAATTATAGAGATAATGGCTTTCCAAACTCCACATGATCCCTGTGCTCCAGAAAAACATGATTCTGGCAATGAGGGTCTTATTCTCCCATTAAACACTAAAAGCAGGCTCAAGCTCACATGATCAGAAAATGCCAGAATGTTAACCAAGGATTCTGATTGTCAAAATCTGACATGAAGGAAATAGAAAAATTTTTTCTGTAGAAGTCTTCTAAGGCTTTACCACTGCCATCTATTAAATTTAAAGAAAATTAATAGGGAATTATAGGGCATTAACAGTATGAAACCAATATTTAGATCCCAGCTGCCTACCGTTGCCATGCGTGCTTTACGCAAATAGGTAAGAAGGTCTCCTCCTTCCATCAGTTCCAGGATAATGTATTGGGGTTCATTCAGCAGACAAACCCCAAGCTGCTTCAGAATGTTGGGATGATTAAACCTGCTGAAAGGTGGAAAGACACAGGATGACGAGACAGAGGCAGGAGTACTAGCCCCTTGGACTCTTTATGGGGCACAGCAATTCTTTATCAATAGTTTCCTTTGAAACCCCTGACTGTCTCTAATCCTTCCTTTTCCAAATACTGGTTTGTGTGCTTACCTTAAGGAGGTAATACAGCAACCCCTAGTGGCCGTGAGTATGGATAAAATAGGTTGGTTTTTACAAGAAATAACATTTGCATTAAGCATATTTTGGAAAAGAAAGCAATTTTGACTAGTAGCCTCCTTGAAAAGATATTGTAAAACATTATGCTTTGGGTCATTACAGGCATGAAATATATCTTCTCCCTTTCAGGAAAACAACTCAGAAATGCTGATTTGGCTAAACAGTTTTGTCAAGACATTAAACCAAGTAAGCCCTAACCTAATATTTGGAACCCAGAGCTTGAGACCCAATCAACCACTGCCTCAAGTTTTCCCTATAAGATGTGATTGAGCAGTTTTTATGACCACAAACTCAAAGTTGCAGACAACTTTACTAGGACAAGGGATATTTTCATTGACATTACAGCATTTGAGAGAACTCTTTCTTACTGGGTATACTTGACCATTATCACACATTTAGATGAACACAAGCATGTCAAAAGCCAAACAGCTTCAGAAGTCACTTGCAAAACATTCTCCTTGTTGAAGATAAAAGAAAGGAGAACCTTTTGCCTGAGAAGTACCTATACCCAGGTTTAGAAAATTGACTTCTGGCGCTCTGCAGATGTAGTCCCATTTAAATGTTTGAACCATGTTTGTTTTCGGCATGATCTGTTATGTCAGGTCATTTTGGATGTTAAAAATAAGTTGAGCAGACTTAAAACTTCTTACTCATATCAAGAGAAAATTATTTCAGAACTACCTCATTAGATGTGCCTCCTTCAGAAATTCAATCTTTTCCTGGTCTGTGGAACCCTTCTTCAAAGTCTGTGCAACATAAAAACAAGTCAGGAATCAGTATAGCAAACATTTCTGTGAGCTCAGTAGGTTAATGGAGATTGCTCTGTTTGTTTTATAATATCTACCCTGAAAGCTGGAAACAGATCGTAGATAAAGCATGTACATGCATTATGTAAACCTTTCAAATGTTACCTCCTGTTATTGCTAGTAGAAGAATATGCAAGATAAAAAGTTCTAGTAGTATTTACACAATGTTCCTCCAAAAGGTAGAAATTTAATTAAGAGACCAAGTTTTGTTGTTTAGGCCAATTTCTTAATTTTCACAATGTTCTCCTCAATAGGTTTCCCCTGACTCCTTGGGTTCAATTTATTTCTTGGAGGTAAGCTTCCCAGTCCCAAGCAATTGATCAAAGCTACCAATGAAAACTGTGTTCTGAAATTCTCCAGCCTCCATTGGAAACTGGGGTGGTCATATAACTCAGTGATGGCCAATGGTATATAAGAGAAAAACTGCTGAGGCAGGGCAGGAGGTTTGAAGACTTTTGCCTTCCTGCACATGTGCATTTTCCACCATCTTTGCCCCTCCCCCCGGCCTGAATGAAAATGTGATGCTTGTCTCTTTGGCAGCCATCTTGGAACAATGAGGCAGCAAGCGTGAACAATAGCCAAGATAATTTCCAAGATACTGGCTCTGACCTGACATTCTATCCTGAACCAAAGCCAGCAATCATCTTGTTATTTGAGAAATAAACATTTGTTTAAAACAGTGAAGATGGGAGTAAGTTAAAGAACTTTTGAATTACATCATTTGGAAGCAGAGAGAAGTTTGCCAACTTTTCTAGTTGTATAGCTCACCCTCAAAACAATATATTTCTAAAAAGCAGAGATCAGGATACTGCTCAATGACATAAAAGATTCATCCTCCCGCCGGGCGTGGTGGCTCACGCCTGTAATCCCAGCACTTTGGGAGGCCGAGGCGGGTGGATCACCAGGTCAAGAGATCAAGACCATCCTGGTCAACAAGGTGAAATCCTGTCTCTACTAAAAATACAATAATTAGCTGAGCATGTGGCGCGTGCCTGTGATCCCAGCTATTCAGGAGGCTGAGGCAGGAGAATTGCCTGAACCCAGGAGGTGGAAGTTGCAGTGAGCCGAGATGGCGCCATTGCACTCCAGCCTGGGTAACAAGAGCAAAACTCTGTCTCAAAAAGAAAAAAAAAAGGATTCATCCTCCCTTTATCAAAGGAAAGTTTTACAAAAATATAACAGTATATCCAGTGCTTCCTTAAAAAATACATTAAATACACCATGATAAATAATCATGTAGTCCAAAACTGACAAACTATAGCCTGTGGGCCAAATCCAGACTGTTACCTCTTTTTGTGTAGCCTCTGATTTGAAAATGGTTTTTCCATTTTTAAGTGGTTGACAAAGTCAAAAGAATACTATTATTTCATAAAACATGAAAATGATATGAAATTCAAATTTTAGTAATCATAAAGTTTTATTGGTACATAGCCACACTCATTTATTTACATACTATCTATGACAATAAGATGGCAGAGTCTGTACGGCCAGCAAGTCTAAAATATTTGCTATCTGCCCATTTAAGAAAAGGTTTGCTAACCCTTGGTCTAGTACCTTAAGAATGTGTTTTACAGCTCCAGTTCTCTTATGGCATATTTGAAGGAAAATGACTGTCTGATAGGTCTTAGCTAATTAGTAGCCTTAGAGGTAATGCAAAGCCTGGAGATTGTTGGTTACAGACAGTGTTCCTATTTAGGAAATGTTTCTTTAAAATGTGATTTCTATAGCTACGGATAGGCTTCGACATTCTACCAGTGCTCTTTTCAACACTTTTGTTATAATTATATCCATGTCAGTCCTTGTAGATATGGTGATATAATGTCTCAAGGAGTTCTAAGATCCAGATTACCTTCACTGCTACTTTGATTTCGCCACTTCCAACTCCTAAGATGTCCACTGCTGTTCCTTCATACACTTCTCCAAAGGCTCCACTTCCCAGCAAGAGACGCAGAGTCAGTTTTTCCCGAGGGAAGGCAGGAAGATTTTCAATCTCCTCTTGCGTTGGAAGAGTACTGTAAAATAGTAACATTTTTGTCTCCCCACCCTCCACATATACAGGGTATACAAATTTGTGTTGGTATTGGTAATTGTGTTTGAGAGAGAAAGAAATGTCTCATGGCTTTGCGGCACTGTGTGTTCTATGTGACATGGTGATGTGGAGCTTTGTGACCCTAATATACTTTCCTATACTACCACCTTTTACCCAGTCAGAGCATGATAGTCCACTTAATTCTGATAAAAACATACATGTGTATGCATTGTCTCAAGACTTTCATTGTTACTTGTTGTGTCAAAATTAGTAGATATTAACTTCTACAGATTACCAATTTGTGTAAAAAGCTATTGCAAATTAGTACAAATGCATCTGGGTTTATAAGCTTTTCTTTTAACTATTTGACACATGTGACATCTTATATAAAACAAAATTTACTACGACCAAAAAATATCACCCCATCACCATCGGGTTAACTTTAGAAAGCATAGTTTCTCACTTGGAACACTACAAGATGGTGGAAAGCTGCTATCTTAAAAATGTTTTCAGTTTTGAATAGAGAATCTTGAGTAGCAGATATTTGCTCAAAGGAAAGTCACCTTTTTTAAACACTTGATTTAGATCACCTTTTTGTCTACTTCAAATCCTTTGTTTTTACACCTGGCATTATACATTTCTGAAAGCAAGGCCTATGACCATGTAATTCCTTTTTGCACAGATCCTAATATAATAAACCTTTGCATAAGACACTTGAATATTTTCCTTAATTATGATGACAACAGAAGTTTGAAACTCATCAGTCTTATGAAGGTTTTGTGGGCAATTATCATACACCTTCTGAAATGGAGTAAGACTGACTTAAGGCTGACCATGTACACAAGGTTCCTGAAACTTCTCTCCTCTCAAACACTGCCCCCAGGTGAACCAACCATGTTATCATCTGTTCTCATCAATGTAGCATTTTTTTTCCTTCTGTCATTTGTTTTTGAGCTACATAATAAAACACTGGAAAATAATGGACTTTCCTGTATTTTTCTTATAACCACATAATTTGCCATTCATTCCACATTTGAGAGTGGAAGAGGAAGTTATTAATAAATAGGCCAGAAAAATGGGTATAAACCATGACAGTCCTGGGCAATGCGGAATTCATAGGCACTCTCATTGCTGTTGCCCACCCTGTGCCTATGTGCTCCGTAATGACAGCCAGAGCTACGTACTGTATGGCATAGCAGGCATTAGCCAGGCCTACTCCGGCTGCCAGACCTCGCAGTTCAGCCAACTCTTGGTCTTCGTTTATAAGCACTGTCGGCCCTTCCCTGGCGCTTTTTTGATTCTTTAATCTTCTATGCCAGACTATAGAGAAAAAAATGACATAATTTACAAAGCAAAATATTGCTTCTTTATTTCTTTGGAAATGTTAACAGTGCATTTTAAATGTTTTTATGTAAGAACATTATTGATAGAATAGTTATAAAAGTTTTCATAATCTGATTTTAAAATATGCTCATAAAAAAACTAATTAAATCCCAGTAAAAAGCCATATAAAAGCACACGAATCATACTACATCACTTTTAATCTCACTTTTTAAAGTTTAACATATTTCTTACTGTTATAAACAAATTAAAGTATCTTAATATTAAAATTAATTTGTCAAAATCACCCATAAACTTGAGTCAAAATAAATAAAAACAAACATAATTATTAATGAAAAAAATCATTTTTGAGTTCAGTCATATCCAGGTTATACTCCTCAGTAGAAAAGGAAATGCTTTCAGTGTAATGGCAATTTTTTTTTTTTTTTTTGCAGACTACAAGAGTGTATATCTTTGTTGTTCATATATGCACACTCAAATATGTAGAAAAAAGTATTGGAAAGAAGCTTACCAAATGTTAGCAGTTGCCTGCCCTAGTTGTAGAATCATGAGTGATTTGTATTGTCTTCTTTATATAATAAGCAGTATTAGTTTTATGATAAAGAAAATGTTATTTTTTAATATTAAAATATAATTATGCCAATAAGATCATTCATCTCTACTGGAATATTGGCTTAGAAGTTGAAAATAGCAAGTGTGCTTTGAGAGCTGATCATTAAAATTTAAACTTAATTCCACAGTAGCTTTCATACGCAAGAAATTAAAGTTTTATTCACGTGAAATTCAATTTTAGGGACTATGCAATGAAAGATCACAAGTACCCTTACTAAATTAATTTTTCATACTTGAAACGTTCTCACCACCTTGTTTCACTTTTAAATGCCCAGTGTAAGCCCACATCCTCAATGATGCCTTCTGAAACCTCTACGACTTCTGCTGATCTTTCATATCTGAACTATAAAGACCAATTGTGCCTCTCCATGAGCGCTCACTCTATGCGCTGTCTTCTTTATTTCATCTGCTATTGTCTTTTGTTATTATTTAACACATATCTTGCTATTTATCTTTCCACACAGGCATGTCTTACCTCCCTCATTAAATGACAAGCTCCTGAGGCCAACAGCTGTATTTTATAGGCTTACATTTCCCTGTACTCCCAGCAGAAGCAGAAGACTAATGTTGTAGATTAGATATGACCACTCAGAAGCAAAAGCTGTCGACACTCATTTTTAACACTGTCTTAATTTTATAAGTATAACCATTGAGTGCCCTCAGCACGATACAAATTTTCAAATAATTGAGACTTTCTGTTATTTTAATGACTCAATCTTTGCTCATGCACGCACACACTCTTACTAGTAAAACCACATGCACTGCTGCTAAAAGCAAAAAACTGAATTAGCTTAGCTAGACTCAAAAATTTGTGAATTTTCAAACAGGAATAAAGACCTTTAAGTCCTGAGAAAGTCAGATATCCATAGGATGTCTTGGAAGCACAATAGGTTGTCTGAAATTATCTCATGTTCATCCACTAGAGTTATGAGTTTAAACAATGATGATGTACAAGAAAGCAAGCAAAGGTCAGCCGAGGGATTCTTCGTGTAATACTCCTTCCCAGTAGGAAAGCAGACAAGCAGTCAAGCCTATATGCCAACTGCCAAATATACTGCAGTCATATGCGTAATTCTGGAGGGGCTGGCTTAGTGGCACAAACATCAGCTGTGCAATACTTAGACTCTCTGGAACCACAGGTTAAAATCCTGGCAGGGTCAGCTGAAATTTTTAGCTTTCCAAGTTTGCTAAAGGAGTTTCACATATTGTCTGGGTGGAACCTTTGAAAAAAAATCTCAAATTAGCTTCAAAGTGCTCTCATATAGACTGTGACTCCAATCAGTTTGCAGAAGAAAATCAAGATTTAGAACACAGTAAAGTGTTGGCTTTCTTTATCCTGAGAGTTCAACTTTATGTTTGTGACTTTTCCATCAACTTTCCCTTGAAGCTTACCCCTATTTGTGAACAAAATAAGCCACAACTTTCTTAATGTGTTTGAGTGTTCTTTTCTGGTAAGAATCATGACCTTTTTTAAATGATTCAGTGTGTTGGGAACTCTAAACAGCAGCAATAGACAGGGGACCATATATCTTATAAGCCAAACCTGGACAGTTTGAGGACTGAAAGAAAATGCTATTAATATTTGTGCTGAAACTGAAATAAAAAAGAATGTATGATCACCGTGATAACTAAAAGTCCAATACTTGACCATTCCTTTGAGGTTGTCACTGCATTTTATCATCATTAAAGTAAATCTTATTTAAAAATAGCTTTCTGTCTACCTCACCTAATTTTTCTGCTTTCCTGGTTATTTGTAAATGAGCAGAGATTTGAAATAAGCAAATCGGTTATGTGAAATTCGCAAGAGTGGATCCTACAAGCCAGAAATGGATCTTCTGCAACAGAGGCCTTACTCATTCCAAACCAGCCTGTCTGCTTAGAAACCAAAACTATCCCAACCAAAGATTGTCACTGGCCTCCCATTAATCCTATATTTTTTTCTGTACCCAGGGTTATTTTTCTTTTATTTATTTCAAACTATAAGCCACAAAACATTTGTATGCAGCCAATCCAAAATAAATAACGTTTTAAAGAAAGCTAAATGTTGGTGCCCTTGTAAGTAGTTTTATCTAAAGTATGCCATGAAATGTACATTTTTTTAAATAAAATAGTTATGCCTAGATCAGAAAACAATTCACAGAAGTTTGTGGTTATGAATGTATAACCAAAGGTAACCTTATAAATTTTATTAACTTAATCAGGTAATATTTCATGTGGGAGGTTAGAGCAACTAAGAGATAAACCGATCAGGTGTGATTAAGTAAACAGTTTGTTGCTTATTTTTAAAATTTGATTATACTTACCAAAGGTCAGTGAGATTGTAACAGTCAGAAATATTCCAACTATAATACTAAGTATGAAACTTGTTTCTGGTATCCAAAAATCAACTAATGACAAAAATGAGAAAAAGAAATTAATTCACAGATTAAAGCTAAGTAGCCCCAGTTCTACCTAGGCACATAGAGTAATACGGCAGAGCTGGCTGCTACTGGATTTTTGCAAGCCAGTTGTTTGCTAGACAGTTGGTAGCTTGAAAGCATCCATACAGAGAATATTTATGCCATGTGGAGCCAAAATCAAGGAGTTTTTGTTGTTGTTGTTGTTTTTCAGAGAGCTAGTTTACCAACAAACTACTGGAATATACCCACTCAATCTTCTATTTTAAAATCACTGAGGACACACATGTTTATCTTTTTAATATATTTAGAGCCAAGAAATCTCAGTCTTCATATCAAAATAGTTGGCATTATTATTTTTTATAATATCTTCATACATATTCAATTTCATGGATATTAAACTGAGGAATAAACACGGTAATTTCTCTTAGGCAGTTTTAGTTGTGTAGAGGATACAAACGTAGGCCAGAGTCTGGCAAGCTGCGGCATGAAGACCAAATCTGGCTATAGCCTGATTTTGTACCCCCTATTAGTAATGAGTAAGTTTTACTTTTTTAAAGTGTTATTTGTAAGAAGAAGGAGAAAGAGAAGAAGAAGAGAAAAGGAAAAGAAGAACAGAGATCAGATGTAGCCTGCAAAGTCTGACATATTTACTATTTGGTTCTTTTCAGAAGAAGTTTGCTGAGCTGGGAAGCAAACCTCTGTATACAACTAACTATAGACAACTAACTATAATACAAATAAGAATGATTCTGTAGACAACTAACTATAATACAAATCAGAATGATTCTGTAGACAAGTAACTCTAATACAAAGAAGAATACAATAGGTTTTATATAGCATGTGAGTGCATAAAATGCAATAATTCATTTGACTAAGGAGCATCGGTTAGGCATTTGATGAGTTCATTTAAGTCTTGAACGACGAGAAGAATTTCAGTTGGCAGAAAATGAAGTAAAGGACATCCCAGCCAGGGAGCACAGGGTAGGTGGTAGGGACCTGTATTCTAGGCTGAGGCAAACACAAGGCCAAAGAGCAAGTGACATAAAAGTTTTTTACCAGTCTGATGTGGCTACAGCACAGACATAAATATTGGAAAAGATAGGCCACAATTGGAGGACAAATTATGGGAGAGCTTACATGCCACAAAGAAGTTTGTAGTTGATTTTGAAAGCAGTGAATGGAGAGCCATTGTGGGTATTTCAGAAAGGGGTTAAGTAACCCAGCTTGTGCTTCAACTAGACTTAACTGTCTGCAGTATGAGTAAGCTAAGGGCACAGGCAAGAAATGACAATTTAAATTAAGAAAGCCAAGGTGGAAAGAGGAAGATAAGAACTCATCAGAGAGAAATCAAGATGGCAAAATCAATAGGACCTGATGACTGAGTACAGGAAAAAATCACATGTGGCACTGAGATTTCCTGCCTATGTGATTAGAAAGACAATATATCATAAGCTAAAATGAGATACACAGTGGAAGAGGCAGCGATTGGGAAAGAAACAAAGGTCTTAGGCCTGTTGCGTAAAATGTGAGAGTGGCAATGAGGCTGGTATAATGTGAATAGAAAAATAAGGCTGCATAGAACAGATTGTGAACAGCCTTGAAAGCCTAGTTATGAGCATGGAATTGATGCAGTAGGAATTAAGGGGGTAGCTAATTATTATTGGGAAGAAAAATGACATGACGATGATGTTTTAGAAAGATCACATCACATGAATGGAATACTTTAATAGTTTGGATAATAAGATATGAATGTGTGTGTGTGTGTGTGTGTGTGTGTGTGTGCATACACACACACACATATTTAATCATTGTTTATTGCTAATGTTAAGAACGTACTGATATTTACTACTAAACCTTTAAGTAATAAGCTAGCGTGTAGTCAGACATGGTAACATACCTCCAACTAATATAATATTCTCACTGATTCCACTATATTCACCAAACCCTAGATTATTTGCAGCTACTACTCTAAACTGAAATATTCCTTTCAGATTTTTGGACTTCCATGTGCAAATGCTACTGCAGGATCCATTAAATGTCATCTTCCACCTTAAATTCTGGTTCTGTGAATTATTTGAAGTACTCTTTCTGCAAAAGAAACAGTAAAATGGTAAATATAGACATATACATGACAACATACATGTTATTTCTAGTTGTTCATAGATCTTCTTGGTGACTGAACTCCAGAGAGTGTCCTTTGGCACACTTTATCCTTGACCTCATTCCTCTCCTATAATCTGGCTACAGAACACAGTGTGGTTTTATAGTGATCCTAGTGAGGCATGGAGCCAACCAACTCAGCCCACCAAGAAAGTTGTGAATGATCAGTGGTCAGGAGAAAGCTGAGCATCTTTTTCCTACTAATTGCACAAGCAAACTTTCTTCAGAATTCTAAACCTATAAGACAATTATTCCATGATTTTTAATTGGGAAGTTTCCATTTTCTTAATTTTCCATCTTTTACATTATTTGTAGTTTACTTACACCATAATGGATAACATACAGAATACAAAATTGATAAGGAAGGTGTGACAGTTCAGCTACCAAAGTTATCATTGTATCTGAGATTCTGAGGTTTGTTGCTTCCTTTTGTATTGACCTACACCCTACCTCAAAGTCAATCCAATTGTTTTTTTATATGAAACATGGAAAGAGCACAAGGGCTGGGTTCAAAACATGTAACTGGAATGACTTTTTACAGAATCATCAAAAGCAAGCTCAAAGTCTTCCATTTATGTCTTCTCTAACAGTGAAGAACATTTCGAGTTTTAAACTTTTCAGACCTGGCACCAATAGTTTCAGGACTTGGCACCAATCCACAGTAAGCTTGGGATACATGAGAGAATCTGGTTCTGTTCCTGTGAATTGGCTCATTCTTCTGAAGACCAACAGACAGTGAAGACTGGCCCTTATAGGAGGCAGAGGAAGGGTAAGAACATGAGGAGCAACAGGACAGCAGAGTTGGTCACAGTTGTTCCCAGGAGCTGAGGGTCCCTTTAAAGACCATCCTGAGCAAAGCATTAGGACAGAGTGTTTTTACACATTTTGTGAAGTCTCACGTTCAGCACTGGCAATTTCATTGTTTAACCAAACAACTCTGATCCAAAAGAAAGAGGCCCTTAAGAATTTGTGAGGTGGCTTTACACAGTGGCCATTGAGAAAAGAAAGAAGAATTTTTATATCAGTTGAGCACCTTTTATTTACAACATACTGTACTGGGGCTTTACATAATGTTCTTTCTATTCACTGAGTCCACAACAACCTAAAGAGATGGAGATATTATCAGCTCCATTTTACAGATGAGGAAACGTAAGTTCAAAAAAGGAAAAGAACAAGGACTTAAACATGGTTTGTGTACTGGACAGAGTCATGTCCTTCCAGAATTCATGCCCACTCAGAATATTTTATGTGACCTTATTTGGAAATAAGATCTTGAAAAATGTAATCAAGTTAAGATGAGATCATAGCAGTTTAGGGTGGACCCTAATCCAATGACTGGGGCTCTTATAAGAAGAGAGAAAGTTAGACTCAGAGAAAACCTTGTGATGAAGAAGGTGATGGTAAGAGTGATGCATCTACAAGCCAGGGAATACCAGGGACAGCCAGCAGATGCCAGAAGCTAGGAGGCAAAGATGGATTCTTCCCTAGAACTATCAGAACAAGCACAGTCCCACTGACACCTTGGTTTCAGACTTCTTACCTCTAGAGCTGTAAGAATAAATGTCTTCTGTTTCAAACCACCCAGTTGGTGGTCCTTTGTTGTGGCAGCCCTAGAAACTGATAAGGTTTGTTCAACTCCCAAGTTCATGCACTTGGCACTTATGCTACCCTATCAGCATGTACACAGAGTCTAACTAGAGTGTCCCGACTGGGGGACTTATTTTGAGATACTGAAGTTACAAAAATCATTTAGTTGCCCCATAGTCCACATCCTGACAGTGAAGACCTGGAGCAAGGAGTATGCAGAGTATTTGATGGAGTCATTTTAGTAGCACTTAAGGTGTTACTCAGGGTGACACACTAAAGAGGCCTTAGCAAAAATCTGATGTGTGACTTGACTGATGAACATAATTACAGTCACAAGCCACCAAGATAATTCTGCAGGTTAGAATGTATTTCACTCTGCATGAAAAGAAGTAATAGAAACTTCAAGGAGATTTCAATTAGAAATATGGTCAAGGGAATTCTCTAGTATGAGCAGGAACATTTTTTAAGGTTATGGGAATGCCAGAGCCAGATGAAGCAAAAATAGACCTAAAGATCAAGGTGCCAGGACTATAATTATGGAAGTGACTTTTGTCCTTGGAACTTCTTAAAAGACAGTTTCATAGTCCTGTGAGAGAAGTGTCTTTGGAATTTGGAATTCTCCCCTCAAGTTGGCATGGAATCAGCCCTTCTGAGCCAGTTATGGTTCACTGTGCTCCCCATACTGGCCAGGTCTGAGGCTGTTCATCAGTGGCTGGTTTTCATCGGTGGTGTGTTTTCAGTCCCTGGAAACACACGGCAAACTACAGTCTTCACAACGAACAGAGAATCCTGTGTGACCTATATGCTTCAGACCAATTTGGAACTTGACCTAATTTTACAGTACGAAAAATATCTGCTTCATTGCCAATTCTCCCTAGAAAGTATTCACCTTGCTAAAGCAAATTATCTTCAGAAATTTACATGCCATCATCATTTAACATTAAACATCAGCTAAGCTTTTTAAACAAAACTGATAAAGTAAATATTGGCTGCATGAGCCTATAACCAAACAATTTCCGTAAAATGTCAATGAGCAGTTACATATTTCTGAGAATGATGAGATCTGTTTTACAGTTAGCGTGCCAAGACCAACCTCTAGGAATTGAGCAAAGAACATAATGATGCATGTTATGCATTATTTAGGTCCTTAAACTAAAGGTCTTTGTGTTTCTATATAAACACATTTTTGTAAATAGTGTTACTTTTGATCACTTTATAAATAACTGCTTAGTTCTCTGTAGTTTACAAAGTACTTTGCAAACACACATACCTTATCTCAAGGATATAGTATATAATCCTACTTCCATTATCTTCAGCTTTCTCCCACTGTATTGAATTTTTATTACCTTCTAGTAATTTGGGAATGCCTGGTTTACTTGGGACTCCAGCTTTGAAAAAAAAAAGAAAATATTGATTGATATGTTTGAAGTATTAATCTTCTGCATTGAAATCTTTCTATAGAATATGTTAAGGGGAAAGAACAAATAAGATTAAAGAAATATTCATAGAGGTGGGACCAAAGAAGCAACTGCATTCAGAGGCTCCCATTGAAAAAACTGTAAGTGTGGGAATCCTTCACCAGCAACCAAGGTATCCAGATTCTTTCATCAAAATTGACTAGAAGGCTGGCAAGAGCCACAGAGAGAAGGAAGAGCAGTGTGGTGCAGGAGCGGCCCACCTAAGAGCCACATGGGGAAGGTCAACTCCCTCCCCCAGCCAAAGGAGGTGGCCGCGAGTGAGCCGGCTACCCAGATGGGGAAACTGCTTTATCCATGGAACTGAGCAACCCGTAGATGGGAAGATCCCACTTGTGAATCCATGCCACCGAGGCCTAGCATCCCAACCCAGAATGTGCAGATTCTTATGGCCTCTTAGCTGAAATCTGCATAAGCCTACAGAACTCCCTGGGGGAGGGGTGACCAGCACCGGCTTCTGCTGCCTGCTGTCTAAGCCCTTTGAGCTCCTTTGGGGCAGAGGCAGCAGCCAGCACTGGGACCGCCAACTGCCAAACACGCTAATCTCCTTGGGTGGGGGAAATGTAGCCCCCATTTCTGTAGCTCCAGGCTGCACTTTTCCCCTTCTGGAGCCAGGGAGGCTGGACAGCTTGGTCTCAAAACATGTCCCCACACCCCAACACACCAGCTGTGGCAGTCAGCAGCCAGAGTGCCTCTTCAGGGCTAAACCTGACCCATCCTTCCTCAGTGGGTGGGGCTTCCCTGCAGGATCTCCAATAACTCCAGCCAGAGGTTCAGGGACAGAATTCAAATCTCCCTTGGCCTCAGCTCCTAGAGGGAGGGGTGGCTACACTCTCAGACTTAGCCTCTCCTCCTGGTAGTTCTGAGGAATCTGGGAAGCTCAGATAAGTGGGTTTCCTCCCAGTGAAACACACCCTTTCCACCAAGGCACATAGTGCTTTGTTAAAGAGGTCCTGCTCCCGGTGCCACCCAAGTGGGTGAGACCTTCCAACAGGGTTGTCAGGACACCCTATACAGGAGTGATTCTACTGGCATCAGGTTGGTGCCCCTTGAGGTTAGAGGTCCCAGAAGAAGGAGCAAACTCCCATCATTGCTGCTCTCCAGCCTCCTTGAGTAACATATCCAGGCGTGGGAGCAAATCAGATGAATAAGGCCTGAAGTGAACACCCAGCCAACTGAAGCAGCCCTATAGAATAGGGACCTGACTATTGAAAGAAAAACAAATACAAAGTGACAATAACAGTATCAACAACAATAACAACAAGGCTCTCCACAGAAAACCCATCCAAGGGTCTTCAGCCTCAAAAACCAAAACTAGACAAACTCACAAAAATGAGAAAGAATCAACAAAACAAAGGAATGCTGAAAACTCAAAAGGCCAGAGTGCCTCTTCTCCTCCAAATGATTGAACTGTCTCCATCAAGGGTGCAGAATTGAGTGGAGGATCAAATGGATGAACGACAGAAGTAGGCTTCAGAAGATGGGTAATAAAAAACTATGATAAGCTAAAGGAGCATGTTCTAACCCAATATGAAGAAGCTAAGAACCTTGATTAAATGTTAGAGGAATTGCTAACTAGAATAACCAATTTAGAGAGGAACATAAACGAACTGATAGAGCTGAAAAACACAGTATGAGAGCTTCATAAAGCATACGCAAGTATCAACAGCTGAATCGACCAAGTGGAAGAAAAGATATCAGAGCTGAAGACTACCTTACTGAAATAAGACATGAAGATAAGAATGGGGGAAAATGAATGAAAAGGAATGAACAAAGCCTCCAAGAAATATGAGACTTCATAAAAAGGCTAAACCTACGATTGATTGGAGTATCAGAAGGCGATGGAGAAAGTGGAAACGAACTGGAAAACACACTTCCGGATATTACTCAGAATTTCCCTAACCTAGCAAGACAGGCCAACATGCAAATTCAGCAAACACAGAAAACACCATTAGGATACCTCATGAGAAGATCAACCCCAAGACACATAATCATCAGATTCTCTACGGTTGAAATGAAGGAAAAACTGTTAAGAGCAGCAAGAGAGAAAGGCCAGGTCATCTACAAAGGGAAGCCCATCAAACTAACAGTGGACCTCTCAGCAGAAACCTTACAAGCCAGAATAGACTGGAGGCCAATATTCAACATCCCTAAAGAAAAGAATTTTCAACCCAGAATTTCATATCCAGCCAAAATAATTCCAAAAGTAAAGGAGAAATAAAATCATTTCCAGACAAGCAAATCCTGAGGGCATTCATCATCACCAGGCCTGCCTTACAAGAGCTCCTGAAGGAAACACTAAATATGGAAAGGAAAAACCATTACCAGCCACTGTGAAAACATACCAAAATATAAAGATCAATGACACTGTGAAGAAACTGCATCAACTTGCATGCGAGATAACCAAATAGCATCATGGTAACAGGATCAAACTCACATAGCAATACTAACATTAAATGTAAATGGGCTAAATGCTCCAATTAAAAGACATAGACTGGCAAACTATATAAAGTGCCAAGGCCCATTTATGTGCTGTATTCAGGAGATCCATTCTACATGCAAAGACACATTCAAGCTCAAAATAAAGAGACTGAAGAAAATTTACCAAGCAAATGGAAAGCAAAAAAAATCAGGGGGTTGCAATCCTAATCTCTGACAAAACAGACTTTAAACCAACAAAGATCAAAAAAGATCTTTCATTGAATAAAATTACAAAAAAGAAGGGCATTATATAATGGTAAGAAGAACAATTCAACAAGAAGAGCTAACTATTCCGAATATATGTGCACCCAATACAAGAGCACCCAGATTGATAAAACAAGTTCTTAGAGACCTACAAAGAGTCTTAGACACCCCACACAATAATAGTGGGAGATTTTAACACCCCACTGTCAGTATCAGATAGATCAACAAGATCAACAAGAGAGAAAATTAAAAAGGATATTCAAGACTCAAACTTAGCTCTGGATCAAGTGGACTTAGTAGATGTCTACAGAACTCTCTACACCAAATCAACAGAATATACATTCTTCTCAGTGCCACATGACACTTATTCTAAAATCTGCCACATAATTGGAAGTAAAACACTCCTCAACAAGTGCAAACAAACTGAAATCATAACAAACAGTCTGTCAGACCACTGTGCAATCAAATTGGAACTCAGGATTAAGAAGCTCAATTAAACCCACACAATTTTATGGAAATTGAACAACCTGCTCCTGAATGACTCCTGGGTAAATAAAGAAACTAAGACAGAAATCAAGAAGTTCTCTGAAACCAATGAGAACAGAGACAGTGTACCAGAATCTCTGGGACACAGCTAAAGCAGTGTTAAGACGAAAATTCATAGCACTAAATGCCCACATCAGAAAGCCAGAAAGATCTCAAATCGCCACCCTAACATCACTGTTAAAAGAGCTAGAGAAGCAAGAGCAAACTAATCCAAAAGCTGGAAGAAGACAAGAAATAACTAAGATCAGAGAAGAATTTAATAAAATAGAGACATGAAAAATCCCTCCAAAAATCAATGCATCCAGGAGCTGGTTTTTTGAATAAAATAACAAATAGACTGCTTGCTGGACTAATAAACAAAAAGAAAGAGAAGAATCAAATGGACACAATAAAAAATGACAAAGGGGATATCACCACTGACCCACAGAAATACAAACTACCACCAGAGAATACCATAAACACCTCTACACAAATGAACTAAAAATCCAGAAGAAATGGATAAATTCCTGAATGCATACATCCTACCAAGACTAAATCAGTAAGAAGTTGAATCCCTGAATAGACCAGTAACAAGCTCTGAAATGGAGGCAGTAATTAATAGCCTACCAACGAAATAAAGCCCAGGACCAGATGGATTCATAGCTGAATTCTACCAGAAATACAAAGAGGAGTTGGTACCATTCCTTCTGAAACTATTTCAAACAATTGAAAAGTAGGAATTCTTCCCTAATTCATTTTATGATGCCAGAATCATCCTGATACCAAAACTGGGAAGAGACACAACAACAAAAAACTTCAGGCCAATATCCCTGATGAACATCAATGTAAAGATCGTCAACAAAATACTGGCAAACTGAATCCAGCAGCACATCAAAAAATATATCCATCACAATCAAGGTGGCTTCATACCTGGGGTACAAGCCTGGTTCAATATATACAAATCAATAAATGTAATCCATCGCATAAACAGAACCAAAGACAAAAACCACCTGATTATCTCAATAAATGCAGAAAAGGCCTTTGATAAAATTCAACATCACTTCATGTTAAAAACTCTCAATAAACTAGGTATTGATGGAACATATCTCTAAATAATAAGTGTTATTTATGACAAACTTACAGCCCATATCATATTGAATGGGCAAAATCTGGAAGCATTTCCTTTGAAAACTAGTACAAGTCAAGGATGCCCACTTTCACCACTCCTATTCAACATAGTATTGGAAGTTCTGGCCAGGGCAATCAGGCAAGAGAAAGAAACAAAGTGCATTCAAATAGGAAGAGAGGAGGTCAAGTTGTCTCTGTTTGTAGACAACATGATTTTATATTTAGAAAACCCCATCATCTCAGACCAAAAGCTTCTTGAACTGATAAGCAACTTCGGTAAAGTCTCAAGATACAAAATCAATTTGCAAAAGTCACAAGCATTCCTTTACACCAATAGACAGCAGAGAGCCAAATCGTAAGTGAACTCCCATTTACAATAGCTACAAAGAGAATAAAATACCTAGAAATACAACTAACAAGTGATGTGAAGGATCTCTTCAAGGATAACTACAAACCACTACTCAAGGAAATGAGAGAGGACACAAACAAATGGAAAAACATTTCATCCCCATGGACAGGAATAATCAATATCGTGAAAATGGCCATATTGCCCAGAGTAATTTATAGATTCAATGCTATTCTCATCTAACTGCCATTGGCAGTCTTCACAGAATTAGATAAAAGTATTTTAATTTTATATGGAATCAAATAAGATCCCATATAGCCAAGACAACCCTAATCAAAAAGAACAAAGCTGGAGGCATCATGCTACCTGACTTCAAACTATACTCCACGTAACTAAAACAGCAGGATACTGGTAGCACAACAGACATATAGACCAATGGAGCAGAACAGAGACCTCAGAAATAGCATCACACATCTACAACCAGCAGATCTGCAACAAACCTGACAAAAAGAAGCAATGAGGAAAGGATCTCCTATTCAGTAAATGGTGCTGGGAATACTGGCTAGCCATATGCAAAAAACTGACACTGAACCCATTCCTCATATCTTATACCAAAAGTAACTCAAGATGGATTAAAGACTTAAATGTAAAACCCAAAACCATAAAAACTCTAGAAGAAAATCTAGGCATGGGCAAAGACTTCATGACAAAAACACCAAAAGCAATGCAACAAAAGCCATAATTGACAAATGGAATCTAATTAAACTAAAGAGCTTCTGCACAGCAAAAGAAACTATCATCAGCGTGAACAGACATCCTACAAAATGGAATAAATGTTTTGCAATCTACCCATCTGACAAAGGTCTAATATCCAGAAGGTACAAAGAACTTAAACATATTTACAAGAAAAAGACAAGCAACCCCATCAAAAAGTGGGCAAAGGATATAAACAGACACTTCGCAAAAAAAGACATTTACACAGCCAACAAACATGAGAAAATCTTAACATCACTATCATCAGGGGAGTGCAAATCAAAACCACAATGAGATACCATCTCACAACAGTCAGGATGGTGATTATTAAAAAGTCAGCAAACAATATCGTGGCAAGGCTGTGGAGAAATAGAAACGTTTTACACTGTTGGTGGGAAAGTAAATAAGTTCAATCATTGTGGAAGACAGTATGGTGATTCCTCAAGGACCTAGAACCAGAAATACCATTTGACCCAGCAATCCCATTACTGAGTATATACCCAAAGGAATATAAATCATTCTAATATAAAGACAAATGCAAACACATGTTTATTGCAGCACAATTTACAATAGCAAAGGCATGGAACCAAGCCAAATGTCCTTCAATAATAAACTGGATAAAGAAAATGTGGTTCATATACACCACGGAATACTATGCAGCCATAAGAAGGAATGAGATCATGTTCTTTGCAGGAACATGGATGAAGTGGGAAGCCATCATCCTCAGCAAATTAACACAGGAACAGAAAAACAAACACTGCATGTTCTCACTCATAAGTGGGAGTTGAAGACTGAGGACACATGGACACAGAGAACAACACACACCAGGGCCTGTTGACGGATGGGAGCTGACGGGAGGAACTTAGAGGATGGGTCAATAGGTGCAGCAAACCAAAATGGCATATGTAGACCTATGTAACAAACCCACACATTCTGCACATGCATCCCATTTCTTTTTAGAAGAATATTTTTTAAAAAGAAATATTTTGATATAAGTACATATTTTTAAATGAACATTTGAAGTTTTTATTAGTTATGGATTTGATGAATTAGTGGTCAGGTTAATAATATATCACGACTTAGCACAAAATAAATGATAAATGCAAATAAAGAAAATTATACGTTTTTGGAGCATTTTCCCTCCATTCTTTTTTTAAATCTTTTTAGTTCTAGGGTACATGTGCAGGATGTGCAGGTTTGTTCTATAGGTAAACATGTCCCATAGTGGTTTACTACACCTATTAAGCCATCACATAGGTATTAAGGCCAGCACACATTAGCTATTTTTCCTAATGCTCTCCTTCCCCCCACTCAACCCTGACAGGTCTCACTGTGTGTTGTTCCCCTCCTTGTGTCCATGGGTTTTCATTGTTCAGTTCTGACTTATAAGTGAGAACATGTGATGTTTGCTTTTCTCGTCCTGTGTTAGTTTGCTGAGAATAACGGCTTCCAGCCCATCCATGTCCCTGCAAAGGACATGATCTCATTCCTTTTTATGACTGCATAGTATCCATTGTGTATATGTACCACATTTTCTTCATCCAGTCTATTGTTAATGAGCATTTGGGTTGATTCCATGTATTTGCAATTGTGAATAGTGCTGCAGTGAACATACACATGTGTGTATCTTTGTAATAGGATGATTTATATTCCTTTGGGTATAAACATAGTCATGGAATTTCTGGGTCAAATCGTATTTCTCATTCTAGATCTTTGTTTCCTCCATTCTTATAGAGCTCAACTCAGAGTTAAGGTATATCTTGCAGGACGCTAGTTGATTTTTAATGAACTTCTTATATATTTTTTTATTTTAGCATCTGGAACATAGTAGTCAATACATATTTTTTGAACATTCAGTAACACTATTGTCATATAGTTACCACCACAAAACCATCATAGCTAGACATGAAATAAGGATACTGAAAGAAGAAATAACTTTGCCCACTTCAGGATCCTGCCAGACCCAGTCAGTTTTATTTCATTACTGCCTGCAAGGTCTCCTATGTTTTCTCAATTTCTTCAGGTTCTAGAAATAATAATGTACTGTTTTTAAAGATAAAAATATAGAAATAATAATGTACTGTTTTTAAATTTCAATCTCTAGGATTAGTTAAATAAGTGATAAGAAAAGAATGGAGGCACAGGGTTTTCTGAGTGTTGAGTATATTAGTACTCACCTTTTGTTATAAAGCTTTCTGGAAGTGAGGTGCTGCTTTCTCCTGTCTTATAAACCACCACTACTCTGACATTATATGAAGTATAAGGTTGTAGATCTGTGATGTTACAGACATAAGCAGGAGCTTGACTGCATGAAGTTTTCACATGGTAAAACTCATTGTATTTCCACTAGAAAAAGAAGTCTTGATTAATATTTTTCTAAGGTATTCTTAATCTTCTTAAAACACAAGAATGTATGGGTTTATAGCAAGTGATTAAAATGTAAGCTTTCTTTTCTATTAAAAAATAAGAACATCTTTATGAATGATCCCAAACATTACCTCATTACCTATAGTCGTTTTGCTTTTTATGATAAGATATAACTGACTTACATGACAGTTCATGGGAGAAGATCAAGGTAGGATATACACCTCTGACTGTATATCATCAACGAATATTCAGAGCTATGAATTCTTGTTATCCCAAAGAGTAGATACCTACATTTAATCAGGATGGCTAAGAATGCAAATCCACAGCTGTGGAACAACGGATCAAAACAATGGTACTTTCAAATTCCAGGGATTTGCTAATGTCATAGAAATAGTATTTTCACGTATTTTAACTTTTTTTTCTTCCTAATGCCCTCTTCAGACATGTGAACAGAATTCTTTATTTTTATATACTGGAAGCCTAGATAGCCAAAAGAAGAACATTTTTGCCCACCATTGTGAAGCTACTAAGTAGCAAGGCCAGAAGTTAAATACAGAAAATCTTGTTTTCATTCCTCTTTGGACACTGGGCCTCTAATTATAGCTACCTGAAATTTCTTGCTCTGCAACACTGCTTTTTAAAAATCTGTATTTGGATACTTATTATTATTTGAAAATGATAATTTCTTAACATACAAATAGGAAAAGACAAAAAGATATGGCACTCTTTCAAGGGTTCTTGGTGTATTGTCCTTTGTAGAGTTTCATAAAAAGGTCAGTTTCCTTAAATAAAATTAATTTACATCTTCTTTTTCACTTAACACTCATGAGGTTACATCGTTTCATTAGATGGACACTTTATGTTAGTTTTCTATTCAGTAAGGAGTGATTCTCTAGAGTTTTTTCAGTCAGCAGACCACTATGTACAATAAGAAAGGGGAATAAGGGAATGGAGAAAATTAAAAATTAAAAAACAGAAGTGCTGATGTCAGGGACACTACCTGCACTAAACTCATAAATGTAGCAATCCTGCTGAGACATATATCTTAACGGCTTAATGAAACAGGTGTATTGAATACGTAGTATTTACTGTGAACCTCAAAGAGAGAGAAATTAATTCCTGGCTAAAAAAAAAAAAAAAAAAAAAAAAGTCTTAACCCTTTTTGGTTCTGTCTCCATGATCTGGTGGAGAAATTACCTTAGGTGAATAGTCTAGGTGACCCAACATTCCATATCATCCAGAAATTATCAGAGCTCCTTGAAATGTCAGGAGGTGTTTGACCAAGAGTACCACCACTGGAAAACTGTAGAGTGTTGGCCTCACTACAGCAATGAATGTCTGGGCAGACCACCAACTTGGAGACATGCCACAGGATATCCCAGTAAATCACAAGGATGTCAGGACTTACTCTTTGTTAGAGGATATCAAGTGCAGGGGTGAAAGCTACTACAATTATTCAGGTGGGAGTGAGGGGAGTGTGAGTTAAGATGTCTGAGAGTTTGGAACTTCAGAAATTTATGGTTCTGGTAGGGATTTTCCTGCACAGCTGAGAAAAACACAATTTTAATGGGCTTCCGTGAAAAAATATACCAAAGCAAAATTACTTGTTTCCTCCCTATTTACAATATGTTCTTTTATACACTGTTGTGAGTTTTTTTGTTTTTTTTTTTTTTTTTTTTTTAATCTGTAGAATTTAAGATCTAGATCAATCTCATCCAACTTTCAGCTTGTGGGCCTTATGTGGCCAAGGATGGCTTTGAATGTGGCTGAACCCAAATTGGTAAACTTTCTTTACACATTATGAAATTTTTTTTGCAAACTTTGTTTAGCTCATCAGCTATCGTTAATGTTAGCATTTTTACATGTGGCCCAAGACAATTCTTCTTTCAGTGTGGCCCAAGGAAGCCACAAGATTGGACACCCTGATCCAGATCAAAACTTTACCTTGTGCTCTAGTTCCCTCATTTTTCAGATAAAGGAATTTTGACAGAAATGACAGGGACAAAGTTTATCGTTTTTTTCTCTTTCCTTTCTAAAAAATTACTAATTAAAAAGACACATAGTACCCTTCATTGCCCACTCCTCAGAGTTTCAGTGTGAAGTTACAGTATCACTCCCAGCTGTACTGTCATTGCGGAGTAGGTTCAAGTTGTTCAAAAGAGACAGCACCTTCTGACTAGATAGCACTCATCAACACTTGCAGAACCACAGACTTTTACTGTACTCATAGTTAATATTTTTAGATGGCCACTCATGTAGAAATGACTATATCTTATATTTGCAGCTTCAAGATTTTCTAAATGATCTGTCTGAAATCTGTGTTGAGCAAGTATAAAAGCAGAGGATGTTTAGAAACAAAAGCACCACATGAAAGTCAAGAGAACTGGACCAAGAGGTCTCTGTCTGCTGTCCTTCTCCCCAAACTTTACAGAGTGGGATGGACAACTTAACAACTACTATTCCTTCCATGGACAGCATCCTAAAAGGACTGCTATAGGGAGAAGTCAGCCTGAGGTTTTTCTCTGCCTGGCTGGTGAGATCTGACATCTGTCTGGGTCTCCATCTTCCAATGAATAAAATGAGAGACCAGAGTGTCAATCATCTCTAAAGTCTTTTCTCATTTCATTTCTTTGATAATCTCGGAAATGAACTTTACATCCTTCCCCTTGGCTTTAGACTGAACTGCATTAAGTTTCCTTAAATTGATGTCATTTTAAAAGGTACACTTATTTCTGCAATTTAACTGCATTTTTATAAGGTGGCCATTTTTTAAATAGGCAATAAATCGTCAGAAGCATGCTCAATGGGAAAAGTCCAATTAAACTACGGCCTTTGATTTTATCAACTCAATATTCAGTGTTGTTCCACAGTTTTATCTATAAAGTATAAGATAATAAAAATATCTTACTTAATAATTTTTAAACATCCTGGGGAATAACTGCATTTTAAGAAATAGTGAGGCCATGATTATACTGATTTGCTTTTTAAGTTACCACTGAACAAAACATTTCTAACTAATCTTTTAAAATGTGTACATACACACAGGCCCAGAAATCCACTAACATGCACATGCAAATATACAATATTTAAAATAACCAGCAATTATAAAAACTTAATAATCAATTTTAAGTTTATCACCATAAAAGTCAACATAGGCTTTCCCATCAATGAATTCATCAGGTTTGTTGAAGTCTTAAAATTCAATGACATCCATTTAAGTAAAGTCTTTTTTATTGGTTAAAGCATGAAAAGTTTTGGATAAGGAATTATTTAAAGTTTGCAAGCCAACAACAAAACTACTTTAGAATAAGCTGGTTTTTATGTTTTACTTCTCTCCTGTTGCTGCACAGTCCTTAAATGATAAAAAGAACATTTCTAAACAAGGTTTTGGTTTTCTGTTTCTTCCGTTCTTTTAAATTTTTTTTAATAAAAATCACCAAGTTGCTATGGACTTTAAGCTAGAGAACCATGCTAACATCTAAACTAAATAAAATATTGTAAAATTAGTAACTATAACTTATACCCTTTTACATAAAGCCTTTTAAAAGCCAATTAATCTCCCTGAGAATTCTTCCCACAAGAAATTAGTCAGGATAACTTACTGCTTCTACATGCCAAATCCAAATCAATGAAAGTTGCAAAATATATTGTTTATTTATAGATAAGCATTCTCTAGATGTATGAAAAAGGCCTTTCCAATTTATTCTATATTATAAAATAAAGAGTTGCATTAAAAGTCTACCTTCTGTAGTTCAAACCAAAGTCTGAGGAGGTTAACATTAGATGGAGCTTTCCAATTAAATTGCAAACTAGTGTTCTCTGGAAGCAAGGAATAAGGTTTCTCTGGTGTGTCAAACATTTCCACAGTGACAGGATGACTCTCTGTACACCACATTTTCTCAGAGTGGCAGGCCAGAACCTTTTTGTAAAAAAAGAACAGTTGCTTAATCTTTTGAGAGCCTTACACTTGAGAATGACAATAAAGAGTGCCTAGTTTACTCACTGTACCTTTAACACATAAATATTTCCACCAGATAATCCAGTAACAAGGAGAGTGAGACTTCCATTTGGAAATTCACTTTGCCTGAGAGGAGTTTCAGGAATTAGGGCCAGATGCGAGACTGCCAACTGGTAGCGAACTGATTCTTTAGGTCCATTTGGCTTGTGAGATTCTCTCCAAGATATAATGAGGATGGTGTCTGACCGCACAGTTGTATTAATGAGCTGCACTGCCTCTGGTACTGAAATAAATAGCAAGGAATGATAAAGGATGCTACAATAGTGCTTAAAGACGGAAAGAAGTAATAGAGTTTGGGTTGAGGAGTAATCATATAGTATGAGCAGAACAAATAACTGATGTCCAGAAAGAAAGCCTCTTATATAATGGTAAGTTAACAGGCTGCCTGAAAGGCTCCCACTTACTTTTGTCTAGTGAGTAAATCATTCTCTGACTCCAACTCAAGGATATAGACAACGGGAAATAACCCAATTTGGGTGAGTTTTGTGACTATCAGAGAAATCTGAAATAAATGTCATCACCTCACAATAATCGATGACTAATCATATCTTAGAAAACCTTTTTAGGTCTATTTTCTTTAAGGCAATACTGTTGTGTAACTTTACATCTCAGGCCTCAGTAAAATTCACATAGAAAAAAGGCTTGGCTTTTCTACAGCTCACCACATGTACAGAAACCTCTGAGTATCTGGAAAAAGAGTGACACTGTGTGGTGAGTCCAAATAATGTGTTTCTTGGTCAAACAATATTAATTTCAATGTTTTACCTCCTAGTTGTGTCCATTTTGATAGAATAGTATTAGTCAACTTCAAGGGTTAGAGTAAGGGTCAGATCATAGTTTTCTATAAATACATTTTTCTCATTAAAAAAGCTTATTTGCTAAAATTACTTTGCATTCAAATTTAAAAAATAAACATCGACATACACATCACATATATCACAATATCCTCCTTGAGAAACCCACACCAAGCCCATAACTCACCTCCACTTTCAGTTTTTCCCCAAATCTCTTTTCTTGGTGGTAAGTGTTCCAAAGGATCTGAATAATAATTTTTTACAGCTGTCTGTATCATGTATGTCGAAAATGGTTGTAAATCTTCAATAAGAGCTATACTGCCCTGAAATTCCTGTAATTAATTTTTTAAAAATCATTATCTTATTTTTAACATTTTATACAATGGGTAGAAATTATTTAATCAAAGAGAGAACAAAGTTAAAAAACTCAAAGGAGTTAATTTATTTTAAATTCTAGATTATTAATGGTAATACCACTGTTCTAATCTACCCAGACCTGAGTTGTTCAATATTTCCAGGAATAAATACCAAGTGACTGGTAGCCCTCAGCTGATTTTGTGGCATAAATCATTTCACATGGAAAGTTAAATTCCTAGAAGAGGACACTATTTCATTAACATTGTGTTAGAAATTCAGCAAGATGGTAGTAAACGTGTGACACATAAGTGAATATAATAAAAGATTGTTATGTTACCTAATCATTCTTAGAAATAAAGTTTAAGAGAGTAAAAAGACTTTCCTTAGACCAACAGTTCTCAACTTTGTTTATACTTTGCTATCATCTGGGAAGTTTTAAGAAACTGCTATGTCTGGGTTCTATTGCCAGAGATTCTGATTGAGTTATCTGGGGTGAAGCCTAGATGCAGTATTTTTTTTAAAGCTTCCATGTGCCACCAAGGTTGAGAACCACTGTCTTAGACCACTGTTAATCAACGGGAAGACTGTAAGATAGATTAAATTTAATAACAGCCATGTCCAATGCCGCAAGTCCAGTCTTCACCAGCCAAATGAGCTAATCTATCTCTGAAATTACTCATGTTCAAAATGTGTAAAAAGCGTTAGTTAGCCAAATAAAGGAAGTAATGAAAAATCACATATACTTTATGTGAAAGCATATAGTGTTTAATGTCCAATAGTTAGTAAATTTCACCTTTTGGATTGGCTAAATAAAGCCAAGCACAAAGCAAAATATTGGATATACATGATTCTGTCACTAAGGCAACTGAAATATTAATGAATATATTTCATCACTCAATGATTGAAAGAATAGTGCCAATTCATTTAAGAAATGTCTCGTGAATGCCTTGACAGTGCCAAGTACTGTGCTAGGTGCAAGGGATACAGTGATGCCTAAAAACAGCATCTGCATAGCAGTATATTCCTCTTCACACAGGAAACAAAAGACAAAATATAATGTACAATTTTCATATTAGATACATTCTATGGAGGTATATGGCAATGTTCTTTCTGTCCAGTCCATTTCTTTCTCTTTCTTTCTTTCCTTCTTTCTTTCTTTCCTTCTTTCCTTTTTTCCTTTTTTCCTTCCTTCTTTCCTCCCTTCTTTCTTTCTTTCCTTTCCTTTCTTTCTTCTTTTTGTGATGGAATCTCACTCTGTCACCCAAGCTGGAGTGCAGTGGCGCAATCTTGGCTCACTGCAACCTTCACCTCCCAGATTCAAGAAATTGTCCTGCCTCAGCCTCCCGAGTAGCTGGGAATACAGACACCCACCATCACACCCAGCTACTTTTTGTATTTGTAGTAGAGACAGGGTTTCACCATATTGTTCAGGCTGGTCTCAAACTCCTGACCTTGTGATTCGCCCACCTCGGCCTCCCAAAGTGCTGGGATGACAGGCGTGAGCCACCACACCTGGCCCAGTTCATCTCTTACTCCTCAATCTTCAATCCACTCTATAGGGCACACAAAAAAAATAAGTCTCTATCATTCTCTTTGAGGATAATTAGACCATCAGAGTGGAGAATAAACCCAATTCTTTCTAGACACTCAGAAAACTGTTACCATGGCAATCTATCAATAGGCAAGAGTTGATATACTTCCTTGAAGCTTAACTTACTCACAGTCAAGAAAACTAGAACACAATATCTTCTGATGACTCACTAGCTGTGAAAAAGTTGCATACTAGTCCATTTCAGAACATATAGGAAATACTTTACTATGGCTCATAATTTTATATCATAAAAGAGAGTCTTGTGAAAACACAAAGACCAGTAGTTCCAATCTTACCAGAATTCTATATTTCAAGTCAGAGCTGTTTTTCCTGTCATTAACTTCTGCATAACAAACCAGGTATGTTGGAGTAGGGCTGGTGATGTCATACCATGTGAGGTTTGTCTTGACCAGACGTAATCTGATTGTGAGGCTGGTGTTAGTTGTATTAAGTATAGTTGGTTCCACAGTGTCTGAAGCTAGAGACAGAAGCACTTTATCTAAAATAAGAAGAAAGCAAAAGATTAAATATATATACATATATGTGTAAGAGAGGAAAAGCAGATATCTTAACAAGGATAATATCAAAAGTTAGAAATTTGTAGAGCATACATAACTTTTGCTTGAAAAGATAAATATGAAGATGCTTTTGAAATAATGTTCTCTTTGAAGAAACAAAAATGGCTGCATCATGATACTGTGTGCAGTACGTACTGCTACAGTCTACCCAATGTCCTCCTTCTTTCCTTCAAGTTCATATACGTCTGACATCGTTCTGGGAGGAAAACCTGTTTCTGAAGTTTGATTGCAGCCCAGACAATCATGTGACACAGTCTGGTTAGACAGATGTAAGGTGGGTACCTGCTTATCACTGTTGCACACCTCTGCCCTTCACCATCTCCCAGCCCTAGAGGCTGACACTATGCCGGAGGGTCTTAGTGTCATCTTATGAGAATTGAGTAAAAGACTCACTAAGGAAGTTTGGGGAAATATCAAGCCCAGGTGCTTAATGGCATTGTGGAGCTCCCTGGCCACCACATACAACCAAACACATTGCACACTGCAGAACTCCAGGGAGCCCTAGTCACATAGACTGCAATGGGAATGGTCTGTTCTAGACCAGTACAGTAGCACAACCATACTGCAGGCTTAAGCCTCAAAAATCACGATTCTGTCACTTGCCGCTGAACACAACTTCCTGATCTATTCACTCTAAGTCTTAATGTGAAACATCACCTAAAAACACAGGACTGCAGGACTTCTACCCATCCGACCCTTCACACAGGGAGTCTCTTCAAGTTGGAATGATCTTCCCCATCGACAAAACCTTACTTAAGGCTCAGTCCTTGCATGATTTCTCCTGCGAAGCCCTTTCTGCCTTCCTATTCCAGGTGAAGAACATCTCTCTGTCCTCACTACACTTCACGTGTTTTTCTACCAGTGCACTAGCCACATGTGATTTTGGTTTTGGTTTTCTTTTGCTGCTTTCTTGTCTTCCTCTACCACTAGAATGTAGGCATCTTTGGCTCAAACTGTGCTTGATTTATCTTTGTTCTCCCAGAGCCCCAGCGCATGACTGACATATATTAGGTATTTAGTAAGTGTTGTAGATCCTTATGACTTTATATTAGCCACATATAAAATACATCCTTTACATTCAACAAGTAAGAAAATTAGGGGGTAAATGTCTAAGTGACAAATAACTTGACCAAGCCAGCTCCCTCACTTACTAACTTTTTGGTCTTGGGAGTGTTACTCCAGCTCTTCTGTAAACAGAGGTGATTGCCTGCTTTACAGGTATTTATATATCACTCTATCCCTAGCACATGGTGAGCATATTAAATAAATATTAGCTATTATTATCATCATTACTGAGATTAAAATGAAAACTTAGATAAAATAATGCTGATCTGGTCTGGGAATTCCAAATATAAATTCCAAAATGCAGAAAAAAAATGTTTAAAATTAGAACTACATCACAAATCTCCAACAACAGAGAATAACACTGTGAACCTAAGTCTGAGGACATTTGGAAAGTGTGGGGGTTTGGAGATAGATAACGTTACTAAAGTTACAAGATGATCCACTCCAGTTCAATCAATAGTTATGCAATAATATTTAGTTTGTACTGATTTCTGATCTGAACAGAGAATGGGATACACAAGTGAGCAGTCAGAGCAATTATCTAATTCAAAGATCATTGGTAATTTTGTCATTTCTTTATTTAACTGATGAAATATGATATGTTGAAGTGTTGGAAATATTATTCAGGACAAAAAGACAGGTCTTTCCCTTACATTCTTTTTCCTTTTTATAATATCATACATTTTGAAGATAATTAAATGAATGCCTTCAGAAAAAAAGAGAGCAAGGTTACTTGTAATTTCTTAAAATTTCCAGCAGATGGAGATAAAGTACTCTTAATAATGTACCTAGGCACTAGCAACATAAAATTGACTAGATTTTACAGAAAATAATGAGTATTATATTAATCAAATTCTTAATGAGTTCCAGTTTAAAAAAAAAAACCCTCATGCTACTCTTAGGACTTCGTTTTGGAGGATGTTTGTGTATGGGGGCGGGGAGAGATTATGTGTTTTGTTCAACTTCTGATACTGCCTGGACTTTTTTTTTTTTTTTTTGGTAAGATTTTTTGGTGCAGTTTTAGATTCACAGCAAAATTGAGAGGAATGTACTGAGATTTCCCAGATACGCTTTTTCTCCACACATGCATAGCTTCCCCCCATTATCAATACCCCCACCAAAGTGGTATATTTGTTACAATGAATGACTCTACACTGACATTCTTATCACCCAAAGTCCATAGTTTACGTTAGAGTTCAATTTTGCATTGTACATTTTACAAGTTTGAACAAATGTGTGATGACCTGTATCCACTATTATAATATCACATGGAATAGTTCCACTGTCTTCAAAGTCCCCTGTGCTCTATTCACCACTTCCTCCCCCAGCCTTCTGGCAACTACTGATCTTATTACTGTCTACATAGTTTTTACTTTCCCAGAATGTCATATAGTTGTGGTCATTATATGTAGCCTTTTCAGATTCATTTCTTTTACTTACTTCTACGCATTTAAGTTTTCCTCATGTCTTGTTATAGCTTTGTAGCTCATTTCCTTTTACTTCTGAATAGTATTCCATCATCTGGATGTATCACGTCTCTTTATCCACTCACCTACTAAAGAACATCTTTGTGACTCCTCCATTTTGACAATTATGAATGAAACTGCTACAAACAACTCTGTGCAAGTTTTTGTGCAAACATAGTTTTCAGCTCTTTTGGATAAATACTAAGGAGCATCCTTGCTAGAGTTTGTTTAATTTTGTGAGAAATTACCAAACTGTCTTCCAAAATGGCTATACCATTTTGCATTCCCACCAGTAATTAATAAGGTTCCCATTTCTCCACATCCTTGCCAGCATTTGATCTTGTCGATGTTCTGAATTTTGACCTTTCTCATAGGTGTGCAGTGATATCACATTGTTGTTTTAAATTTGCATTTTTTGGATGACATGTAGAATATTCGTATATCTTGTCATACATGATATGAATTGCCATTTGTTTTATCTTTTTTTGTTGAGGTGTCTGTTAAGATATTTGACCCATTTTTAAATCATGTTTCTTTCCTTATAGTCAAGACTTAAGAGTTCTTTGTAAAGTTTGGTTAAAAGTTTTTTTTTTATCAGATATATCTCTTGCAAATATTTTTCTCCCAGTCCGTGGCTTGTCTTTTCATTCTCTTGAGAGTGTTCTTTACAGAGCAAATTTTTTTTAAATTTTAATGAAGTCTAGCTTATCAATTCTTTTTTTCATGGATTGTGGCTTTGGTGTCATACTTTAAACATCATCATCAAACCCAAGGTCATCTAGACTTTATATTATTTTCTAGGAATTTTCAAGTTTTGGACTTTACCTATAGGTCCGTGTTCCATTTTGAAATGATTTTTGTGAATGGTGTAAGGTTTGAGTCCACATAAACTTTTTTGCATGTGTGTGTCCAGTTGTTTCAGCACAGTTTGTTGAAAAGTATTCTCTATCTTTTTGCCCTTTTGTCAAAGATTACTTGAGTATATTAATATGGGTATATTTCTGGGCTCTCTATTCTGTTCTGTTGATATTTGTCTATTCTTTCACCAATACCACACTGTCTTGATAACTGTAACTTTATAGAAAATCTTGAAGTCAGGTGATATCAGTCTTTCCCAACTTTGTTCTTCTCCTTCAATACGGTACTACATATTCTAGGTCTTTTGCCTCTCCATATTAACTGTAGAATCAGTTTGCTAATATCTACAAAATAATTTTAGCTGGGATTTTCACTGGGATTTTATCAATCTATAGATAAGTTGACAATATTGAGTCTATCTATGAATATGGAATATCTCTACACTTACTTTGTACTTTGATTTCTTTCATCAGAGTTTTGTAGTTTTCCTCATATGGATTTTTGTCCATATGTTGTTAGATTTGTACCTCAGTATTTCTTTTTTTTTTTTTTTTTTTTTTTGAGACGGAGTTTCGCTCTTGTTACCCAGGCTGGAGTGCAATGGCGCGATCTCGGCTCACCGCAACCTCCGCCTCCTGGGTTCAGGCAATTCTCCTGCCTCAGCCTCCTGAGTAGCTGGGATTACAGGCACGTGCCACCATGCCCAGCTAATTTTTTGTATTTTTAATAGACACGGGGTTTCACCATGTTGACCAGGATGGTCTCGATCTCTCGACCTCGTGATCCACCCGCCTCGGCCTCCCAAAGTGCTGGGATTACAGGCTTGAGCCACCGCGCCCGGCCCTCAGTATTTCATATTTTTGTGGGTGTTAATGTAAATGATACTGTGAGTTTAATTTCAAATTTCACTTGTCTATTGCTGGTATATAAGAAAGTGATTGACTTCGTATATTAACCTTGTGTCCTGCAAACTTGCTATAGTCACTTGAGTTCCAGGAGTCTTTTTGTCAATTCTTTCAGATCTTCTATATAGATGACCATATCATCTGTAAACAAATAGTGTTAGTTCTTCATTCTCAATCAGTATGCTATGTATAACTTTTCTTGTATTGTCGCGTGCTGTGACTTCCACTGCAATGTTGAAAAGAAACTGGGAGAGGGAACATCCTTGCCTTGTTTCTGATTTAGTGGGAAAGCCTCTAATTTCTCACTATTATGACGTTAACAATAGGGTTTTTATAGGTGTTTTTTCTCAAGGAAGTTTCCCCTATTCTTAGTTTGCTAAGAGTTTTTCCTCACGGATGAGTGCTGAATTTTGTCAAAAGCGTTTTCTGCATCTATCAATGTGATCATCTGATTTTTTCTCTTTCAACTGTTGATGTAATGAACTACATTAATTGATTTTCAAATGTTGACTCAAACTTGCATAGCTGGGATAAATCCCACTTGACCGTGGTATAAAATTATTTTAATATATTGCTTTATTTTCTGCAATTCTTGCACTATTGAAGAGAAATACTGGTATAAAATGTTCTTTTCTTGTAATATATTTGTCTACCTTTGGTTTTAGGGTAATTCTGGCCTAGAATAAATTCATTCATTGGCCTAATTGGAAGTAGTCCCTCTGGTTCAATTTTCTGAAAGACATTGTAGAGATGGTATAATTTTTCCATATATGTTTGGTAGAATACACCATTGAATTCATCTGGGTCAGGTGCTTTCTATTTCAGAAGGCTATTAATTACAGATTCATTTGACTTAATAGATATGGACATATTCAGAGTGTCCATTTCTTCTTCTGTGAGTTTTAGCATATTGTGTCTTTAAAGGAATTGGTCCATTTCATCTAGCTTATTAAGTTTGTGGGCATAGAGTTGTTAATACCATTCTTTGATTATCCTTTTAATCTCCATGGGTTTATAGAGATGTCTTCATCTTCATTTCTACTATTAGCAATTTACATACAGTCTCTTTTTTTTCTTAGCCTGGCTATCAATTTTGTTCATCTTTTCAAAACACCAGATTAGTTTCATTGATTTTTATCTATTGATTTCCTGTTTTCAATTTCATTGATTTCTGCTATACTTCTCTTTGTCTTTTGTTTTTCTTTTGTTTCTTTTTATTATTTTGGATTTAATTTACTCTTTTTTTCTAATTTCCTAAGGCAAAACCTTTAAGAATTTTAGGATTTTTTTCTAATATACACAGTCAATGCTATAAATTTCCCTGTAAGCATTGATTTTACTGATTCCAATAAGTTTTAATGTTTTGTTTTCATTTTTAGTTCAAAATATTTTTAATTTGAGATTTCTTCTTTTATCCATTTGTTATTTAGAAATGTGTTGTTTAATCTTCAAGTGCTCTGAGATTTTTCAGTTATTGATTTCTAGTTAAATGCCATATAGTCTGAGGACAGATATTGTACGATTTCTATTCTTCTAAATTTGTTAAAGTATATTTTATGGACTGTCTTGGTGAATGTTCCATGTGAGCCTGAGAAGAATGTTTATTCTTCTGTTGTTGGACAAATTATTAATAGTAGATAGATGTCCATTATAACCAATTAATTGATGTTGTTATTGAGTTCATCAGTATATCCTTAGTGATTTTTTTTTTCTGCTGGATTTGCCCATTTCTGATAGACAGATGTTGAAGTCTTCAATTGTGATAGTGGCTACCTCTGCTCCTTGCAGTTCTATCTGTTGCTGCCTCATGTATTTTGATGCTCTGTTGTTAGGGACATATGCCTTAAGGATTATTACGTCTTCTTGGAGAACTGACCCTTTTATAATGATGTAATGTCCCTCCTTATCCCTTATAACTTTCCTTGCTCTGAAGTCTGCTCTGTCTGAAATTTACATAGCTATTTCTTCTTTCATTTGATTAGTGATAGCATAATATACTATCTCCATTCCTTTACTTTCCCTATATGATGTACCTTTATACTTGAAGTGGGTTTCTTATACACAATGTGTAGTTCAATCTTGTTTGTTGATCCACTCAAACAGCCTCTGTCTTTTAGTTGGCATATGTAGGCCATTGATCTTCAAAGTGACTACTGCTATGTTTGCATTTTGTGGTTTCCCCATAGTTCTTGAATATTCTGTTCTGGTTTTTTTTCCTTTTTATTTTATTTATTATTATTATTTTGCTTTATAGTTTTGGAGGTTTCTATTGAGATATTTTCAAGCTCAGAGATTCTTTCCTCAGCCACATCTAGTCTACTATTAAGCCCATCAAACATTCTTCATCTGTTACAGTGTTTTTATCTCTAGCATTATTTTTCCTCAAACATCCGTAGCTTTGCTCACTTTGACCATCTGTTCTTGCATACTGACTACATTATCCATTAGAACCCCTAGCATATTAATCATAGTTGTTTCAATTTATCAGTCTAATAATTCTAACATCCTTGCCATATTTAAATCTGATTGTGATAGTTCTGTCTCTTCGATCTGTGTTTTCTGCCTTTTAGAATATCTTGTAATTTTTTTTTAATAGCTAAATATGATGCACACTACTGGGTGAAAGAAACTGCTGTAAATAGGCCTTTAGCAATGTGGTGGTAAGATTTAAGGAGAGGAGAGGCATTTTATAATCTTAGATTAGATCTCAGCCTTTAAGTGGGTCTTTGCTTTGCTTTTCAACTGTGAACTTCACAGGCTATTTTCAGTCCTCCCACCCTACTTAGGTGGGACAGGATGGCTGGAGTGGGCTGGAGTTGGGTACTTCTCTTTGCCCAGGTCAATTAAGCTCTGATAAAACCCAAGCAGGTCCAGCTGTGGTTAGTATATCTTGAATGCAGACCTTGTAAAGAAGAACAGAATGGTCTGGTCCCTTTCAATTGTTCCTTTTACCCACCCCGCTGCAGGAAGCACAAGGAGATTTTCTAAGAAAAAAAAAAAAAAAAAAAAAAAAAACAATTAAAGCTCCTGGAGGTAAAACTTATAAAAGTGTGAAGCCCCACCCCCACCCTATGGCTTGATCCCCCTCAAGTCTCTGATTTTCAGAGTTACCCACACTGAGCCTCAAGTAATTCAATTACAGTTTAGCTTTTTCTACTGCTAAAACTGCTTTTTTTGGTTTTTCTACTGCTAAAACTGTTTATGGGTTTTTGCTCTGGTAAATTGTACTTCTCTGTATTTACCAATATGTCCTTCCAATACTGGGGATAGCAGTTTGCTCTGTAACCTCACTTCTCTTGTGGATTCAAGAAGAGCTGTTAAGTTTTCAATTTGCTCAGCCTTTTACTTGCTTTTGGGTGGAGTGGCAATTTCTAAGCTTCTTATATGCTAAGCCAGAAACCAGAGGCCGCGTGAACTTTCAAAATCCCTTAAACTTCTCAAAGGGAAAAATAAATTATTTTACAAAAATACAAAGTAGTCTTTATTTATACATTTTTACATTTTTCAATTTACATATTTTATAGCTGAAAACATTTAAATGAAGGGAGTTTATGTCATTCATTTCTGTCCCTCTCCAGAGAAGAGTTATACTTAGTTTAGACTGGCATTTGTACCTTAGTGGCAAAGAGAGACTTGACAAGAGACCAATGAGGCCGTGCAATACCGGTTTTGTTTTTGTTTATATGGTTTTTAGATTTCAACAAGATTTTATTATGACTGTCAGTAGAAAATATATAGTCAGTTCTGCTATAACATGATACATGCTTTTCTAGGAATCACTGCAGTATACAAATCACACAGTAAAATTCTGTTTATGGGAAAAGTAGGATGAGGGGCATAGCACTAAAAAACTTCATCAGAGACACTTTTTTAAAAAAGATTAAAACAATAAAAATGGTAGCACAGGCTTATTCGTGTTAAATGGTACCACATATTATAATAGTATATATTAATACCTAATGCTTTGATACATAATACTGCATAATAGTAACACAAGTATGACCCATTACCTTGAAAATGAGGTTGTATGCAATGCTTTTTGACACCATTGGGAGGCCTAAAATATGATCAAAGGAGAAATGAGAGAAAGAAGAGAAATTATGGGACTGAGAAGAGAAAGAGGACAGGCAGAGAGAACAACAGGATGCAGGTTTCCCATGTCTAAAGTTGCCCACCACAGCCCAAGCTGCATTTACACATAGAAGTAATTTGTGATCCAGGGCAAACAGTAATCAGAATGCACATTAAAGACTGGCAGTTTGGAGCAAGGATGAGAGCACAACAAAGGGGCTAAAGGGACAGCCTTGGAGAAGAAGACATTATGAGAATTTTCTGAACCTAAATTGGGAGAACAAGCTGATTATGAATGTGACTTTATTACCTGGAAAAGGTTGCATTACTGAACTGTAAGCCAAGATATGCTGACTCCTTAAGGCGTTCACCTGGGAGACGATGGCCCCAGTTCCTTTCTTTGCTTGATAAATTTGTGTGCTGTCCTTTGCTGTGATGATCCAATATACAAAATCTCCATCCACAGTTAAGCTAACAAGTGTTTTACCTGCCGTTAAAAGCATAAGGAATATGAAGAACAAAATAAATGTCTTACATTTTTTACTCTAAAGAACATATAAAATTCTTTTTCTATATTGTAACTCTTAAATTTTGAATTTATTATTTTAATATATTAAAAAAACTTTCTTTTATGTCATTTGGCTAAGGGTTTTAGGGGTGTTCTCTAATTTTAGCACCATATCAAGCCAATCAGGTAACTACTATTTTTACCAGCATCATTTTGCGGAAAGGCAAACTGACGTTTAAAGGAATTAAGTAATCTGCTCGAGGACACTAGGTTAGTAAAGGGCAGATCCAGGATTTAAAACCCACCTATATGACTCAAAGTTAAATAATGCCAATCTGAGGGAAGTATTAAATGATAGGCATAAGTCTCAGTGACTTTCTCAATATATTTATCAGTGGTTTGAAATGAATGCATAGTAAATATATTTATCAAGTTTACAGATAATACATGATTATCACTGTCACTAGCAGGTTCGGTTACAACCTTGAAATTCAAAAATATCACAACAGAATCAGGAAATTGATTCAAATTTTATAGGAATAAACGTAAAATCCTAAATTTAAGTTTCATATCAACTCTGTAAATGGACGCATGAAAGGGATCTGGCTTAATAATAATGAATGTGGAAAGACTGTGGTCTTTCAATGGCAAGTATCCTAAAGATCTGATACCACTTTTGGCTACAACAAAAAGAAGACCATCATAGCCAGAGTCTCCCTTCACTGACCAGAACACATTGAGAGTGCAGTGTCTTTATGGGGGCAATATTTAAGAGGATATTAACCAGCTGGAATGAAATTACAGGTGGAAGACTAGGGCAAAGATCAAGACGCCACATTGCCTGGGGAGTAATTGCAGATACTCAATTTTTTTCTCCAAAGAAAATGTTTGGTTCCAGCATGGTGTCTCATGCCTATAACCCCAGCATTTTGGGAGGTCAAGGTAGGTAGGTCACTTGAGCCCAGGAGTTCAAGACTGGCAGCATAGCAAGACCCTGTCTCTACAAAAAAAAAAAAAAAAAATACTAAAATTTGCCAGGCATGGTGGTGTGCAGCTGTAGTCCCAGCTACTTGGGAGGCAGAAGCAAGATGATCACCTGAGCCTAGAAGAATGAGGCTGCAGTGAGCCATGATTGCACCACTGCACTCCAGCCTGGAGAACAGAGTGAGACCCTGTCTCAAAAAAAAAAAAAATGCTTACAATGAGCTATGACAGTTATCACTACATAGTTGAATGGCTATCATGTGGAAAGTGATTAAATTATTCTTTGTAAATTTAGAGGTCAGAACCGAGACTAATGAATGGGAGAAACAAAGAGAAGATGGGCTAAATATAAGGAAAAAATCTAATATTCAGAATTGTCCAAAAATGTAGGCAGACTTCCTTATAAATTACCAGGGTTTTTTAAAGAAACAGGTGTTTATGCAGGACTATTTTTAAAGAAAAGATTTCTTGCAACATCATAACATCTAAACGATCTCTAAAATCTTTCTAATTTTCTAATTTTAGGATTTTAATTACAGGTTTACGAAAAACTGACCAGTGTTATACATATTAATGGTCCACTAGATAATTCTTGTGTCTCGTGTATTAAACACTAAAGAAAAAATTATTCTGACACTTGTTAAAATGGTAAGAAAGACTTTAGTCAAGACAACTGCAATAGCACAGTAGGAAAGACAAACAGTGCAATGTAACAAAGACAGTGGGGTTTTTATAGCCAAAAAATTGAGTGAGAAAGTCAGTGGGTGGAAAGATAGTAAGAGATAACATCAAGGATAAGGCAATCCTTGTTAAATTATCCTAACAGGATTCCGGCTAAAGGCAGGCCAAGAGCCTATACACAATTCTTACTTAAGTCAGACCAATGCCCATCAAGGGTGAGAGATGAAGAACTTGATCAGATATCAGTGGTGGGAAGGTTCTCTCTAAACTGACTTTGTAGGATTTTTGATAAAACTGAAGTCAAGAAGGATGGACACAGGAAGACCAAGGTTGAGGCCTAGTCGAGAAGAGGACTCAGAAGAGCATAACTAAAGTTTAATCAAGGAAGGTGTCTTTGTCACAGGTTTAACAGAAGCAAGTAATATACCTAAGAAGGAATCACTCAAAACATTACCTCTACCATTAAAAATCCATTTAGAGTACCTAGGAATTGTTTCTAAAAGGGCTTGGTTGACACGTCAACAAAAGCTATGTGCAATTATAACACATACATACACATTTGCAATTTCAAAACTTCACTGTATAATCCAGCAATGACCAATAGAACTTATAGTGATCATGGAAATGTTTTTTACTACATTGTCCAATACAGTGGCCATTAGCTATTTATGGCTTTTGAACACTTGAAATGTAGCTAGTGTGACTGAGAGATTAAATGCTTAATTTTATTTAATTTTTTTTTTTTTTTTTTTTTTTTTTTTTTTTTTTTTTTTGAGACAGAATCTTACTCTGTCACCAGGCTTGAGTGCAGTGGCACCATCTTGGCTCACTGCAGCCTCCACTTCCTGGCTTCAGATGAGTCTTCCTGCCTCAGCCTCCTGAGTAGCTGGGATTACAGGCTTGCACCACCATGCTCAGCTAATTTTTGTATTTGATGGGGTTTCACCATGTTGGCCAGTTTGTCTCCAACTCCTGACCTTAAGTGATCCACCCACCTCTGCCTACCAAAATGCTGGGATTACAGGCATGAGCCATGGCAGCCAGCCTTAATTTCAATTAATTTAAACTTAAATAACCACATATAGCTAGTGATTACCATACTGGGCAACGAAGAGTTGACTCTTAAGAGTATATGGAGTATTTAGAGTGTATTTTTTTTTCTGTTGAATAACTCCTAATTAGGAGACTTCCAAATTGTACTTGACTTTAGAATATTTATTCTACAATCATTTAAATTTCAACAAATAGACCCAAATATTGAATCAGCCATGTTGAAATGGGATCACAAAGAGGAAACAATTTAGGATAGGGGGAAGATCATGCATGTTGTAATTAGACCTAGTTTCAACTTCTTTACTAATTGTGGCCCTCGGGAAAAGTTACCTTACTTTTCTCAGACTTTGTTTCCTCATCTGTAAAATGAAGATATTAGTACCTACTTCACTGAGGCATTATGAAGATTAAATAAAATAATGCATTTAGTACATGCTAAGCATATACAGTTAAGCCCATTAAATTGTAGCTCTACTATTAACCACAATTCTTAAAATACAGATTTAGAAAATTATGTGAATGCCTACATACAATTTTCCTGAAAACAACTTGATTTAAATTCTACAAGAACACTTGGCATGGTGCACAGCAAATGTCACATGTATATTCTTTGGAGTATATGGAGAATTCAAGCCCTTTTTCAGTGTGATTGAAGGGGCTGTGCACATACATCAGCATCTTACCAAGCATAGCAGGTACCGTGATAACTCTCCAACACTGACATCCTTCCAGATCTGTTACCCAGATCTCTTGTGCTTTGGCAAAGTATATCAGTGGTTTCTCTAAGTCAGAGGTATCAATAGCCATTGCTCCAGTTAACTCAAATTCAGTCACATTGCAAGAACATTGGTTCCTTTTGCTTTGTTGGTTTGTAGCTGTGGGTTGCAGAATTCGGTGCAAGGTGTGATTGATAATACTGTAGTAGAACATCTGATAGCCAAAATCGGAAACTTCTGTCCAATACAAGCGACTATAGGAGGAAAAAAAAGTCCCTCCAACTTAATGAGTAAAATACATCATTTCAAATATTGGTTTCTAATGCAGATCAACCATTCCTAATGACTAGGAGGGACAAATGGAGCCTTTAGAGAGAGCATGATCGTGTCCAGTAATGTTTTACTGAGATTAAAGAAGTCACAAGAAGTCTAACTTGTAGCAATTCCAGTGATTTCTCAATAAACGTGTTTACAACTAAGGTCTTGGAATATAATAACCTTAGGTGCTATGTTAAAAGGCCCACATAATAGCTGAAATATAAAATATATTTGCATAATTTTCATCAATGTCCATCTCTATTCCCCTCCTCTCAGGTTTGTTTCTGCTTCTTAATTCTAGTTAATGATCTAGTTTCAAAATAACCTATTCCCATGCTTATGGTACAAACAAAAATGTATCTTTTCAGCCTGGGAAATTGCTACTTAGGTGCTGAAAGGAGACTTTAAAGCTCACCTTATGAGGATATTAGTTAAACTAAGATGGATGATCACAGAATAACTTTTGCCGTGCAAGACATGCTGCCCCTCTGTTCCTGCTCATTGCTTGCCACCACCTCAATCCTCTTCTTGTGCTTACCAACAGATGATATTATTGCATTCCCTAGCATACAAATCTGCTATTGTTTCCTGATGGTAATTAGCCTAAATTTGTTAGTCAAATTGTCAGTATGCATTAAGTTTGCATATGTGTGGTTGTGGCTCCTGATTTTCATGCAGAATTACTTACTTTAATATAGCAAGCCCAGAGCCCTAAGCATCTTATTTTCTCATAATTGTCCTCTACTATTAAACCAAAGACATTACATTAAATATGTCTATATCTATTTCATCACAATAAAGATACTTGCATTTACATACCTTAACAGAGGATACACAGAAAAAGAAATTATTGTGGAATTCTTATTGCAAATCTTCACCTTTCTGAGGTATTTCACCTTGTATTCAAGATCAACATCAAATATTTGCAATCCATTTTGTGATTCTTTTAGTGCAAAATAGAGGTGCCTTGAAATCCAGTCAATTGTAATAACTGTGATTTCAGAAATCACTGAATCTCGGAAAAGCTTAGCAATAGGTAGAGAACACAGCCAAGAGGAGAGTGGTTATTTTTATTTGAAGACTTTTCTAAAATCACCCATATCACTTGTTTATTGTACTTCTCATTTGTAATCCCAAACCTCAGCTATCTGGATAGTGTGTCATTGTGACATGGGCCCTCTTCTCACATTTTTCCTAAATGATTTCAACTACCATGGCTTTAACTGCAATCTACAAACCAGTGCTACAAATTCATATCTTCAGACAACATCTTTAATGAGTTACTGATTCAAATATCAAACTGTCTACTGAACATCTCCATATGAATGATCCCAGGAAACAGACTTCATTACCCACCCCAAAAATCTCTTTTTCTCCTGCATTTTATGTTTTTATAGATTTTCAACGCCCACCCAAAGCTAATCCTGACAAATATGGTTCCTCCTTGAATTCTTCTTTTCATTACTACCCAAAGTAAGTAAACTAGTCTGTCTCTCTCTTTTTTTTTTTTTTTTTTTTTTTTTTTTTTTTTTTTTTTTTGAGAGAGAGTCTGGCTCTAACACCCAGACTGGAGTGCAGTGGTGCAATCTTGGCTCACTGCAACCTTCATCTCCTGGTTTCAAATGATTCTCCTGTCTCAGCTTTGCAATAGCTGGGACTACAGGCGCACACCACCACGTCCAGCTAATTGTTGTATTTTTAGTAGAGACAGGGTTTCCCCATTTTGGCCAGGCTGGTCTTGAATTCCTGGCCTCCGGAGATCCCCCTACCTCAGCCTCCCAGTGTTGGGATTATAGGCATGAGTCACTGTACCCAGTTCGAACTAGCCCCATTATAAATGTCCAAATTTTCATCTCCTTTCTCACCTCATGCTCATCCCCTCATTCAGGCCTATAACATTTTCTACTAGATTTCTGTGACAGCCTCCTAATTGTCTCAGACTTAACCCTCTCCAAGTCACTATTCAAGCTGCTAACAGACAGGCCTTTCTAAAACACAACTTGACCATCTTAATGACCCACTAAATATCTTCCCTGGCTTGCTGTTAGCTTCTAGACTGACACCTGCTCTTTAGCACAGTAAAGCAGGTCCATTATGTTCAGGCTCCCCACTACCTCTCCAGCTTTCCCATTTCCTTTCACTCCACTCTCATCCAAACACTCCCTGGCTCTTTGTTTTCCTGTCCTTGTACCTGCCTTGCCTTCACCAGGCTCATCTTTTTTTCCAAGATATTTTTCCACTCTATCACCACCATGCCAACCTATACTACATGTTCATTCTCTGTGATTCCACCACATCCTGTTCTCAGCACAGCAATTATCTTAGTCTGTCTTTGCTCTCAGTTAACATTTAGTGAATGCCTACCACATGCCAGGGATTGTGCTAAATGCATTACATGGATTATCCTATTAAATCTTCATGAGAATCCCATGATGGGGTATTACTTAACCATAGAGATTAAATAACTTTCCAGTGATCATAAATCCAGCAAGTAGTAGAGCCCAAATTGAATTCTAGGTAGTCAAATCCTAAAACTCACTTTCTTAATCACTAGGCAATACCACCTCCCTAGTGTTAGACTACTACTAGTCCGGGTTTATTAAGAGCAAAGTCTATAAAATTTCCTTCTAATATCTCAGGCTCTAACACAGCATCCTAAACCCAGTAACTATTTGCTAACTGAGTGTTGAATGGCATTTCCCCAAGATGTACTCTGTATTCATTTGTGGCTAACGGATTATACAGTAGCTGTCCTTTTCATTCTAATCTTAATGACTAAAGCATTTTCTGCTCATTTTAATTACAGAGTAGTGTCATATGCAAATACTTCCTTTATTTCAAAAGAATTATGTAGTAAAATACCTCAGAGCTAGAACGATTATGCAAGTTCAGAAGAAAGAGTGAGTCCCCTTCAGCATAATATCCCATTTCATTATCAGCTGTGTAGCCCATAGCACTGATAACTCTTTCTGCTGAAAACATCCACACAACTTGATTTTGATCCATATCTAAAAAAGCGATCTTGTTATCAAGAAGAGTTATGAGGTAAGGAAATGATTTGATTTCTGAAAACAAAAAACATGTAGATAATATACATGAGAAAATTAACTTTAGTTTAGCAAAGTCTCTTGATTTAATATCAGGCAGTTTTGAAGTCCTTGGGCTCCCTTTGGTTCCTCTAATACATCTGTCACAGTGATGACCTTCTAGACTCTCTACCCCTAGGTTTCTTTAAACTTATTTTGGTGACGTTTTGGGGTCAAAAACATGTTTTTGATCTAAGATTTAGCTCAAAGACAGTGTTCATATCCCTAAAGATATCAATGGGCAAACACAAACACACACACACACACACACACACACAGAGGCCTCTAAATTACTATTTGCATAGATTTTATAAAACAAATACCTGATGTTGTAGACTTTAAAATATCAGAAAATGGTCCTGGCCCTTTAGATGTAAAGGCCTGAACCTAAAGAAAAGAAAACAAAAACTGCGTTCAATAGTGTTCTCAGTGGCAACATGTAAGTTCTGAGACTGAGAGATTACTAAATGTTGCATTTCATACTCCCGATACACAACATTAATAGTTTTTAATAGTTATTTATATTAATATATAGCAATATAAATCATTAAGGAAAAATATTGCTCTATATTTATGTTGATAGATTTTTTATCTAGAAAAGTGCAAGAATCGAAACAAATCTGTCTTGCAAGAAAACTAATTTCCAAAAAATGTCTGGGAATTAAAAATACAGCAAGGATGGTGATGAATGTTTAATTAATTCAATTGTGATAATCATTACACAATGTATACATTTATCAACTCGTGTTGTACAGCTTGAATACATACAATATTGGTGGGAGTGAAAATGAGTCCAAACATAGTGGAAGACAGTGTGGCAATTCCTCAAGGATCTAGAAATAGAAATTCCATTTGACCCAGCAATCCCATTACTGGGTATATACCCAAAGGATTATAAATCATTCTATTATAAAGACACATGCACACGTACGTTCATTGCGGCACTCTTTGCAATAGCAAAGACCTGGAACCAACCCAAATGCCCATCAATGATAGACTGGATAAAGAAAATGTGGCACACATACACCCTGGAAAAAAATAATAAGTTCATGTCGTTTGCAGGGACATGGATGAATCTGGAAACCATAATTCTCAGCAAACTGACACAAGAACAGAAAACCAAACACCACATGTTCTCACTCATAGGTGGGTGTTGAACTATGAGAACACATGGACACAGGGAGGGGAACATCATACACTAAGGCTTGTTAGGGGATGTGGGGCTAGGGGAGGGACAGCAGGGATGGAGAGGTAGGGGAGGGATAACACTGGGAGAAATGCCTGATATAGATGATGGGGGGAATGGAGGCAGCAAGCCACCATGTCACATGTGTACCTGTGTAACAATGCTGCAAGTTCTGCACGTGTACTCCAGAATTTAAAGTATAATAAAAAAAATTTTCAATTACACATTTTTAAATACTATAAGGTTATTTTCAAAATTAAGTTATGTAGAACATTTAACAGAAATAAAACTGTATAAATTATGATAAACTTCCATTTTTCTTCAATTCAAGAAGATTAAAAACCTAATTTAGCACACTTTTTAAAAAGAGTAATTTTTGGAAATAATTAAATCTTACATTTGAAAATGATTGTGCATTTCAAACCAGTTTCACATACATTGTCTCTTTCAATCATCACAACTACTAAGAGTGGAAACTGGACCAGGATACTAATTAAGGTAAATAACTCATCCACAATGACATATGTAGAAATTGGCAAGTCTTCTGGGGTCTGTATACATTTTTCCCATTGAACCATGCCACATCCTGACAGTAAAGTTTATTTTTACTTTTTTAGATATTTTCTTTTACACAATAAATTATTTCCATTTCCAAATCTTGCCTATGTACGTTAGCCTGCAAAGAAAATTGATATCTATAACAGTGAACTCAAAATATAAAGCCTCAAGTGCTTTATCAGCAAAACATTGTATTATTTGTATTATATTCTTAGTATTAAAAACATTTTACTATACTTTATATATTATCCGTGTATGATTCATAATGGTGCATATATATAATAGTCTTCACTTTTGTACAGAACTGTGTTAAGTGAAACTCATACATATCCACATATATCACTTTGCATGGTTCCATGGTGACCAAAATTTGAAATTATATATATATAGAAAGGCACACTTAACCAGAATATTTATTTTACCAAAAAACTCCTAATTTTTACCAAATAGGAATATGTATTATCTTTAACTTTCATGTATAACATATTTGATTGGTATATGTAGACTTAACAAATCATCAAAATAATTATTAAATTAGAATTTTATGAAAAGAAAAGCCAAATCCCTAGGCAACTCAAATCTCCAAAACACTCCCCAAGATGTTATTTCCCCCCAAAAGAAATGGTGGAAAGCATTATGACACAGTGTTTTCTAGCCACACAGCTTTGGTATTTAACTGATACACTCAAGGACTTGACTTTTCCTTTACAGTATAAGGATTAAATGAGATAACGAATATAAAAGTACCTACTGTGGTGCATGGCCTATAGTGATCTTACTGATAAATAATGGTTTATAAAAATAACACGTGTACCCTAAATGTATGTACAACTACAATATGTATCAATAAAAAAATGCAAAAGTAATGTGTAACATAAAAAAATTAAATTGTGCTGCAGCTTCAAAAACAAAAGCAAAAAGAAAGAGAATGAGTTACTTTGAATTTGCAAAGTTCTCTGAATGTGAGTAAGTTGTGAAAATGTCCTTTACCTCGCTCTCTACTTTTGCTTCCCACTTGACCTTTCTGATCACAGTATACCGAAACTATTGATAGGGTGGCAGAATTTTTAACCTGGTCCTTTAATTATTCTTCTGTTTGCACTATTCAGACCCTCATATCTTCCATTGTCTCTTTTCATACCTGGAAGGCAACAAAGCATCCAGGAGTCATGCCTTCAAGTTGAAAAGACATCACTGAGGGAGTGACATTGGCAGCAATCCAGTCTTCAAATGTTTTGTTAGTAATACTTTGACTGGATATTTTGTAGAAAATTTCAAATCTTGTTAACACCCCATTTTCATGCCTAGGTTTGTTCCACCTAAATTCCACCACAACTTCATTCTTGTTGCAGCATTTTCCACTTGGTAATACAAATATTCTGGAGTTCTCTGGTGCTGATGGAACTGAAAAGTAGAGGCACAGATAGAGCAGAAAAGAATGTAAGACTGACTTTTACCACTTATATGAGAGTGTAAACAACTTAACAGTATTTCTCATTCCAGACAGTTGCAGTATATTTATTACATTCTTAAAGATCTTCAGGAGAGAATATTCCATAGATTTCTTCAGGAACCCATCCTGCTAATTTCAGCACATCTGACTGACAGGCAGGACTTCTTATGTCAAATAAAATCCTTTCTACTACCACTTAAGCACAACTTTCTTCTCTGTGCCTTGTGTACATGGAAGGTCTGGTTTTCCCTATAAAATACAACATTCACTTTCATTCTGACAGAGTGATTTCAGTGAGGGTGAAAATGTTATCATCGGGATGAATGGCAGTAAGTCCAAACAGCCTTCAGCCAGTTCAGGGTGTAAAACACAGCATGCATCAGAGACCTAGGCCCTGTCACTCTGAAGTCCCTAGGAAGCAGAAAGTTTTAGGGGAGGCTGATAGTACCCCAAGAGTCAGGTTTGGGAGTATTCATTTATTCTAGAGGCAAACCAAGCAATTTGGTATCTCTCAGTCCTTTAATCAAGAGAAATGTCTCTGTCTGATTTCTAAGTCATTCTCTCTAGATGGCCCTCTCCTCTCTTAGGACTCCTCCACAAAGTCTTCACTCCCTCCTGCATTCCAATCACATTTCTTTTTAATGTTTAACACTCACGCTATTATTCAATCTCCAAGCCTTCTTACATTGGGCTTCTCTTCTCACATGGGATACCGTTCCTTGCTCCATCTTTCAGGGTGCACTAGTTTCCATTTCCCAAAGGCATCTTATCTCTTAAGAATGCCTGAGGCAGCTTGATATAGGTGAAGGTTTCATAGGTTTTTCTACTCACTCTATGCCACTGCTGCTCACGTATAACTCTCTAGTATCTATTATCATTTGCTGTGCATGAGTTTATCTCCCCCGTGTTTCATGAGCTCCATTAGAGAAAGCATCTCTTCTTACTCCTTGTTAAATCCTCCCAAATGTAGTATAGAACTGGCACACAGTAAGTGGTTAATAAAGGTTGGTCAATTTGGATAATTTCCTGGCTGTATTGTAAATTTCCTGAAGGCAAAGGCCAAATCTTGTCATCCTTTCTTATTGCCTCCAATATCCAGCAGAGAGCTGTTGGCTCTTGCTCCCACCAAATCCCCTGATGGATGCACTCAAGTCCATTTCCACAGAACAATTCAACCAAGCTGATATTCCAAGGAAATCTCAAGCAGAATGTTCTGGGATCCAATGCTAACTGCTCCAGAACCTGTCCAGGCCCCACTATGTCCCTGTTGTGTGATTCGTAGATGATTATTGTTGAAATCATCCTAATAGTAAAAAATGCAATGGTGAATGGATATCTATATTTATCAAGCTCTTCTACCTGCCAAATCCTGTATTAGCTTTACATAAATTAAATAAATCATACTATCATTTACCAACATTTGTAAAAATGACTGAATGGAGATTTGATGAAACTGTAGTGAAAAGTCCAGATTAAGTCCCAGCCCAGTCACTTAGTAACTATTCTATTTAAGCAACTGCTGGGCCTTCGTTTTCTTTCTTGCATAATCAAGATAACAAGACTTTCCCACCCACCTCAGAGCTATGTGAGGATCAAATGAAATGATGTTTCTGACACGTGATAGGTATGTAGTAAATGTTTAATAATGGAGTGATACATAAAAATGTGCTTTGCACACTTTAAGGTGATACATACATGTAACAATATGGCTAGTATCCTTTTTAAAATATCTTTTCCCCCCAACATTAAATTTAGATATCAGTTATTCACCCACGGAAGATTCTGAGTTACCATCCATAAGAACAGTCTGCCTTCCAAAAAAAACTGTCTCTGCCCTTAAATTACCATTTTTCTTATGAAGAATTTTACAAATTACCTGAAATATGCATCTGCATCTTCTACATCACTACAATCAAATGAAATGGCTGTTAAAAAATCTTTGAACTATTGTTTTTGAATAAATTATGCAGATTTATGTTAATAGAGCTATTCTAATCTCCAAAAAGTCATTGAAAGGATATTGAATCTAAACACATCTAAAAAACTGAAAGTTATTTTTAAGTACCAACTTTCTATTCCAGATCATGAAAAGTGAGATTCTGCTTTTTTTAAAAAGAGGGATTTTTAACCTCTGTACCTGTTTCAGGTGCTCGAAGTGACAGAGATGTTTTGGGGCCCTTTCCCCAATAGGTATAAGGAGTGACAGAAAGATTAAATGAGGCATAGGGTTCCAGTCCTTCCACAGTAAATACAGGTGAAGACTGTTGTTCACTAGTCAGGAACTAAAATATAAACACAAAACATTATTTTCTCAGGGAGAGAATTCTAAAATCTTTCATTCCTTATTACCTAAAATCTCCAAACTTTGGTTCACATGTAAAATCAAAACTTGCAATTGAGGAAATGCTAAGCTTGGCAAGTTCCATGTTGTGCCACACAGACCAGTTAAAGTGTATCCAGCACAGCAGTTAGTACCAATCAGTCGGAGACTGGCTGTAAACAAGTTTTCTGGGGAATAATCTTAATAACCAAATGCTATGAAAATGGCAAAGAATACGGGCTTGGCTAAGTCAAGATGGTACAGGTCAGTGTGGGCAGGGCTGACACAGATGGTACAGTCTGTTTGTAAAATGAAAATTACTAGAACCAACACCATACCTTAGATTGAGCACTAAATTCTACACTGTAGAAAACTACACCCCAGTCTACTGCAGGAGGACCATGCCACCGAATATGAAAACTTGAAGCATTTCCTTCGATCCTAAATGAAGACTCTTGAACAGAATCTGGAATAACCTTAGGAGTAAAGGAAAAGTTCCCTACAGGATGAAAGAAAAAAAAAATAGAAGAAAAAAATTGGGGATTATTGATCAATATAAAAATCATAGAAAATCAATAGAAATTGCTAATAATTAGAACTGAAACAAAATTTTCCTTTAACATATCCTGAAAAAAATTATCTTTTTCTGACTTTTTCAGTCTATAAATTTGGGTTAAGATTAAACTCACTGCAAGCAAACCAAATGAAAGTAAAACCTTGTTCCTCTTAAAACTTAATTGTTAAGAAAAAAAAAATCCCAACCTAAACATTTATTTAACAGAAGGTATAATGGAGTAGAGTAGGAAGGAATAAAATACTGTACCTGGCAGAGGCTTAAGGGATGTCTGAATAATTGTGAAATGATTAAATTTGGCTGGTTCCAAAACAGAGACACTGGTTCTCTGACCTATTTCCTGAGTTGTGATAATCCTTAGGCCGTTGATCCAGAACAGACGACCACTATAGTACATCAGTGCATTCTGGGAAATTTCAGAAGTACTCCAGGCTGCAAATTCTGTGATGGTGGTATCCTCAGCACTGCTAAAACATAACACCAATTAGTGTGTGTTTCTGGAGTGGTGGAAGGGCTGGTCCATCCAAGTACTCATGAGAATACGTGTTTGTGAGTATGTGTGCACACTTGTGTACATTACTTTCTAACAATTACTGTCATTTTTTTTTTGTTTCATATTAAGTTGAGCTTTTATTTCAAAATTTTTGAAGTAGTAGACCTAAAGTAAATTTTTTGAGAGCTTTTATTGTTTCTTTGAGATGGAGTCTCACTGTTGCCCAGGCTAGAGTACAGTGGCACAATCTCAACTCACTGCAACCTCTGCCTTGCAGGTTCAAGTGATTCTCCTGCCTCAGCCTCTCAAGTAGCTGGGATTACACACACATGCCACTATGCCTAACTAATTTTTTATATTTTTAGTTGAGATGGGGTTTCACCATGCTGGTGCTGGTCTTGAACTCCTAACCTCAAGTGATCAGCCCGCCTCAGCTTCCCAAAGTGCTGGAATCACAAGCATGAGCCACTGCGCTCCTCTCTGGGGGCTTTTCTTATTAATATGATGTTGCAATATCAAGAGTGTTTAGATAGGTTGCAGCTTTCTAAAAAATACTTGTGATTTTGGTAATACTCTACAACAAAGGCACAACCTGGATTCTCATTACTTCATTAGTTGAGAGATTGTATCTTTGGTTTATTCTATGTGCTCCTACAACACTAGCATTAGCATAAGAAAGACACAAGGCAAGGTTCTTACAGGACCTGGAAATAAGGCAATCATCCAGAAATGAAACCCATAAAAACCAATGGCTGAAGCATAAATTTGCCATCTGTACACAAGGTTAAAAGTTAGCTGGTAGACATGAAGCAGAAGGGCTTTGGGACCAAGCAATGCAATAAATCATGATGGAGACAGCAAATTAGGATTCAGATACTTGTTTATTTATTTATGTATTTATTTGTTTTTGAGACAGAGTTTTGCTTTTTTGTCACCCAGGCTGGAGTGCAATGGCGCGATCTCAGCTCACTGCAACCTCTGCCTCTCAGGTTCAAGTGATTCTCCTGCCTCAACCTCCCAAGTAGCTGGGATTACAGGTGTGTGTCACCACGCCCAGCTAATTTTTGTATTTTTAATAGAGACAGGGTTTCACCATGTTGGTCACGCTGGTGTTGAACTCCTGACCTCCAGAGATTCACTGGCCTCAGCCTCCCAAAGTGCTGGGATTGCAGATGTGAGCCACCACTCCTGGCCAGGATTCAGGTACATGTTACTTTAAAAAGGAAGCCTACTGCATTGAGGAATTTTTTTAAAAGGGCACAGCGAAAGAGCAAGAACTTGCAAGCATTTATCCAGAATTGACAGGAATGACAGTTCTTAAATGTGGTAGCCATAAGGACTCCAGTCCCTAGCTAGACACACAGAGTAACTCTGTTGTGAGCTGAGTTCATCACTGCTCTGACACTGCCCTAGGTGGGCATCCTTCCATTCTGTCCAACAATCCTCACTCAGACTCCTTATTCTTAAAGCAACCACCATGCATGTAACCCAGTTCACATGATGCCAAGAAGGCATGGCCTGCATGTCTACATGACTATTTTCATTTCTGAATAAGACTAGGCCCCACTGTGAAGTAATGAGTTTGCAATGTAGGGGATTCTTCAGAAACAAACAGAACTACATGGAACCCCTGCTTAGCCAATTATTAAATGATTGACTTTAGGCAAATAACTTAGCCTCTCATTGAACCATCTATAAAATGTGGGTATAGCACTAACAAATCTAATCTGGGTGAAGCTTTGGATGAAGCTGAACACATTTCATCGTGGTTTTCTCAAGAAATAAAAAGATGGATTTTTAACAAATCAATTCCATGACCCCACCACCCCGCCAGGCATAACAAGATGAATGGGAAAATCAATCCAGCAAGCATGGTCTCTTGAATGGTTTCTCCTCATTGAACCATGTCTTCCTCCTACTCTTGGTTAGTCATCTGATTTACCTGCCATTTATTATTCTAGCCTGCTGGGTCATTCACTTTATACTGTTCACAACTGTCATTTCAATGTGCTTATCAGTTTCTATAGTTTGATCAAGATGCTCCTTTTCAAACTAGAAAATACAAGTAAAAATTATTGTTTTTGTGTTTCAAGGTTTATCTTCCTTCAATGGAAGAAAATTTTGCAATTATTTTTCCTTGAAAAATCTGCTTGGTTGTTTCTAAAATTATAACACTTGTTTGGTACTCAAAATCTCTGACAAAGCAAACTAAAACATAAAGTAGGGAAAGGATACCCTATTCAACAAATAATGCTGGGATAGTTTGGCAAGCCACATGCAGAAAATTCTCATCTCTGACTTTATACAAAATTTTCAGCTCTCGCCTTATACAATAATCAACTCAAGATGGATCAAAGACTCAAACCTAAGACCTGAAACCTTAACAATTCTAGAAGATAACATCAAAGAAACCCTTCTAGCCATTGGCTTAGGCAAAGACTTCATGACAAAGAACCCAAAAGCAAATGCAACAAAAACAAAGATAAATAGATGGGACTTAATTAAACTAAATGCTTCTGTGCAGCAAAAGAAATAATCAGCAGAGTAAACAGACAACCCACAGAGTGGGAGAAAATATTCACAAACTATACATCTGACAAGGGAAATATCCAGAATCTACAAGGAACTGAAACAAATCAACAAGAAAAAAACAAACCATCTCATCATAAAGTGAGCTAAGGACATGAATAGACAATTCTCAAAAAAAAGATATACAAATGGCCAAGAAACATATGAAAAAATGCTCAGCATCACTAATTATCAGAGAAATGCACATCAAAACCACAATGCAATACCACCTTACTCCTGAAAAAATGGCCATAATCAAAAAATTAAAAAAAAAATAGATGTTGACATAGATGTGGTCAAAAGGCAACACTCTGACACTGCTGGTAGGGATGTAAACTAGTGCAACCACTATGGAAAACAGTGTGAAAATTCCTTCAAGAACTAAAAGTAGATCTACCATTTGATCCAGCAATCCCACTACTGAGTATCCCACCTGGGGAAAAGAAGTCACTATATGAAAAAGATACACGCATGTGAATGTTTATAGCAGCACAATTGCAAAAATATAGAACCAGCCCAAATGCCCATTAATGAGTGACTTTTAAAAATGAGTTACTTTTAAATATATATAATGAGTGGCTTTTAAACATATATATATATATATATATATATATATATATATATATATATATATATATGCAAAAGAAAGCTGGTGTGGCCACACTAATATCAGACAAAGGAATCTTTAAGATAAAGAATACTAGCATAGATGAATAGAAGTATTTTGTAATAATAAAAAGGCAATATAATCAAGTATATAGATAACCAATAACTAAATATAAAGCACCCAAATGCATTAACCAAAAAGAACTATAGACAAATCTACAATCATAGTTGGAGACATACCAAAATTTGTTAAATACAACTAATATAGACCTTAAAAGAAACTCATAGTTTTAAATGCCAGCGAGTGGAATCATATAAAAACAATGACCTCTCTTTTCACCCTAAAAAGCTAGAAAAAGAACAGAAAATTACATCTAAAATCAATAGAAAAGGAAAAATAATAAAAATAAGATTGGAAATTAATGAAATCAAAATTTGACAAAATAGAAAAAAAATCAACAATACCAGAAACAGATTATTTGAAAAGATGAATAAATCTGATAAACATTTAGCAGGAGTGATCAAGATAAAAATGTACCAATAGCAGAAGTATAAAAGAATATCACTATAGACCCTACAGGTCTTAAAATGATAATAAGATGATATTATTAAATTTGACAACTCATGCAAAATGACAAATTCTTGAAAACATGAATTACCAAAACTGGAAATAAAAATAAATATCCTTAATCCTTAAAAGATATCGAATTTGTAATCAAACAATTTTCCACAAAGAAGACTTCAGATCTAAATGAATTCACTTGTGAATTTTATCAAAACTAAAGAAGAATTAATAGCAATTCTATACAAATGCTTTCAAAAAACTGAGGCGAGAATGCTTCCTAAGTCATTTTTAAGACTCACTCTTATTAAAGTATTCTAGAAGAATCTGCTAGGACATATAAATGAGGTTAATAATGTATAAGACACAAAGTCAATATACAAAAAGCAGCTGTATTTTCCCACACTACTAATGAACATTTAGAAAATGGAATTTTTTTTAAATAACATCTATAAAGCATCAAAAAAATAGATACCTAGCCATTACCCTAATAAAATACATGTTAGGCATCTACACTAAAAACTATAAAACACTGCTAAGAGAAATTAAAGAAAATCTAAATAAATGAAAGAGAGACACCATTTTCATTGATTAGAAGATTCAATATTTTAAGATATTCATTCTCCCTAAACTGAAAAGAAATCAAAATTCCAGCAGGATTTATTCTAGAAATTAGTGAGATGATTTTAAAATCTATTTGGAAAGGCAAAAGATTAAGAATAGCCAAAGTAAAAATATTGGAAAAGAAAAGCAAAGTTGGAGGACTGAATCTTGCCTATCTTTAAGTTTTTCTCTAAATTTCTCTAATAATCAGGACAATATAGTACTGGCAAAAATAACAGACAAATATATCAAAGGAACAGAATAGAGAGTCAATTAATAGACCCAGACACACACAGTCAAATTATTTTCAATAAAGGTCCTAAAGCAATTAAATAAAGAAAGAGAAAATCTCTTCAGCAAATGGTGCTAGAACAACTGGATATCCTTACAGAAAGGAAAAAAAGAAATCTTTAATGCATATCTCAGACCATACCCCAAAATAAATTTAAGATGAATCATACATCTAATCATGAAAGCTAAAACAATAAAACTTCTAGAAAAAATACAATGTAAAATCTTTGCAACCTTGGGATAGGCTAAGATTTCTTACAGAAAACACAGAAAGGATAGAATGTAGAAAACGCAGAAATTTGACTTAATCAAAAATGAAATTCTGCTTATCAACGCACACCACCAAGAAAATAAGCAGATAAACTAAACACTGAGAGAAAATATTCACAACACATATTTTGACAAAGTACTTATATACAGAACAACTCAATAACAAAAAGGCAACTCATTTAAAAAGGAGAAAAATACTTAAACAGGCACATCATAAAAGAGGATATATAAATGGCCAATAACAAAAGAAAAAGTGATCAATATTGATAGTCATCAGGGAAGTGCTAATTAAAATCACAATATTTACTGCTCCACATACCAAAGAATGGTGAATATAAAAACAATTGCCAAAGCCAACTGTTGGGAGGATATGGAAGAACCACAATTTTCATACATTTTTATGGAAATATAAAATGGCACAAACATTTCGAAAAATTGTTTGGCAATGACTTAAGAATATAAACATCTATCTACCTTGTCATCCAACAATTCTACTCCTAGGTATTTATCCAAGTATATATCCACAAAAAGCCTTGTATACAAATACTCAGTTTTATGCATGATAATCAAAATTAGGAAGCAATTAAAATCTCCATCAAGATATGCATAGAATGGATACACAGACAGTGGTATCTTCACACAATGGAATACTACTCAGCAATAAAAAGGAAAAACTACCAACATAATGTGGATATATCACAGAAGATTTTATGCCAAGTAAAAGAAGCCAGACACAAAAAATTCATATTTCTGGATGGGGGCAGAGTGACTGGGAAAGGGCACAGGAATTTTTTGTAATGATGGATACTTTCTATGTCTCAAAATGCATTTGTCTAAACTGATGTAATGGAACACTTAAGATCTGAACATTTCACATTATTTATATTATAACTAATTTTTAAAACAAAAGTGTAAATTTTGTTTTTAAAGTATCTGACAATGATAATGTTGAAGATGTAGAGATACTGACAAGAGCAGGACAGGGGGATATGTTTGAGGATGCAGATCAAGGAGATAATTCATGTGGTCCCTTTCACTCTCTGGTTTTTATTTAAGACATCACAGAAAGAGTTCTGCCTTCATTCCATAACGTATACCCTATTTTGTGAAGGAGCAAAAAAGCTTATCCATACACTTCTGGGCTCTTGAGCGGCATTCTCCTGAGTGTCTATTCTGTACTCTCTTCATACCTCATCACAGCACTTGCCATATTCTGTTATAACTAGCTGTTTATAAACCTCTTTCCCCTACAAGCCCAATGCCTGCAACACAGTGGATAACAAGAAATGTTTACTGAAAGAATAAATGAATTTTCATGCATTATCATTTATGACTTAGGGACAAGTTTTCTTCTCAATCAAATGCCTTTGAGGGACCCTACTTACCTCTGTCCCCGAAGAACAGCTGTGTACAGGTGAATACATTGACTGTCTTGAACCAGCCAATACAGGAGCCCATCACTGAGATCTAAAGTTAGAGCAGTTACCTAAAGAGAAAGTCAGGTAAGAAAATAAACCAAATACGTGTTTTAAGCATATCTTTGTGAACAGGTCACACTTAAGCTATAGATATCTCATTAACATCCTCTTTGAAATAATAAATTCAGTAATTTTTACTTTTTTCTGAATATAAAAGTTATATGATTATGCTTATGTTATACTATGTTATTTGGATATAAACACTGGTGTCCTAAAATTGCACAAAAAGGCAATAAGTATATTATTCACTTTTATGTACTTAGCTCTAGTAATTATCAAAGTATGATTCTCAGACCTGCAGCAACAGCATCACCTGGAAACTTGGAACACATACAAATTATCAATCACACGCCAGAGCTACTGAATCTGAAATGCTGATCCTGTGTCAAGCTTGCCTAAAGACCGTGATAACTCTGGCCTCTTTAGCAACATAAGCCAGTGAATTTTGTTATTGTTTAAACCTGTTATCAAACATAGCTGCATATTGGAATGATCTGTGTAGTTTTTAAACATCTCTATTCCCAGGCTGCACTCTATTATATTATGATTGCTGGGGATGGAACCTGACTCCAGTATGTTTTAAAACTTCACAGGTAATCCCAACATGCCACCAATGGTTTAAACTATTTTGAATTGTGTTTTCTATTAATTGCAACCCAAAACATTCTCATACACTTTAAAAAGATCATACACACAGGATGTTTATATTAAACTTGAATAGTAATGTGTGTATAAAGTCCTATTTCCAGATGACATATGAGAACTACTTCTTACTACTTTTTACTTTCTTGTTGCAATGTATATCTTAATTTTACATCCAGTTTTCTGGGTGAGGCCTGAGGAAAGGCTGCTTTTCCTATAACATAGAATATATGAGATAGACGTTACTATCCAAAGATTCTGTTTTAGCTTTCTTTGGCTTTACAAATATTGCTAAGATTGCCAGTAACCTGATGTCAGAGCAGTGGAATCTCCCTATAATATGCCTAGAGGCTGTGAAGTATCCCCAATAGAATTAAAGTTGACGACTACATCTTTAGCAAGATGCAACAGCATTTGAACAAAAATGATGAGCCAGTGAAAAAATGTGAAAAGACTTCAATAAGGTATCTAAGAACCAAAAGTTCTTCCTGACAAGTTACTCTGCTACAAAGAAGCAGTTGTAAGGTACATGGTGGCAAAAACCCTTCAGTTGTCATATAAATCACAGCCTTCTATCTTCAGGAAAATTCAACCAACTTATTCTCCAGAAGGTAAAAATCTATTCTGGCAATTTCCAGCCTTTTAGGAGTTGAATTATGTCCTTGCTCCATATTAAGAAAGATTTATTGTTTTTTTTTTTTCAATAAATCTTTTTTTTAAAAAAGGTTAATCTTGTTTGGTTATTTACAATGAGATGCACTAGAGTTTCTACATTACAAATTAAGTCTACTTTATCTATTTTTAAAAGATTCTACAATTTTTTTTTTTTGCTGGAATATAACAAACTATTCAAATTTTAAGTGAAATTTAGGTGTTGGGTCATCATCCCATTTTTCTGCAGCAGTCAGCAGCTTCATATTTAAACAGTCAGAGGGTGTTCCAAACCTTATATACAAACCTTTCTGATCTAAGCTAAAACCTTCAGGTTAAATTTTAATTCTATGGTAAAATGTACCATATACTGTGAGTTCAGCTCATCAGATGTGGCAAAAGATATCTTTTTACCTTAGAAGAATATCTTACTTTGTTCATTCTTTTTTTATCACACAAATAATTGGGACTTTCTATAAATAATTGGCTATTTCATTATATCTGCTGATTGCAAAATATATTATTACTGCATAATAAATCTGTACATGATATAAGTGAACAAGAGACAAATGGAGAGCTTTGCTGGTTGCAAAATGCATTGCCTTCAAAACAGCCACTGGCACAAATGGAGTCAGATAGATTAGATATCAAACCATGGAACCACAACACAGATTTCCAAAAGCAACAACAGCACTTGACAATCTGGGAGAGGATTTGGAGAGAAGTTTTGTTTTTGTTTGTTTGTTTGTTTCTTAATTTCCATTCTTTTGCTTTTAATATATGTATATTTTTAATTTCAGTAGCTTTTGGGGTATAGGTAGCTTTTGGTTACATGGATCAATGTACAGCAGTAAAGGTTGAGATTTTAGTGCACCAGTCATTTGAGTAGCGTAAAATGTGCCCAATGTAATGAAGCATTTTTTAATCCCTCATCCAACTTCCACCCTTCCTCCTGTGTCTCCAAAGTCTATTGTATCACACTGTATGCTTTTGCATACCCATGTCTTAGCTCTCACTTGTAAGTCAGAACTTACAGTATTTGGTTTGCCATTCCTGAGTTACTCTAATTAGAATAATGGCTTCCAGCTCCACCCAAGTTGCTGCATTATTTCCTTCTTTTTTATGGCTGAGTGGTATTCCATGGTGTAATTATACCACATTTCCTTTATCCACTCATCAGTTGATGGATACTCAAGTTGGTTCCCTATCTTTGCACTTGCAAATTGTGCTGCCATAAACATATATGTGTAGGTGTCTTTTTGACATGACTTCCTTTCCTTTGGGGAGATACCCAGTAGTGGGATTGCTGGATCGAATGGAAGAAATACTGTTAGTTCTTTAAGAAATCTCTTCACTGTTTTCCATAGAGGTTGTATTAATTTATATTCCCATCAGCAGTGTATAAGCATTTGGAGTGGGGATTTAAAGAGGAGTAAGAAGGATGAATTTCCCCCAAACATGCTGAGAAGTTGAATGACTCACTCATTTATAAGAAAGTCCCAAGGTCACTCCAGAGCTTTTTCCTGGTTGGTGAGAGTTCTCAAACAACCATATCAGAACACTGGGAAGATTATACAAAGTCCCTGAGGTGGAGAAGTTACTCTAGAGATAATATTATCAATATGTTTTTACAAAAATGAAAATGCTTTTTCCTAACAATTATATTTGAGAAACAAAAATATGTTTTCTTGGTATTCAGATTCAAGTGACTCCAAGATAGAATTAAGGGACCTTTTTATTATTTGACAAGAATGATTAATCTATGGATATAGTGCATAAATTTCTCTCTCTTTTAAATGTCTGTGTTATAATCCATGTAATGCAAATCATGATCTGTAAGTATCCTGGGAAATTTAAGGCCCATATATGTTATTGGAATTGGAGATTAAGTGACTCAACGATTAGTTCATATGTATATAAATATGTAGATATTTTAAAAATTATCTGGTAATCTGTATTATGTATATTTTAACTCTGCAGAAAAAAATGACTTAAAATCAGAAAAAATAAGAAAATTTTAAAAGATGTATTAGGTAGAAGTAGTGTGAATAATTTATTTATTCTTAATGCATTTCTGCAATTTTCAAGTTTTCTACAATAGAACTATGTCACTATTGTAATCGGAAAAAAATACCTAGTGGGTAAACAGGTTCAAGAAAAATAGGTATTGCTTGCAGAAGCTGAAGAAGTAAAAATAACATTTGCTTTAGAAACATTCCTACATCAAGCATATTTTGCAGGTTGAGTAATAATAATTACTGAGCATGTACATTGTACCTGGAACTATTCCCACTCCTTCTCATGAATTATCTCATATAATCTTTATAACAATCCTAAAAGAATAATAGTTAATAGTTCCATTTTTCAGATAAGGAAAGAGATACAGAGAAGTCAAATAATTTGCCTAGGTTTTTAGAAACAGTTTTTAGAACAGTCAGTACCCAAAACTGATTGAAAATAGTAAAATGCCTAATCACCACCTGATTCGAAGCTCTAAAATATTCAACAGAAGTCCTTAAGACTATACAAACAGTAATAAATTAAAATGTTTTTAAGTTGGGTTCACTCAAAATAAAGCAAACTGAAAAAATCCTCATAGTGTATTTGAACTTACATAATCAATTATGACCATCAAATAAGACTTTTTGTTTGTTTGTTTTTCAAATAAAAGAAATCTTTGTTATACCAAGGTCTTACCAACACAGTATTTTTTTAGAAGTCTGCCTTAACTACTCACAATAAGCAAGAGACAGTATTATCATAACTATAGAGTTATATAGTATTACTAAATGGTCAGATCTTTTCATTTGTCACCTTTTTTTCAGAGAACCAAGGCTGTGCCTGTAGTATAAGGGAACTTTCCCCATTTAGTCTGGTGCTTTCCACTGAATAGAGTGTGGTCCAGTAGAGATATCCACCAACTGAATCCACAACCATGTCATTCACCAACAGCTTCACATGGGTCACAATGTCTGTGTGTCCTGTCAACATAGACTGCCTTTGTATCTAAAAAGCATAATTGTATGGTCAGTTAATGGCTTTCAAGTGATATTGTTATTTCTAAATAGTTTATTGCAATCATTAATAAATTGCTTGATTAATCCATTCATTCAACCACAAATAGTTATTGGAACTATATGCTGAGTAGTGTTAAGTCTTGGAAACACAGCAACAAGCAAATAGGCATGGCACCTGCCCTAATGGGGCTTATCTCTTTACATGCCTCCAAAGAGAAGGGAAGTAAATTTATTTTGCATAAAAATGACTGCTATTCCTAATTATATGTGCAGACAATGTAAACACTGCTAGATAAGAATACATTTGATTAGACTCCCAAAAAAAGATGTATATGTCCTTATAAATGATGACAGCTCTCCTGCTCTTCTCTATCAGTATAGTTCCCTAATATTTCATTACTGAGTACCAATAATGTGCCGGGCACTGTACTTCTTTTATATTTAAAATATAAACTCCTGTAGTCCTCACATTAAACTAGGAAAGGATTTCTATTCCCTATTTTTTCACAGGTAAAGTGGGTTAAAGTTAAACAATTTGTCCTGGAGTTAAACACTTTTATCAGAAATTTTTAAAAATACTTAAAACTGGTTTTTATGCCCACTCTTACATTTCCTTTTTCAAAAGTATTTTTAAACTAACTCATTTGAGGTAGCATTCTCTGACTAACCCCACTCAATTTCATTCTACTTGCACATCTTTGGCACTTATGAATTCAGATTATACCATATTGCTTTGTCTCTAAATACATTGCTTCATATGCTTCTTTATTTCATGTATGTATTTTGTCTCATCAGAAGAGCAGGGACAACTGATGATGGCTGCACAACACTGGAAATGACAAAAAATCTCTGAACTCTACACAATAAAGGACATGTTGGCTATTTATTTTATATTCACCTACTTTGCCTTCTTTCAAGGCTTTCAACACATTGGTGGTAGACAAATGATTGCTGGACAAATAAATGAATGGACAGCAAGCACTTTCCTGATTAAAAATGATTTCAATACCACATTTCTTGATCTGTGAAGCCAATGTTCTTGGCACTAACCATCAGCTTTCTCTTCAAAGTATATCACTCCACAGGTGTGCTGGATGTCTTTATTTTGCCTCTAGGTCTAATCTCCACGCTACTCCATCCTACTCAGTGCCCCACAAGAGGACGACATCTGTGGACTTCATCTGCTAGGCTGATGGGTTGTTGTCTGGCTTCTGGTGAGGTTCAGCCAGTGGAAGCACTGGCAGATCAGAGGGCAGGGGGAAAGAGGGGTAAGGGTTCTTATTCCTTTAGCTGTCTCCTTGCCAAACCATGCATCTCGATAGCGGCTGGCTTCTGTGCCTAAAGTCACAGTTCATATCAGATACTCTCCTATAGTCACAGCCTTCACCAGATTTTTCCACTTCTTCCTCTGGCCACTTCAAACCTAGACTTATATCTTCACACACTTGCAAACCGTGAGGATGTTTCATCATCATTTGTTCATTTTCCCTAGACTTTGAAAATGTCTCTTTATTTAGTTTCCTTGAATAACTTTGGAGCATGCCATGTTCCTGCCAAGACACCAACCCTCAGGTGAGCATGTTTATGTATTTATTTTAAACTGTTCTTGGGGAAAAAAAGAACTAGTTCAACAAATGGTGATAACAAATTTAATTTACACAAAAACCCATTTTAAAAGGGATATGGGGCCAGGTGTGGTGACTCATGCCTGTAATCCCAGCACGGTGGGACATGGAAGCAGGCAGATCACTTGAGGTCAGGAGTTCAAGACCAGTTTGGCCAACATGTTGAAACCCTGTCTCCACTGAAAATACAAAAACTATTCAGGCGTGGTGACACATGCCTGCAATCCCAGTTACTTGGGAGGCAGAGTTTGCACTGAGCTGAGATCACGCCACTGCACTCCAGCCTGGGTGGTAGGGTAAAACTATGTCTCAAAAAAATATATATTCTTAAATGAGTTGGTTAAAGATAAACATGAAATAGATAATAACACAAGTGGTACACAAATATTTTTTTAAATGAAATTGGTTTGCAAGTCGCTGAAGTAAGTATTGTTCTAGAGCATCCAGAATGCCATGTTTTAACTCACCACATTTGTCTTTCCAGCCCAGTAGAGAAAGTGGCCCAGCCACTCGAAAGCTAAAGCCCCTGCTCCTGCAATGCTGGGTAGGCGATAATTCTCTGAGATATCTGTCCCATTCAGCAGCCACACAAAAACATCACCTTTCGTGTCACTGTAGTAGAGGCTGTTGTTATACCAATCCATGTCTCAAAACAAAGTGAATTATTAGCAGTTAATTTTCACACATACCAACAAAAACATGCTGAGTCAATAAATCACATCTGCACCTCAACATAATTTTAAAGAACACACTGATATATATTCACTAGAACTTTAAGGATCTGTCAAGAATACTTCAGTAATGTTATCCCAAAATCTTAACTCCTGGAACTGGGCAGAACAACTAATACACATCAAGCATCTCCTATTTGCCAAATATTGTCCCAGGCACTTTGCAGATCTCACTTAATTCCCAAAATAAAGTTATAAAGTAGGAATTATCTCCATTTGAGATGGTAAACCTGAGACAAGGTGAGAGCATGTGTTCTGCCTGAGGGCTCACACATATATTGAGACGGAGCCCAGACTCAGCCAACGCCAAAGTGGCATTCTCTTCACTGATGCTACATTACCTGCAACTGGCTCCTGTTAGTCCGAAACGCTGTTGTACTTTAAATGGTCAAATAAATCAATAAACAGTCAGATAACTATGGAAGATGTCATCTTCAGGCAAGATCACTTTTATGCCACCCTAGAATGAAGTCTTCTTCCTTCTAATGCCTTCCAAGCAAATTACCCATTTATTACTTAATAATCCTCTTTGTCAACCAATTGTTCCTTACACCTTATTCAGAACTCTATGCAGCAATTTCTGCTCCTGTCTTCTAGCAAACTCATAGTAAATTATCTTTAAGTATAACTGTCTCCATGGAACAAGATAGGTAGGCTGTTAATATGAGACAACTTTGGTAGATTAATATGTGAGCATTATATCAAAGCCTTGCTGGTGGGCAGAAAACTAGAAACAACCTCACATTTTGTGACTTAATAAATACCATTACTATTTAAGAACTGACATTTTCCTAAAAGAATCACTGGCAGTAGAGTTCAATCATATTTTTCCTTTCACTATTGACCTAATACCAAAATACCCTATTGTTTTGCTTTATTGAATGACGTAGGAAGTTTTAAGAGTAGAAATCTGTCATCCAAGTGAACAGAGGACTTGGTGTTTACCTGATACATTTCCTATATCAGAAGATAAGAACTCTCCTGGGCCAAAGCTATTTAATGGTTTACTCCAAAGCCCATCTTCTTTCACAGCCATGATAAATGGTGGCTCAGTAGCTGTTGGGTAAAAAAGAAATTAAAAGAAACATCACAAAAAGCAAACTCTTTAAAGATACCTTATATACTTATGTCTACATCTTATATCTTAAGATTTTCTTTATAAAGTAAAAGAACGTCAACACTTTGAAAAGTTCTATAAAAGGATATGAGTAATTGTATAAAAGGATCTGTGTAACAAGAATGATCCCATTAAACACACTCTGATTTTCACATAAATTTTTGAAACTTGAAGAAAAATGCATGGTGAGATTGCCTCTGTGACAGTGCCTTGATCATTGCAGAATTTTTTTTGAGGTAGCGTTGGCTACTGTTTGTCATGGTCTCATTCAGAGCACCCAGAAACAATTTTGCAATAGCAGCAGAAATGATATAGTCATCTTTCCATTCCTTTTTAGCCAAGAGAATGGAATTCAACATAATTCACAGGCCCTCAACTTCTCTCAGCAAGACCTTCAGAGTTCAGGAACACCACTGCTTGATAAACCATGAGAAAAAAGAAACCCATAAAGAATCAATTATAGTGTTTCCTAAAAATATCTTGGAAATTTTAAAGTGGCAGGTTAGAAACACTAATTAAATATCACACAATGCTTTATTTGCTTTCCTAATCTCAGAAAATAAATACATACTCAGTATGTGTTTACTCAAACACAGACTCAAGAGGTCAATACACCCTCATTCTAATTCCTTTATACCCAAAGCAAGGAAATTTAAAGGACACTCAGCTATGTCTCATTTTGTGAGAGTCACTCCGTAAATCCAGAACATTTTCTCACCTGGCACCAGGGTGGTACCCACTGAAGGCTCTGACCAGGGGCCTGGCCCCTTTGGAGAACTTGCTCTCACGGAAACCCTGTATTTTGTAGCACTCTGCAGTTCAGGTACATTCAGCATGGTTCCACTTACGTTCAAGAAAATATGAGTGACTTCAGGAGGGTCTTGGGTGGATACTTTCACCTCATAGGTCCAGTTCTGCCAGGCAGAAGGGCCTAATTCAAAGAGTTCAACAATATCACTGATCGGGATAACAGCTGTAAGGGCAAACCAAGGATTCTCAATAAATTCACCTACAGCCTCATCTCAAATGGGAGAGCAACTGAGCAGCAGTATCTGCTACCCTGATAATCACCAGGGATAGTTTATTGATGAGGCCGTGCCGCATTGAAGAAGACAGCATTCCCAACAAATAGGACTGTCCTTCAGTCAAAGCTACACGCTTGCTGCATATAATTGTCAGAGGGGTTCTCTACAACAATAACAGATATAATCAGGCTCTTAATAAAAAATTCTTAATGATGAATCTCTAAGGTAATTACCACCGTTTGTATAGTGCCTTCCTCCAAGAAGTGCAATCAAGAAAAAAAATCACCTCTTCATTCTCAGCCATCTTTGAGATCTGCAGCAAACATACATAATTAACTTTGTTCTAAAGCAAAAAAACAGCCAATGTTTGCTAAATACTTACTATTATCTAGGGGACCAGAGGTTGGCAAACTCCACTCACAGGCCAAGCCTGGCCCCCTGTTCCTGTAAACAAAGTTGTACTGGAACACAGCCGCAGTTATTCATTTACATGTTATCTAAGGCTGTCTTCACACTATAATGGCAGAGTTGAGTAGCTATGACAGGGACCATCTGATCCACAAAGTAAAGAAAAATATTTACTATCTGGCCTTTCCTTTACAGAAAAATTTTGCTGACCTTTGTGCAAGATACTATTCTAAGGGCTCTACTTATGTATTTTAATTTTATCTGTGTGACAGTTCCATCAAAAGATATAATAAATATTCCCCTTTTCCAGTTGTAGAAACTGAGGCACAGAGTGGCTTACTTGCCCAGGGTCATTCTGTCAACAAATGGCAAGACAAGCATTTGAATCCATCCAGGCTGACTCCAGAGCCCACCTGTTTACCCACCACACACACTACCTCTCTCTAGAGATGGAGATTCAAGTCCAGAGAGTTTCAGGGAATTGCTCAAATTCATGCAAGCTTTCAGTGGCACAAAAAATCTCAACCCAAGCATTCTATCTCCCTGGCTATTTGTCCCGACTAGAATGTCAGTGCCTGGTTCTTAGCAGACACTCAATAAATGTTCAAATTATTCTACTGGGATATACATAGAAAACATAGATACTCTCGTAATGTAAAACTAATAAATGCAGAACAAATGTATAAACTTTTTTGTAAGCCAAGTAGCTGCTTCTGGTTGATGACTAAATAAACACTAGGGCTCTCAAAATTGAATCATAACGCCAAGCAGTTCAAGCCTTCCTCTTATTCCAGCAAGGCCAGTAACCACCCTGGGGACAGAGCACTCACTGGCTCCTATGGCAAGGGCAGGAGTCTTCCATTGAACAAGAGCCTGGTGAGAGCCAAACAGCAGTGAAAGCTCCTGCGGGCGGCCTGGCAGAGGGTGTGGCTGGGAGGACGAGCCAAAGATGACCAAGTTACCAAACCCAAATTCTTCTATGTGGCTGAGGTCACATCCCACGATGAACTCATTAAAAGACAAGGCATCCTGTTGGAAAATGACCTTGCCATTTGTGACAAGGAAGTCATTGTTTTCACAAGCAAAGCTTTTCACATTAGCAATGGGGATGTGAGGTAGGATGATATGGGAAGCAGAGCCATCTAGAAATGTTGACATGAAGACTTGGGCGGTGTCATTGAAGTAAATGATTCGCTTGGACTGTGGCTTGATTGCAAAGTCCTTTAACGTGCAACTCTCCACAATACGCACAGCTTCTGCACACTGGGTAGATGGCACTGGAAGGTCTACTCTATATATGCCATCTCTCAGAAGGTAAAAGACATACCTGACATAGGAACAAAAAAAACCTCATGAGATTCAATGCAAAGGTGGGTGAGTAACCTCGGCTAATTGCTTTATTCCGTTGCACAATCAGAACTACGTATCTCTGATGTTGCTAAGTATGGGATTGTCCAAGATGCAAAAATGTAATTACCTAAGATATACTCTATTTGTTTGTTACAAGTTGGAACATTAACAAATTTCAGCCTCACTTCTTTTTTTTTTTTTTTTTTTTTTTTTTTTTTGAGATGGAGTTTCACTCTTGTTACTCAGGCTGGAGTCCAATGGCGCGATCTCAGCTTACCGCAACCTCTGCCTCCTGGGTTCAGGCAATTCTCCTGCCTCAGCCTCCTGAGTAGCTGGGATTACAGGCACGCGCCACCATGCCCAGCTAATTGAGGCCAAGGCGGGTGGATCACGAGGTCAAGAGATCGAGACTGTGCTGGTCAACATGGTGAAACCCCATCTCTACTAAAAATACAAAAAATCAGCCTCACTTCTAATGCATAGTCTCTTAATTACTACAAGTGACTTCTTTTTAATTTACTTATTTTACTTTAGGTACATACTATATCTGGCATTTCTCCCCATGTTATCCCTCCCTACCCTTCCCTTCCTCCCCACCCACCACTGTCTCTCCCCTACCCCCACCCAACTGCCCCCAGTGTGTGATGCTCCTCTCCCTGAGTTCACGTGTTCTCGTTGTTCAACACCTGCCTATGAGTGAGAACATACGGTGTTTGGCCTTCTGTTCTTTTTTTAAGGAATCAAAAAATTCAAAAACAGAAAGGGTCTCTTTTTTTTTTTTTTTTTTTTTTTTGAGACAATGTCTTATTCTGTCACCCAGGCTGGAGTGCAGTGATGTAATCACAGCTCACTACAGTCTCAACCTACTGGGTTCAAGTGATCCTCCCACACCTCAGTCTCCCAAGTAGCTGGAACCACAGGTGTGCCACTGCACTGGGCTAATTTTTGTATTTTTTGTGGAGACAGTGTGTCACCATATTGCCCAGGCTAGTCCTGAATTCCTGGGCTCAAGTGATCTCCCCACCTTGGCTTCCCAGTGTGCTGAGATTACAGGCATGAGCCACCATGTCTGGCCAGGAATGGTCTTTCAAATTTTTAAAGAAAAACATACTATATAGAAATCACATGGCTAAATATGGTATTTATTATAAAATACCTTCCTCCAAAAAACACACATCCTTAAGTCTAATTTTATCAGTAAATTTTTCTCATGCATTCTGAGTGATAAAAGGAAGAAAGCAAAACATTTAAGCCATTTTTAGTTGCACAGTTATCATTTTGCCATAACAATCTAGCATGACTACTTTGCATTTGCAGTGGGCTAGTTTTTTAAATCTACAATTGATTCAGGCAATAGAGCTACCATTTTATAAACCACAAAGAAATACCCCACACAAGACTGAAGCGGGACCACCCAGCAATCAGGAGAAAGAAGCCAATGAAAGATTTAGAGAAGCACATCTAGTTTAAAGTCAAACCTCACAGTAATGAGGCAGGTTATTTTAATAATGAAAAAGCAAACATACCACCAAAATACTTCATTAACAATGAAATACATAAATAACGTTTTAACCAAAATACAAAACCATTAATATGGATGTAGCTAATTTACAATTTGTGATTATGGAGACAGGTGCTAACAGAAGTATACTTTGATAAATTCTTCTTATCCCAACCCCAAGGACTGGCAGCATTCCAACCTCTCATCACAACTGTCAAATCATTTTCCTTGTCCTTGTTTAGTTCCGCTCTAATTTCCCTTGATGTCTATTCCAAATCTTTATCAACTTTTTCAAAACTCCTATGCTAGAATAATGTCAAGATATAAGTTCCATTTTGAGATAAGAAGCTATTCTTTTCCCTGAGGAAGGATTGTAGCAGGCAAAAAGCAAAAACAGCTTGGTTCTTAATTTTCTGCTTTTGTTTCCCAAATTCAAAATTGTTAATGGAATTTGGAGAAATATCAGAGTAGATAAAAGGAAAAATATCTGTGGTAAAGATTACAATTATCATATTGAAGCAGGGAGGAAGAAAAAGAAAAATAGTAGGTGAAGAGATTTGGTGCATTGGAAGAGGAGGACAGAGTGAGGAGGAAAAGCTGGGGTGGAAGGAAGATGGGGAAGTGGTGGTAGGAAGAAGAGCAGAGGTTTACAGTAAGTCTGACCTCAGTGAGGAGATAATTCAGCAGTGCAAAAAGAACAGCATGGGGAAAAATATTTCTAATACCAGGAAAATACACTGTTTCACACATTTGCTGTCCGTTAGGACCACTGTACACAAACTATTGCTAAAAGGTACATGCTGATTTTTACAGAAACTCTCCTATCATGGTATGGAGAGATGGTTAGAAGACAAGCCGTGGAGCAAGAAGTCCTGTAGCAAAACTTCTTGTTCCAGGGCCTGTCTGGTTCCACTTTTTCCACTGGTTCCATCACAAAACAGCTCTATTATCTTGGACAATTACTGAATCAACCTGTGTTTCCCTTTCCTTATCTAGAAACTAGGATAATACAAGTACTTATTTCATATCGTTGAATACAAATTAAATGAATTATTGGACATAATACACTTAGAAACACACATTAAGTATAAATACTAATTATTATTATCATTTCTAGTCACATTGCAAAATATAAGCACAAACCCATTTTATCCTAATGGAAAAAAAGAGCCACTGAAGACCTCACTGATCTCATTTGAATGATTGATTAGTTGGTGAAATTCATTATCATCAGAATGAGTCATTTTGTGTGTCAATAACAAAGTTACATTTCATAGGACCGCAGACCTTTACAAATGAAAATAATAAGATCCAGAGGATCCTTGTCCTACATCACAAAGCGTTTTGAAATATCCCATAATTCAGTAATTCACTTAAACCCAAGAAGTTAGAATAAATCCTTAGTAAATTGTGAATGGATAGGAATAGAAAGCTTGATTTTAAAATCAATAATGAACAATCTTTTTTAAGAAGGCTTTATTTGTGAAAAACATGTTATGAGCTGTATTTTTTTTTTTCATTCAAAATGAAAGCAACTTTATTCCTACAGGAACAAAAAAAATTTACTCTTGCAAATATGGGCTTTGTCTATTGGTTACTAATGTTATCTGGTCATATCTGAGAAATAATAACCCCAAAATAACTTTCTATGTGTTTATCCTTCACATTCATATATCTTTGGAGTTCACAAAATACATTCACAATGAATATCTCATTTTGTCCTCAAAATAATCCAACTGGGTAAGTATTATTTACCTTCCCTATATGGAATGATAAACCAACGGTCACAGACATGATGTTACTTTCTTGAGGTACTACTGCAATTTAACAGCACTGCGGTACAATGTGTCCATTTCATTTGTGGGTAGGAAGCAGAGCTATCAGTTCCTGTCTCCTAAGGTGGATGCTAGTAGCTTTCTTATTAAGAAGACTCTTGATAGTTGTAAGAACCAGACCAGAGGAGTGAACTAAAGCTGAATGGCTTAGCAAAAGGAACAGGTGCAATAAAGGGGCATCTCACAGGTAGTACTGAGGGGGGCAATGAGACTCTGAGTTCCACCGTAAAGAAGTGGCAAATTCAGGACTAGAACCCAGGTCCCTGACTCTGAGACAAGTCTTTCCCATGTGCCCATATTTGGCCATGAAGGAAAAAGAAATTACTTTAGAGGAGTTGATTTATGTTTGAAAAAAATTTTCCTCCTGGCTCTACCAAATGAAAAATTTGCCTGAATGTAATTAAATTTACTTAAAGTAAGATGCATAGATAGGCTCATCTAGTACTACAATGTTTCTTTAGCAAGTTTCTCAAAAACTATTTATTGCCAATGGAAGAGAATTCATTTTTACAAGGCTAACACTTACCCATTGTATGAATCAGCCACAATTTTTTGAGGTGTACTAATAGAAGGTGGAGTAATTTCCTCGATGTTTGAGCAGTTCTTTAAATCACAGACACACACCTAAGACATAAAAAATATACCAGTAGGATTAGCATCCATCTGTATAGCATTCAATTCAGCCAACAAGTATCCCCAAGGATCTGTTCTGTGCTTGGCATTGTACTAGGCAACAAGCACTGTCCAAGACAAACAAACAAAAAAGCCCTTAAACGGCAGTTTTATATCCTATATCCGAATGAGCTTATATATTATTGACATCAATGCAATAAAAATGCCTATTCCCTGGCTTGTAGAGGCATTCGACTATTTTTAACACTTAAGCTATATTTAAGTTTATGGGCTTCTAACCATAGCAATGGCTGTTGCTTATTGCGATGTGCCTGTACCTTCCAAAGAAATAGAATTTGAAACATGTCAATACTGTGTGTCTTCATCAGCTCAAAATAATCCTTATGCAACTAAACAACAACAACAACAACAAAAAAAAAAACTGTCTTCCAAAAATTTCAGTACTACTGTATTTGTGGAGAACTACTAAATTTCCCTCTGGTTATGATATAATTTTAAATGTTTGGCTTTTATTATGACTGGCAGTATTACCTAATGATAACACAGGTACCACCACTGTCTTATGGAAGATGAATTATCTTTAGTATGAACTCATGACTCTAAAAAATTATGAATAAAGGTGAGGTAAAGTCTATACCCTCCTATAGGCCAGATCTATGATTCATTGATAACCTAGTACATAAAGCATAGTAAATACTTGAGAATTTATTGAATAAGAGAATTGTATTTAATATTAAATATACCAAGATGTGCATATCAGTAGCACTACCTATCACCATTCCTCTTTAACTTCTCAGACTAACCAGTTTATCCATGATGAAATACATTCTTTGATAAAGCCAGTCTATGGAAATAGAAGAAATTAACCCTGAACCTCTGTAGAAAATTCTCAGGTCAGACACATCAGACATGTTGGCAGCCTTCTTCACCCATATGAAGGTTCCTTCAGAGAAATAAACAATTTGCTGGTGGACATCAACTGATATTCCTAGAAAAGCAATGCAAGTGCACATTCATTATTATATAACAACCAGGACAAAAAACTTATATGAATGAGAATTTATTTATTTAATGTTTAATAAATTAAAATAGAAGTCTTTTATTTTAAAAGAAAATATTCTTCTAATTTCTTCTAATATTATTAGGATATTAAGAGAATATGTCTAGAAACATTCAAAAATTGTCTTTTATTCTAGAAGTACTTCTTTTAGAATCTTTTTTTGCACACTAAGAAATTATTTCTCACTATCATACTGACCTGTAATATTATGATATATAGCATCCAACTGAAGGCAATGTGCTTCATCTACTAAATGTTTTAAAGATCTCTTTCTTAGAGAAGTTTTTCTGGATAAAAAGAGCCACTGTTCCTCTTCTTGAACTGAAAACAACAACATGATTTGCAGACAGGTAGACCAACCACAGGTACACTAACACACACAAAAAAGATCAATATTACCCTTCAAAGCAAGGGGACTAGTGCTTGAAAGAGGCTGGTCAAATTTTCTCCAAAGACAGTGGGGAATTGCATCTGTGGTATAATCCACATTATTTTATGACTGGAGGTGGGAAGTACAGTAACAATCAAATAGGATTTATATACATATGCCCCTAAATAACCCAGACATGACATCATGTGCTGTATCACTCTTCACAACAGTCTTGCCCCAGCTCAGCTCATTATTTTCAGCCATGAGAATTGGCTCGGTGGAAGTGGTCCACCCCAGACCAGAGTGGGTTATGTATAACACACGTATATAAACAGACACTGGTTATCTCTGTATTATCTTCAGTATCTTTCCCTTTGGGATAGAAGAAAGGTCCTTAGAGGAAGGGTGTTTGGATGTTGCAGAACTCTGCTTGATGACCTGTTCAAGTGGAGACTGATGCAGGGTGTACATTTTTAGGGTATTTAGTGAATGTTATGCAATAATCACAGTAACAACAACCTCAACTCTGCTTTATATTTAACTCACCCTTTGGGTGTGCTTCTGACATAATAAAAATACCTCTCCCTTCCTAGAGTCTAGGAACAGCTAAAAAAAACAAAGGCTGATGATAGATGACATTCAATATCCTTTGGCACAGGCATGTACAGATTAGAGTAAGGGGCAGACGAGTCAGCAAATAGGGTTCTAGTAAAAATAGAAACAGACTCCTAGAATTCTGAATCTTTGCATGTTCTTAAAAATATTTTACTAGTTTTCCCCCAAATTTCCAGTACTTCTTAGAAAGCATTTTCATTTATTATTTTGCTCACACATATATCATACCGTAAGTATTCAGTCTCTTGAGGTAATCATTAAAACACCAAAGCCAAAAAAAAAAAGAGTGCTTACAAAATGATAACAAAAGATACTTTGGCAGATTGAATACTCATATAGTAAAAGATAAATCTTAAAGTCTGGACATATTTAAAAACAAAGATACTGGAAAAATGATGTCTGATATATATTAAATAATTATAAATAATGTAAAATAGGGATTAGGACAGAAAAGTTATATGTATCCCCTAAGTGAGTAAATGTGAGTCACAAACACTAGTAATTTCAACTGAAACCAAAGATTTGAGGCCATTTTTTTAAAACCCGAACTTTTAATTCTGATTTTTAATTCCCAAATTCTAATATTAAAACTTTAAATCTAACCACTTCCTTCAATTCATTAAATACTTAGGTTCATTTAAATTGAAAACTTATCAAGTACCCAAAAAATAATACTCATTTGGGCAGAAGAGGTGAGTCTTGAGGTCTACCAGGTGACCTGGCTCTGAAACCACCCTTGCCACCCTCATTCCTGTGTAGCTAAAGAAGCAAGCCTAAGCCATACCTGCTGAAGATGAAGTGGTAATACTAGATTCTGCTTCTGGACCCTCACCAACTTCATTTACTGCTGCAACAGAAAACCTATTCCAAAAACAATTTGGAGAGATGTGTTTCACATGGCATGGTGTGAACATGAGACAAAAATAGAAGGAGCAATAACATTTCTATTTAAAGGATGATGTGGCAATGCATGGGTCTAGTTACGTGCTACCACTGCTCAGCACTAAAATGACCATCAATCACATCCTTGTTTGCATTCCCCTAAAACAGTTCAGGGTCATGGAGGTCAGATGCTGAACTCTGTTATCTGCACGACCCCCATTCTTCTCCAAATTTAAAGAGGCCTTAGTAAATGCTAGAATAGCTAACAATAATAAAATAATTCCCCTGGTGGTTAAGAAAAACACCTAAACAGAACTCCACCTCCTTACTTTTTTCATACTGGATTCAATGAAAATTTTACATTCATGTGTTTATGATGTCTTCATTAGCCCATGTTTATAAGCATGCTCTGTATATAAGAGAAACACTTGAGAAGTTTTTGCTTAGGATGCTATAATCTAATAAGCATATAAGCTTGAGGAAAACCACAATGACTTCAGTCCAACACCATGGAGTCAGTGGCACTTCTCAAAGTACATTTAAACTACTTGACAGACATATTTCTTAAATAATTATCATACCTGCAGCCATGCTGGTTACATTTTCCTCTGCCTCACTTAATTCTTACCTGTAGATAGTATTTGGTAACGTGGAGTAAAACTGGAAACTCGTTCTCTGTGTCCCTGCATCTAATTTTTGATGTTTGCTGATCAGCCTTAAGTTATAACCCAAAATAGGTCCACCTGGGAATTGAGGTGGATCCCAGCTGACTTCCACAGTGTTGGGACTTGAGCTCTCAATATTCCCAATCAAAGGTGCAGTTTCAGGAACTGGAAGAGACAATGGTAACAAAGTGAACAGAAAAATGTGCAAGTGTGATGTTTTAAAAATGAGATTTTAAAAAGTCTTGTTTTAAAAAATAATTAATGGAAATATAATAATTGTGTTAATATTCAAAATATGTGACAGAGGAAAGGTGGTAAGATGTCTAAACCAGTTAGCTCCTTTCTCAAGAGGCTCTTTCAAATGTTACTTTCCTCACTTCTAATTAATGAAGTAAAATTAAATATAGTAATATACAAATACAATAACAGTTCTTTAAAAAAAAAAAGTCATCAGAAATCTCTAGAGACTTAAATGAGTTGAAACATGGGATGGAACCAGTTTAGGAAAAAAAGGAAAATCTGACCAAAACTGGAGTCAATGATCGACATGAGTTTTTGGGTTTTTTTTGTTTTTTTTTTTTTTTTTTTTTTTTTTTTTCAAAAAAAAAAAAGTCCATCTGAGGCCTTTTCACTCACTTGGGATAGCCTTTCTGGTTCCAGCTAGAGATGTGGGTTCAGATAAGCTGGAATTTGAACCATCAGCTTCAATTTTGTTGGCATCGGCTCTAATGATTCAGACTACACTTTCCTTATCCCAGTTCTCAGGTCCTGGAAATCCATGCTGACTGAGCTTCAGCACCCCTGCCCTTGCAAAGGAATTAAAGGAGCCTGTATGAAATGACTGAGCATTCACACACAGTCCCCAGAAGCTACTTAAGTGTAAAAAGAAAGGATAGCAAATGATCTGACAGCCTAGCTTCCATCTGTGTCACCATCTACTTTTCAAACCCAAACCCCTGAAACCACACTCTTATTTCCTCTTTCCATAGAAAGACACAATTGGAAGTCATTCTGCTCTTGAGTAGACTTCTCTCCCTCTGAACACTTTTGGCAAATGCTCTGCATCGCCACTGACTTTTAAAAGCCCTCTTAATTGCTCTCTCAGCCTTTCTCTGATGTAATTCCTCTCCAACTCTCAGGCTAATTTTCAGCAAACACAAGCGTCATTGCATCACTCTTTGGCTCCATGTAGTCAATCACCATGATAAACAGGGAGGAAATAAATTTCTCCCATGGAATTATAATAGAATCAGAATGTCAAAATTTAAGCCATTAGGGTCAATGCCCAAATGTGACCTGCTACTGTTGAAGCAAGTTAAATGTCACCTACATGGCAAGATGTGATGATTGTCCAGGTCTTCCCCACCAAAACAAAACAAAACAAAAATCTTCCCTGAAATGCTGGTATCCCCTGCCCGGCAATCACTCATCTTCACTAAGAAGTTATTTTCTGAAAGGACTCAGTTAAAACACAATAGTGCCATTTAGGCCACTTGCAGTGGTTCATGCCTGTAATCCCAGAACTTTAGGAGGCTGAGGTGGGCCAATCACTTGAGGCTAGGCGTTTGAGATCAGCCTGGCCTACATGGCAAAAACCCATCTCTACTAAAATTACAAAAATTAGCCAGGCATGGTGGCATATGCCTGTAATCCCAGCTACTCGGGAGGCTGAGGCACAAGAATCACTTGAACCCTGGAGGCAGGGGTTGTAGTGAGCTGAGATTGTGCCACTGCACTCCAGCCTGGGTGACAGAGTGAGACCTCATCTCAAAAAAAAAAAAAAAAAAAAAAAAAAAGGCAATAGCATAATTTAAAATCATGTCATTCTCATAGCTAAAAGAGAATAGGACTATGAGGCAATTAACATAATACAGATAGTATCTAAGTTTTGATGTAACTAGAAAAGTGAGATAGAATCAGAAACATGAGATGCTATCCATAAGAAGGACATCCATAGGGTCTAGAAGACACAGAGGGTATGTGAGCTTGCTTATCCAGGAGAAAGGCTCAGAAATGGACAGCAAAAGTTGCTTTCACTATTTTAATTTGCCCAGCCATTGTATCTGCATGGTTATTTCTCTAGCACCAGAAAATGTTCCCAAACTGTTGGATAACATGTGGCATTGTTTGGAACAGAAAGAATTCATTCTACCCTGATATGGAAAATTTCAAACACGGTCCTAGGCCAAGGTCTGATCTGAGGTTCTTAGCAAGAATATCAGAATAATCAGCAGAGGTGGCCACACAAACCCTGAGATCTGACAAGCAAAGAGAGAGCACTCATGAGGGAAGGGGGTAAATGCCCCAACCAACTTCATTGGCTGCTTGGCTCTGCTTAGGTCCAAGGCCTAGATCAGCCTGAGGCTCTCTGCACATAGGCGCATCTCCAGAACTGAGGGTTAAGGCATCCAGCCCAAAGCTAGTCTTCCTGGGTTGCCTCCGCTAACTCTGGGGGTGAAGGCACCAGACAACTCTTCCTTAGTGTCTGCCCCAGCATTTGCCTTCCTCTAAGGCAAGTTGCTTCTGGCTGGAATCCTTTTCCCGGTGTGGAAGTCACATCTTCAAAATAATAAGTCAGAGAATACCCCAACATGTATTCTGTTTTTAAAAAGCAGTTTTGATAAAATCTTAAAATATTATAGTAGTCTCCAAGCTGGTCTCTTCCCCTGTACTTGCAAATCTCTTTCATTCTCTCAATCTATTCTATGTGCAGTTGCCAATATTTTCTTTTTGAGAAGGATGTGAAGCAATTACTGCTCTGCTTTAAAACCTCCCACAACTCCTAACTATGTTCTAGATAAAATACAAACTCCTTAGCCAGGACATTTTATATTCTTGGTAATCTGTACCTAGTCTGCCTTCCCAATGTTATTCTCACTGTTTTTCTTCCTGTATCCTATGCTTCCAGCAGACGAAATACTGTTTTCCCTCCACGCCTTAGAATCAAATCTTGATAACTCTGATCACACAGACACCTGCACCTGTCCTTGTCTCTCCTCATCTCATGTCTAACTCAACAAACGAAACTTCCTCCAGAGAGATTTCTTCAGATATTTCATTTCAGAAATAATATTTCCCTCTTCTAAACTTCCATGGGAATTTGTCAGTACCTTTTCTGTGAGTTTAATCAAGCATTACCTTATTGTGGAGTTAATTAGGCGTGTGCTTTATCTCTTCCACATGAAAGTAAGCTTTTTAAAGTCAGTATCCATGATCCATAGATAGCCCATGAGTGTATTTTGAACAAGAGAACGATAACATTTACGTAGAGCTAGAATTGCTCTAAGGATATATTAGTATTCAGAGGACAGCAGCTAAGGTAAAGTTATATTCTGCTAGGGCAACATTCTGTGTGAAGGATGGGAAAGTGGGGAAGCAGGAATCTAGCAGACAAAAAGCTTTTTGTTGCTTTCCAGAGATAATGTCACTGTGTCATACTCAATCACCTTCATTTTTGAAACACTTTCATCACTTGGCTTTGAGATACCACAAGCTCCCAAATATCTCCTTCTCAGTGTCCTTTGCTGTCCATCCTCTTCTTCCCGGCAACCAAATATTGGGGGGCCCCAGGCTGACACCTTGATATTCTCCTTTTTTCTAACACATTCACGTTTAGCATGTTGCCTCCAGGCCTATGATTTGAATCACATCTCTATGTGGATAACTCCTAAACTGGTAGTGTAGATACCTTCAACCTACCTCCTGAGTTCCATATCCATTCATTTCATTGCTTCCTCAGCAATTCCACTGGGATATCCAATAGACATCCAAATTTTACTTGGCTGGAACAGAACTGTTGATCTTCTCTAGGAAAGCCCCTCCTCCTTTACCCTTGTTCCTGTCTCCGTAAATGATGATACTCAGGTATTCAGACTGAAAGCCTAAGTTAGCAAGTTTGATTTTCCCATCTTCCTGACCAAATCCGTTCAGCAACCCCAACAGCTCAATCTTCAAAATATATGACAAACCTTTTCCCCTTTTCCCATGATCATCCTTGACAGAGCCATCACCAAATCAAGCCTGACTTGCTTGGCCTCCTAACAGCTCCCCGGCTTCCCTGGCCCTCCTTCCACCCTCCCAGTCTGTTCTCCATGCAACAGCCAGATTGAAAGTTTTAAAACATGAACCAGTCTTTCCTTTGCTTAGAACTCTCCAAAGACATTCTGTCACACTTAGAATAAAATCTGTACTCCTTATCAGGGTCAGTATTGCCCCATGTGACCAAGCCTCTGGCTACCTGTCATATCCCACCTCCTACTTTCCACCAGACTCATGGTGCCCCAGCCACTCAAGGCCATCCTCAGTACACCCAGCTTATTGCCGTGGCAGGCTCTCTGTCCTTGCTCATACCTCTTCCTGGAAAACACATTCTTGGATATTTGCATGTCTTTTTGTCTCATGTCATTCAAAGCAGCTCTTCCCCAACCAGCCCAAGTTCCCTCCCCAGTTATTCTCTATTATTAGCATACTTTACTTTTATTCTTAGCACTCACTTCTATGTGAAATTACACTGTAATGTTTGGTGAGATGCTTCCTCATTCCTCATGTTATATCAACCCATGAATTTTGTGTAACTATTTCTGCTTCTTACCCTACCTCACTCTGCCCCTTAGAGAAGGATAAATACCTGCTTAGTAGCAGGAGCCTTGGTTCTCTCTAGGGTGGCGGTGATGATTCAGAGGTCTTGAGAGAAGTAATTTGGTCTCCTTATCCTGCCCTGTTTAACAAACTCAGCAAGAAGCAGCCATGTCTGCTCAGCAGACTCAAACCTTCTCTTAAGTGGGTTGTTTTAAAGTCTATCATCATCCAATTTAATCTTTATCAGAAATAATACTGATACTTCTGCAGCCATCTTCTGGCCATTTTTGTTTTTTATCTTCCATTGGTCCAGTACTCAGAATAAGAAGGGTGCTATTCATTGGGTTTTCTCATGACCCAACAAATACTTTTGCTTAATTACTTATCTAACTATCTTCCCTAGCTGGAATGCAAGAACAATGTTTGGTGTATATAGGTCCTTGATTACTACTTGAATGAATGAAAAAACTGTCCAATCTTCTTTTCAATGATACTAAAAATATAATACAAAAAATAACCACCTTTCCAGTAAAAAAAAAAAAGGAAGTGAATTTTTTACAGATGTTATTTTTTCTACAGCCAAAGAAGTTTATAACCTAGGCAATAAAAGACTAAAATTATATCAGGAAATAAAAACAGAATCTAAACATATCTATACCACACCACTTCTACCCTGGGCCTCTCACCTGGGTCACTGCTAAGCTTTCTACAAGTTCTTCTTGCTTCCTCCCATACCCCAGAGTTCATTCTCCACACAGCAGCCAGTAATCTTTTAATGTATAAGGCAGGTCTCATTAGATCATGCCACTCTTTTCCTCAAAACCTTGTAGTGACTCTCCTTCCAGAATAAAAGCCACAGTCCTTACCAAGGTCCCTGAGGTAGACTGGGATCTGGCCCCCACCACCTCTCTGATCTTAGTTGTTATTCCTCTGCCTCCTTCACTCTGGTTCAGCCACATGGGCCTCCTAGCTGCTCCTTGATCAGGCCAAGGATGTTTTTGCCTTAGGTCTTCCACATAGGCCAGCCCTCTGCCTGGAACTCTCTATCTGAGATAGCTTTCTGGCTGACTTCCTTGCCTCCTTTTAGTCTTTGCTCAAACTTTACCCTGCCATCTCACTGAAGCTCATTCTGGCCATATTTCATACTGCCACTGGCCTCTCCTTCCCTCCTTACTCTTCATTTCCAGTCCCCTAAAGGACAAATCTGCTCAAATTATTATTCTTACTATAGCACATGGCACCATCCCACTTATAACATACTTTATTTATTTCTTATGTTTATTGAAGAATATTTCTCTTCCACCAAAATATGAGCTCCAGCCGGGCGAGGTGGCTGACACCTGTAATCCCAGCACTTTGGCAGGCCAAGGCGGTCAGATCATTTGAGGTCAGGAGTACGGGATCAGCCTGGCCAGCATGGCAAAACCCTGTTTCTACTAAAAATACACAACATTAGCCAGGCATGGTGGTACATGCCTGAGTCCCAGCTACTGGGGAGGCTGAGGCAGGAAAACCACTTGAAGCCAGGAGGTGGAGGTTGCAGTGAGCCAAGATCGCACCACTGTATACCAGCTTCAGCAACAGAGCAAGAATCTGTCTCAAAAGAAGAAAAAAAGTGAGCTCCACAAGAGCAGGCATCATTGTGTGTTTTGATAATAAACATATTGTGAGTACCTAGAATACTACCTGGCACATACTTATGTACCCAATTGTTGAATGGATCAATTAATAGGAAGGAATAGTTTTGTTTCATTGTTTAAAATAAAAACTAAATCAAAGCTTTGGAATTATGTCTTTTCATAAGCAATGTGTGCATAACATACCTCCATGAGGATGAGTCCTGTAGCTGGGACTTGGAGGAGAGTAGAGCTGAAGCTGCGCTGTGAAGATCCACGCCACTCGGAAAATGTACTCCGTGAAGGGGTGCAGGGCTTTAACCACACAGGACAGCTTGGACACAGTCTAGATCAATGAGTGATCAATAATCAGCATACACAGAATTACCACCTCACAATGGGACTCAAGAGCACAGATAAATTTGTAGAAGATGGATGGCTTTCCAGAGAAGACAAAATAGAGGCCTGGAGCTTAGAGCTAAGCCATTCAGATATCAGTGTGCAGAATTCACTGAGAAATTGTCTCCTTCAAAATAGCAAAATTACAGATTCAATTATTTGGCATTTACCTGAAGGACTTATATTTTTCTATGTTAGTACACATAGTGTCTTGGGACTGTTTTTCTTTCTAAACTTTCTCATGTTTTCCTAAAAGGCAGAGTCCTGGATGACCACCATAGACAGTACTTCTAAACTGCAACAGCCCCCATGCAAATCTTTCTTCTGCCCTCTATCCCGCCTGGACTCATTTTAGCTGGGATGGGCAGATAATGACTAATGGGAAGAATAGTTATGTGATGCTATACTGAAGGAATAGCACATATGTCCAATATTATATTTTCCTTATAAAATACATATTATATTTTCCTTATAAAATAAGCCTTAATGTTAAGGCTTAGCATTAACATGTTACAGAGTGGCTGAGATTAAATTTCATCTAATCCAACCATCCATCTCATGCTTGAATCTTTTCTAGAAGGCCTTTATGCCTATAACTGTAAGTAATAATTTGGTGCTTTTAAAAATAGGGATCGGTCTCGGTTTAGGTACAAAGGCAGCCTTTCATACCTTAGTGTAAGTCCAGCTTCCCAGAAATTGTGCATATTTCCACTGAATGATGTATTTTACTCCAGAGAAGTTGGCAGATTTCCATCGTAATGTCATATTGTAGCTTCCAATGGAAGAAGCAAAGGGTGCAGTTGGACGATCTGCATTTTCTGGGGAGAAAACAAGATTTCACTCACTATGCACTCGTGTTCATCAGAGCAAGAGAGTGTGTGCCTGTCTCATCTAGGGCTCTTCATGTTCTCTTGCTAAAACTGCATTTTGCCACAATAACTCACCTGAATAATCAATGGTATGCATATTCAATTTATTTTTAAAAATCAGTCTCTCAACCTTTTCTTCTACAGAATTTACTATTATCTTTGAACATCGTCTTTTTTTTTTGTTCTGATTTTGATTTTATAGGCAGATGACACAGCGCATTCTGATCTGTCCAGTTTTCTCTTACAATATCACTCTCTTACAAGCGAGGGGAGACAGTGCTCAGAGCACAGCTGTGGCAGAACAGAACCATCCATTATCATGGGATATGTACCCCAACATATTTCTGAAATTTTATACTCTAATTCTACTATTGCTGTGCATCTTAACAACAAATTATTTTTATACATACAAAGCAATTGCCTTTACTCCAAAGGATTCTGTGATCAGCTGTTTCACATTATAAAATATTTCAGGACATCTAAACATTAGACATATTACAATTGGCAGCACATATTTCTGAGGTGCTGCTTACCAGGCATCGTACTAAGGGCTAGGCTTCTGAGTGGTACATCCCACTGGGATGAAATTATTTTACTTTACTTTTTATATTTTTCCAAAATTGTGATGAGTTTAATGCTTTAGCTTTCTTTTCTGGAAACAAAATCAGCACTCTGGTTGAGAAAGCATGGTAAATTTGGTAGGGAACTTAAAATGGCTAAATACAAACTCCCAGGATCTCAGTCTTTCTGGTTAAGAGAAAATCGATACAGTTCTTATCACTACAGACGCCAAGCATAGACCAATTAAAGTCCATACTCTGTAATCCAGAAAAATCAGAGTCATTGCCATCTGAGGACCTAGCCCACAAAGGGACCTAGCACAACCCTTCTCTGCTGATTCTTCTTTTTAGAGTTAATTTTTGGCTATTATAACTGAACAAGCAAAGCACAGCCCCACTTTTCTTCCCTTTCTTGTTATGAGACTCTCAGTACCAGGAATTAGAGTATGCTGTGGACATCCTGAAGAGGAGTCCAGTGATGGGGTTGTCAGCAGAGTGAGAAAAAAATAACCAGGAGGCATCAGAAACAAAAGTTGAGAACTGGCAGAAGTGATCAGTTATATAAGTACAAGTAAATGTAAGTATCATAGCTAAATATAGACATATTTCAAAGCCATGGTGATACATATTTTAAAAAGGTAAAGTAGTTTATGCTAAATTATCAAGGCAAAGAAGAACCAAAAGAAAAAGGGAAGCTAGACTGAGCTCCATCCTATTTTCAATATATGGCAGAGTGGGTTGGAAAAGGCTCTGTTACCAGGCACCTGGGTTATAATTCCAGAAATATCCCTTACCAGCTATGCAGCCTCAAGCAAATGTATAAACTTTGTGCCTCAATTTTCTCACCTGTAAAATGAGGTTAATAATAGTATGTATAACTCTGAGGACAAAAGGAGCTGATACATATGAATAAATAAGTAGTCAACTCATAAATGTCTAGTAAAATATAGCTATTTTTGGCCAGGTATGGTGGCTCATACATAACTACTCAGGAGGCTGAGGCAGGAGGTTTGCTTGAGCTCAGGAGTTTGAGGTTATAGTGTGCTGTGACTGTGCCACTATATTCTAGCCTGGGTGATAGAGCGAGACTCTGTCTCTCTCTCATATATGTATATACATATATACACACACACATACATATATATGCACATATACATTTGTATATACAAATACATATTTATTCATTTTAATATGTTATTAGCTATTATCATTTTCCATCATGTGAAAGGGGGTATGGGAGATATGTAAAATGAATATGGCAAACCTACAGATAAAGGACTCAGGAATCGGATGTGTTGAAGACAAGTAAAATCTTAGGATCATGAACAAAATGATTTGTTCTAACAGACTACAGATATGGTCTCTAAGTACAAATGCCTCTATTTTAACTTGGTACATCTCATTTGTTAGTGGTACATAGACACTGATCCATTACCAATGAGAAACTAAAAATAAAGCATTGATTACACTTGTATTCTAACAGAATTGTATAATTAAGTTGGTAATATAATTTTAGAAAAAAATAAAGGAATGTAAATAAAAGATTTCATACTTCCTCAGTTCTGGTATCCTTAGTTTCTCAGAAATTTTTTTTGGTTCTCTGAACCAAAAGAAGTCTCTGGAGAACAGTTCCATTTTTTTAAGTAGTATTAACTTAATAAGTATGTGTTAATACCAAATTGATTAACAATTTGATATTAATTGCTAGTATCTCACAATTTGGTAGATATTTGAAACAAATAAGAAATTGAAAGATAATTGAAACAAATAAGAAATTGAAAGATAAAACTGTTTATTTATTTCATCCTTAAATAAAAATAATTGCATCCTAATGGGACCTGTGTACCTGTTGGGCACTGCACAACTCCTCTAACCTTAGGATCAGATTGGATATCACCATCCAACAGATTTCACCTCTCCTTATGTTTCTCTTGAGTGTTTAAACTACTCCATGGCTACCTATGGGATTGCTGTAATGGCCTGGAGCACATCAGTACCCAGCGGGAAAACCATAAAATATAAATTTTATCCACAGCTAATTCTCATGACACAGAAAAAGAATGTAATATTACTACCTCTCCACAGAAATGTCTAGGGTATCTTTCGTGGGACACTAAAGGGCAGAAGAAAATCAGAACAGCAAGATAAGATTTCCCTTCCAAATTCTATCAGCCACTGTGAACAAGGAACAAGCCACTGAGTCAAGGACTACAACGTATGGAAGAACCAATCATCTCTAAGACTTAACGGAACTGTCTACCTCTTGGTGGGAGGATGCCCTAGGGAATTCAGGAATGCTATCTGCTGACATCCAAGATATGACTTATCAAAGCACTGGCCTTTAAGAAACTACTGGAGAATTAATACACTAAGGCAAGGCCAGTTTGACATGCCCAACCTACTTTGAAATCAGGCAGAGGGAGCTGATAAACACCCAAACCCCCTACTTGCTCAAAATCTAACACCAAAAAGCCTAGCTTCTATACATTTTACAAATTTCTAGGGCCTTTTGGAGAGTCTTTCACACAATAGGCACTCTACTGGATAACTGTTAGCTTAATGATGGAAGGTACATTCAATACAATATGCCTATACTTTCCATTCATTAAAACAGTGGCATTCCCTGACATCAAGTCTGCTCAGGATATATATTATCTTGTCATTAAGATAGAAGTGAGTATACCTACTGAACTTGAGGACAAAATCTGGTCCTAAATATTAGTCATGTACTGTTTCCTCTGTTTTGTTCTGAAAGAAGAATCTTGCTGAGTCTTTTGTCGGAATGGCCTCTACATTTGAAATTATTGAATTCTCTGTGTATTTTTTTATCATACTGAGATGCAGAAGTCAAGAGATTTTGAGAGGTGTTTCATTATCTTTACATAAGTACAAGTCACTAAAGTGGTGTAGACTATTTTTTTAAAGTCGTGTGTGTCCTCTTACCCAGTACTTCCTCTTCATATGCACCTTCTGCACTGCTGCAGCCAACCTCACATGATTCCCACTGTGAAAGACAGGTAACATGCCAGTGAGGGCATCCTTGTTACTGGTTTTCCTAATAAGCTTCAATTAAATTTTGAAATCTGAATGCCTAACATGCAAGTATATCTTTGCCTAATATGTAAGCAAATCTTTGAAATCAGACTGCCTAATACACAAGTGCATCTTTATGTAAACTATTTCTACTGCAGTAAAATTCCCACTTGCTAGACTGGCACTTCCCAAACTTTTGACCATGCTCTGTAACAAAAAGTAATTTAACAAAACAGCTTAGTACACACATACATGTTGGAAAAAAAGATTCCTGAAACAATCCTTACTTTTCCTTCCATTTTAGAAGTTTTATTGAGATATATTCACCCACCATAAACTCACTTATTCAAAGTACACAGTTCAGTGCTGTTAGAATAGTCACAGAGTTGTGCAATAATCACCACAATCTAATTTTAGAACATTTTCCTTTTCTTCAAAAGAAATCCCTTGTCTGTGATGTGCTCTTATATGTTCAATGCTATTCTATTCTATTTTTTCATTTTGTTTAATGTGACTCTTGATTTGCTGAATTGATTTGATGACCTTCTAATGGATCATGTCATATAGGTTGAAAAAACACTGAACTCAGCAGTACAATTATGTGCCTGCCAACTTGGTCGATGTTTTCATGAGCTTAAAACCTAAAACTTTAGACTAAAATGATGCTTAGGGATTACCTATTTATTTTATATATCCTGGTCTTCCTTGGAAAATTAAACATTGATTATAAATTTATATAGTAGCTGAACATTTTAATGAATATCTTTATACCAAGGTTGAGTTTTCAAATCTATGAAAACTTAACGATGTTTACATTTTATCTCATTATTGAAAAATACAGTACACAATTTGATGACTGCAACACAAATTTCCTGCAACTCTTAACAGATGCATTAACATTAGCTACAAAACACACACACATACTTGGAGAAAAGGTACACATTGTTAAAGTACAACACAGTCATGATCTATCTTCCTGTTCTCTTTCAATTTGCGACTATAATACCTAGGACAACATGCTACTGTTTCTCATGATAATAGTGGAAACCATGGCACAATACATTTGCCCTAAAAAATAAGGGCTGTAACTTGCAAATATGAACAGTTCAATGTTTGATCTGCACACTAAAAGGAAGGATGCCTGATAAGTCCAGGTTTGCTTTAGTTAAGGATTAATTTAAACACCTCGGTTTGGGTTTGGAATTACTTAACTTCAAAGTTTAGTATACATTTCAAATACTGTTTACATATTTTAATAAAGCATTCAACATATTTATTAACTGCAGAGAATAAACAAACCAATTTACAGCAAAATTATTGTATAACATGAGGGGTTTTTTTCTTTCAAAAAGAAAACTGAGGAGAAGAAAGGAGACATATTTGGAAATACAGATTATTTTGAAACATAGCTAGTCCTGACAATCAGAGAAAATCGTGTTCCTGTTTTTTCTGATACTTTCAGGGGAAATAGATAATAAAATTCCCATCTTTCTGGGAGTTTAAAAGTTATCTCAAGTGGAGACAAAGCTAACAACTATGTTTCCTTCTACCTCTCTCCCCAACCCATTGTCCCACCCCTTTCACCTCCCTTCACCCCTCCCTGAACCATGGTGGCAATTCAACACTGGACTTCAAATAAAGTTATCCAGTGTTTCTCAAGCTCGAGTTGCCTAGAGAGAATCTAAAGGTGATTGGATTTAAGGAATTTACAGAATCTGAGCCTGAAGCCCTTGGATGGGACATTCATGTGGCATATTGCAAGTTAGTGAGCTGCCATTCCCACAGTGGAAGCCAAGTTTACTCTTCCTGGGGGCTACATTAGCTTGCTCTGTCTGTTCCCGCCCATACTCCCATCTTCCCCATCATAGTCAGACCATCTTTATTGTCCCTCTGGCTCCATCCTTGGTTTCCCAGACTGGCAAATAGACTGCCAGTGCCCTTTCTAGCTTCTGTAACACAAGGAAGACTCCCTCACCACCCTCCATATAAAAGGTGGCATTGTTCCCTTAAATATTGCTCATTTATTTATTCATTCAAGAATACTTTAACAGTTGGCCTTTTTCATGCCAACCATGGTTTTGGGGTCTAAGAATATGACAGTAAGCCAGAAAGTTAAATTCCCTGCCATGCAAGACTTCCCTTAGAAGGAGATAGGTAATAACTGAGTGACAAATTTTTAAAAAGAAAAAATAATTCTAATAATAAAAATTGCCAGGAAGAAAATAAGCCAAAGGCATAGGGTATAACTGTTTGAATGTAGGAAGCTTATTATTTTTGCAATTCATATTTCTTGGAGAGAGTAATCTTGAAAGTGATATCTCAGTGAAATAGATCTTAGAAAATAGCCAAAAGACCAACAGGCAATTAGATCTAATTTATGTTTTCAATTATCAGGGATTTCACTAGCTATTGTCATTTTCCAAGTTCTATTTCACTGACCTATCACTTTCAAGATTATTCCCTCCAAGAAATATGAATTGCAAAAATAACAAGCTTCCTACGTTCAAACATTAATGATTAAGGAGTCTGATTTCCTAAAGGTGTGGACAACTGAGATGACAGACAGACAGACAGAATAGATAGATGATAGACTGATAGAAGACAGAGAAGATTGATTCATTGAGATACATATAGCATGTATTCCTCTTCAGTTCTACTTTATTTAAAGTGAAACATTTTAAAGTGTAAAATAGCAAAGTATAAAGAGAAAAAATAGAATAGTTATACAAGTTATAACACTGAGAGGAAAGATTTACGCTATATAAGCACAGAAAACTGAACAGCATAATGATTAACAGAGAACTAGCACATTAGAAATCCAATCCTGGGCTGCTTCAGTGCTTGAAAGACTCTCTCCCTGATTTTCCTGACAATGGTACATTTACCCTAGGGACTATTCTTTGCGGGTAATTTTGCTTTCATCACATAAAAGGATTTGCAGACAACTTTTTTTCTATCTCAATCAGGAGAGACCTTTAATTGTCTCTTTACATATGGGTGACTTTTCCCCTCTGTTTTCTCTCTTAGCCAACCCTCACCTCCACCCATTCCCAAGAAAAATTGCTCAGACACAATTTTTATAACCAGCTGGTAACAACTGAGAAAATATTCCAATTTAATTTTTTGTTTGTATTTTTGCTCCCTAGTAAGAGGGAATTTTTCTGTTTTACTAATGGATGATAATTTATACTCCTTCCCCAGGCTTCTGGTCACCAGTTTCAAGGATATTTCAATAGAATACAACATAGGTTTTAATGTTTTTTCCCTTAGGGGACAGTCGTGCTATGTTTCCCAGGATGCTCTCAAATTCCTGACCTCCAGCAGTCCTTCTATTTCAGCCTCCCAAGTAGCTGGGACTACAGGTGCACACGATCATACCCAGCCACCATAGGCTTTAAACTAATAAATAAGGTAGCTTCTTCATATCACCTATTGTCAAATAAACTTATTTTGAAGGGATGAAATACAGAACAGGTAAGCTTAGTTGAAGACCAAGTAGGAAAAGATCAAAATGTCAAGGTCTCTTTGAAAAAGAGAAAATCAAGTGCAGCAGAGGTTGCTTAGAGGACCATAAGGACACCTGGAAGGGGCAGTGTGGGACACCACTTACCATTGTGGGGAAGGGCAGGAGAAGCTGTGTTGCAAAATGTTGGCAAAGGATTTTGTTGCATAAGAAAGAAAACTGAGGCCAGTCATGGTGGCTCATGCCTGTAATCCCAGAACTTTGGGAGGCCGAGGTGGGTGGATCACTTGAAATCAGGAGTTCGAAACCAGCCTTGTCAACATGGCAAAACCCCATCTCTACTAAAAATACAAAATTAGCCAGGCGTGGTGGCACGGGCCTGTAGCCCTAGCTACTTAGAAGGTTGAGGCAGGAGAATCACTTAAACCCAGAGGCGGAGGCTGCAGTGAGCTGAGATTGCAACATTACCCTACACCCTGGGTGACAGAGCAAGACTGTGAGAAGAAAGAAAGAGAAGAAAGAAGGAACAAAAGAAAGAAAGAAGAAAGAGAGAGAAAGAGAAGAACAGAGAAGAAAGAAGAAAAAGAAAAAAGAAAAACGAAAGCAAGAAAAGACACAGTTGCAATTAAAGGATTCTCTTTTAATGTCCTATATTTAATGATAGAGCACTATACATTGTGGGGAAGAAAACGTAATCAGCAGAAATGTCTCTGAATGTACCGCTTCTTCCTCCCCTCTCCATTTCCCCAACTCCAACGCCCCAAACCAGAGCAGAGTAATACACACACACACACACACACACACACACACACACACAGAGTGAATGTGCATGTATCTATATACAAACATATATATACATATAATATATGTGCACATAGATACATAAAATAGTAAATATTTGTGCCAAAATGGAATTTTACAGTCATTTTTATACTCAGAGTAATAGCACTTTCAGGAAGAATGTCTCTGTGCACTGAGAATACCTTCGGTTTCTGCACTCCTACTTTAAAAGCTTTTTAGAGACCAGAGATAAAGACATGAGGCTTGATGACATCTTTTTTTGGGATTGCCAACTCACCTCACAAACAGTGGTATAAGTGTCATTCTGTATAGAAAAAAAAAAAAGAAAGAAAGACTACTTAAAATCTTGAAAGTTGTAAATAATTTTAGTGACACTGAGCTGTACATATATTTCAAATTAATTTCTTGCCCCTCCATTGATAAATGACCAAACAAACAAAAGCAACGGAGCCCAAAGCTGGAGCTCTTATCTAGGCAAGACACTATACAAGGAGCTCTAAAAACAGTAAACTGTTTGCATCACTGGAAAAATGGGAGAATATGATATCCACTAGAAAAATCTCAGCAGGCTAAAATAATCTGTGGTGGACCAAGTTAGAGAGTGAGGGAGTATTTGCAAATGCCAAAAGGAAACAGAACAGGAAGTGAAAACCACCAATAGCTCTTGCTAGCAAAGGACAGCAGATTCCTCTGCCCATGCTGGCCCCTCCAGCAGCCACAAAGCCTCCTGAATTGTTGCCCAGCAACAAATGATGCTTCCCATTCATTCCTTCAGCAAATGTTGACTGAGCAGCTGCTATATGCCCCTCACTGCATTCGACGCAAGAGATAACAATCTAAAAAAGACGGACAGCATCCTGCCCCAGTGGTGCTAATTCGTTGAGATAAAAGATACAAAACACACAACTAGACAAATTGTTTGAGCTGCAATTTCTGAGAAATATTTAATAGCTACTAAGTCCAGATAGCACATGATCTACATTTCGGTAACTTCCATTCTGTAAGGCAACATAATAACATAAAAAATAAAATATCTGGGCATGTATTTCCTATATAAAAGGGAGTAAACCAGGTGTTTGCAGCCCTGAATTAGATACCTGCCATATTTCCTGCATAGAAACTTTGAACATGACCTACGGCCCTGCAATCCAAAATGTGATCTGGGGACCAACAGCCTTGCATCACTTGGGAGCTTGTAACAGGTGCAGAATTTCAGGCCCCACCCAAGACATACTGAATCAGAATCAACATTTTAAAAAGATCCCGGATAATTGTACATTAAAATTTGAGAACATAGACCTAGGAAATTTAACAAATACCAAACAGTCTACTAAAAGAAATTTATAGTTTGGGAGCAATTGAGCATCCCTGGGTTCTATGATTTGCATTAAACTTCCTTGACCTCTAGCAGCATTAAAAATGTTAATCTCAATCTCTTTTTTATTGCTATGTATTATCCATGCTAACGGCTTTTTAGTTTAGTTTTGGTTTGTCTTAGGGTCAATCAAACTAGTTGAAAGCCAATGGAAATGCAAATGAGACTCCTCTTACAAAACTTTCCCCTTGAAAGAAACAACGGTATCAAAATAGAAACCTAATGAATACTTACACACTTTAAAGCACAGTTTTTCTGATCTACAGAGTTCCAAAAGTGACATCCTTGGATGCACTGGAAGAGACAATAACAAACAAGAGTGAATGATTGAAGAAATGTGACTTTTTCTCATCACCTGAACGTACAACATGGTAACACAAAGCAGCACCCTGTGTTTTAGAAATAGAAATCTACCAAGAAACTTGAGGCCTCCAAAGGATCAGGACTTTCGGGGTTCCAGACAGAGCTGTCCTATCTACAGGTAGAAGGCGGCTTGTGGCTTACTACAGGGCAGCCAAATTACTGAGTGGAGTTAAGCCTGGCATGAGCAGGCCTAGAAGCCAGAGAACAGCCAATCTTCAGGGAAGACACTGTACACTGGGTAGTTGTCAAAGGTAAAGCCCAGGACAACGTGGCATTTAGTATATCCTAAGGTGTCCACACGTGTCAAGTAAAACTCAAAACTGGAGATTCAACCAGATGGTAGCACGTTGAAACCTAAATAGGTAGGCAGTTTGGGGAGTCGGCTGTCTACTAGCAGCTTTCGCCCCACAGCTGCCCTGAAAACTCTAAGCTGCCCTGACCTGCTAGTAGGCAGATTCGACAGGTTTCTTCTTACCTTACTTGATCCATCTGTGCCTGTCTTGACCACCACTCCTTCCACAGGCCATGGTGGCACCTGGATTCCTTTTTCCTACTTTGCCATCTCTTTTTTCCTCTCTCCACCCCTTTGGTGTTTGTGTTCTATCCTCACCTTTTTCTCCTCACACTCTTCTAGTTCTCCTGGAGCGAGTTCATCCCCTACCGCAGCTTCAGGTGATCTTGGTGTTGATATTCCCCAAACTTTTAACTGCAGCTGAGGCTCCTTCCTGAGCTCCAGACCCAGATATCCACTCGCTCATTGGATATCTCTGTTTAAGTTCCTACAAGCACTTCAAATTCATCATGTGGAATTCAATTCCTCACTTTCCATCCTCAGATTTGCTCTTTCTCCTGTGTCTCCCATTAACACGCTACATTCTCCTGAGTGGTCCAAACCAGGAGCCAGGGTGTCGTCTTCTCTCATCCCACTCTCCGTTCTTATGGAAAACCCATCGCTAAGTTCTACTGACTCATCTGGTCATTAAAAATCTATCTGGGTTCATCACTCACTGCCTCGATTTTCTGCTGTGCCAATGCCACTTGCCAAAAACCTCAGGGAGATCCCTCTTGTTCCCACATTTGGAGTGATCTTTTTGAAACAAAACCTGGTCGCACTCTTCTCTTACCTAAAACTCTGTATGTCTCTTCACCATCTTGTGGGTTAAGACCAACTTAGCAAGCATGACAGACAAAGCCCTTCATGATCTGGTTCCATGTAACTTGACAACTGGTCTTCCACCTCCCTACCTTCTACACATGTACCCCATTTTCCAAGCAAGCTGAAATACTCAGGTTCTTAAACAACTTAACAACTTAGCAACAAATACTCAGTTCTTTTACAACTTTAACAACTTAGGCTACTTCACACCTTTGTTTAACAAATTAACAAATACTCAGTTAAGGACTTTAACAACTTGAGGCTCCTTCACACCTTTGTGTCTTGACACTAATGGCCCTGTCTCATCAATATGCCTTTTCCCCTTTAGTCCATCTGGAAAACTCTTCCTCTTTCTAGTTTTAGTTTGAAGGTCTTGCAGGCAAGTGTGATGCCTTTTACCTTTACGTATTCTCTTTTTACTCTTCACACACACCACACTTCTGGTTCTGATGATACTATCTGGCCATGGTTTTATGTGTGTTTGTGTCTCTCTGGTTTTAAGTATGCATCGCAAAAAGGTTGAGAGTTCTTTTAAACAGAGACCCTATTTTTTCCATTGTTAAATTTCTAGTTCCTGGCACAGTGTCTTGTGCATACTTATGCCTCAAGTCTCTAAACACTTGTGAAACAAATGAACGCATGTGCAGAACAGCAATAAAACCATAAAATGTAATTGTTAGAAGAAATTCTATCAAATAACATAGAACAAAGCTAAATCTCAGAAAAATTAAGTAATTTGTCGGAAGCTATGCAGTTATATAGAGACAAAATCATGCACCTGGATTGGTCCTGTGCTGTTTCCACTTCAACACACTTCCTTTTTATATAAATTCAGACTTCTCATTATTTTCAATTGGTCTTCTTCCAGCAAGGATAAATGATATTTTACTTAGCAATTCTTGCTGTAATAAAACCTGATCATGGTCCCTTCATTATCAACACAAACATTGTAAAATTCTTGACAACTGAAGCAGTTACTTACCGGTTCACTCAGATTATGTGGTGTGCCAAGGTCAAGCTGCCGGCCCTGAAATGAAGGAGATAGTAAACACCAGCCATCAGTACTGGGTTCCGTGTAACTAATACACCTTTTAAAAAGGCTTCCTGAAATAATGTTGCCTCCTCGGCATTTTGTAACTGTAAAATAAGGAGCCAAATGTTTTAAAGGCATTAAATCCATCACTACCAGACAAAATGCTCATGCAAATTATAAACATAATGCCAAAGAATTTTGTAGGAACTACAAAGGTGGGAGTAAGGGTGTGGCAATTAAATAAACCTGTGGCATTGGTCAGTTATCAAGTCAAAGGAGTCCTAAATTAGTGATGAATTGTGTTCAGATTTTTCTTTTTAAAATCAAGAGCCGGGAGAAAATGCAAATTGGTATACAATAAACCATAAGATTATTATTTTGTTTCTCACATACAAATTGTAGGAACTTTTTTATACTGGAGGAAAATAAAAGAAATGGGAACTAAGCACAGAGATCTATAAATTGCTCATTGTCTCTCTGGTCATAACTTGAGTAGAGTCTGTCATAAACAAGACCGTTTACAAAGGATAGAAATACTGGGCCTGTGATAATCAGGTAAGTACCCAAATAGTGGACCGTGCTTGGTAGAGGGAAGAGAGCAGCATTCTGTTACTGTGCTCACGGAGCATAAGCCTCCTATTTATTCATTTGGCTTTTCACGCCATCCTCAACACCAAGAACAGTGCCTGATGGAAATAGGTGTTCAATAAATACAGATATGCCAAAGGAGTAAATCCATGAATTCAAAGAGGTTTCTCATGTACGGATGCTCCAGAAGTCCCCTGGAAACATTATCCAATGGCTTAATATTGTGTGGATTGACTTGAAAAGTAATCAGACTCAAAAACCAAAGAACAAATGTTGCCTATTTTTTCTTTTTTGAAGCATGAGTGAGGATTCCTTTAAACTCCATAACCAGTTATATTTGCAGGCAAAGAAGAAGGATGATTATTTGATTTTGTTTTTAGATAACGAGCATTTAGACAGTAAGAACTCTGTTAGATGAATTTTGCAACCAAGTGCTTCATATTACTTTGTTTCCATGATTTTGTTCAAAAGGTGGTTGAATCGCAAGCATGTAAAAATCAGGTGAGAGATAATGAGTTCAAAATTGAATCTTTTCCTACTCCTTCAAAAATGTATTTTAACTCATAAAAGCAAAAGGGTGAGTGCTAAGTAGTCTTTGTGTTGTATTTTAATAGTAGGAGAGCAGAGATATTACTTGATGATCATAGTCACATTGTAACAGCACTGAGTCCTTCTGGATGGATCTTCTCTGGAGTAAATTTAACAGGCTGAGTGAAATGACCATCAAGTGGTCTTGGGAAAGGTAACCTCAACAGTCGGGTCTAAGGGTTTCCGATGAGGCAGATTTTGTCAACACTCTTCCCTAATCTCCATTCATTCCCCATTCTCTTCCTCGTAATTATAATAGCTAACATATATTGAATTATTGCCATATTTCAGGTACTCTTGCAGGTGTTTTACACTAAATCTCACTGAATCATCTCAGCAACCCTATAAGGTAGGTGCTATAATTAACCTCATTTTACAGCTGAGGCGCAGGAAAGTTTAGTAAATTACCTGGGTTAGGATTTGAAGGCGGCAGGGTGATTGTCTCCAGAACCTGTGCTCTTAACCAGATGCCTTCCATGATCTCCAACAAAATCACATTTTTCATTTTGAACATTAGGATCCCCACTGGTTTACTTCGGCTCCAACTATTCCAATTATCTGCTTCCAAGAGTCAAACTCAGTCCCAGATCTCAAACTTTCTTAACCTAATAACTACTTCCTGACGTTAAGTTTTCTATTCCGCCAAGCTCAGCCAAAACTAATCTCATTTTTACTTCCTACCCTATTTAAATGGAACAGAGTAGAATGATCTGTATTTTAATTCCACATGATATTTTCTCTCAATGTGATATTTTCAAAGTTACCTGTGCCATCCAAACTTAGTGTTCGCATCCCGGACATAAGTAGGATAATACTTAATTCATAAGCTTCTGTGAAGATTTAATTAAATCCATTAATTACTACAGTGCAGTGCAGGCACTTGGGAATTTATTAGTAGTATTAGGTCCCAACTTGCTGTTAACATCCTTTTGCATACATATCTTTGGTTAGTTATGGAATAATATCCTCAGATAAATTTCTTCATGTACAAGATTAGAGGTATATTTTCTCTTTTAATTTTGACATTCAATAATTTTTTCTAGAAATTTATCCATTTACATCCCAACCAACAATTCATGAAAATGGCAGTTTACCCATACTTTTTCGAGCTATAAATGCTTTTATCTTTACCAATTTGATAGAAGAAAAACTGATAATTTATTTTTACTCCACAATTCTGTGGTTGCTGTGAGGTTGAATATTACATGCTTTTGAGCCATTTATATTTTTTTATATATACATATATTTAAAATGTTAACATATATACAATTGTACATATAAAATAATATATGTATACAATTGTATATATATGTACTATATATATACAAATATGTAAAAATTTTATTATATATAAAATTTCCAATAGCTTTTGGGGTACAAATGGTTAAGTGGTTTTTGGTTACATGGATACATTGTATAGTGGTGAAATCAGATACCTTAGTGCACCTGTCACCCAGGTAGTATATACTGCACCCAACATGTAGTTTTTTCATACCTCACTCCTCTCCTTCCCTCCCCCTTCTGAGTCTCCAAAATCTGTTATACCACTCTGTGTGTTTTTGTGTACCCATAGCTTAGCTACCACTTATAAGTGAGAACATAGTGTATTTGGTTTTTCATTCCTGGCCAAATAATGGCCTCCAGGTCCATCCATGTTGCTGCAAAGACATTATTTCATTTCTTTTTATAGCTGAGTAGTATTCCATGGTGTATATATGTAACTTTTTTTAATCTTCTCATTGGTTAATGGACACATACTTCTTTTTTGAAGTAGCTGTTTATATTCTAAATTCATCTTACATGCTTTTATTTGTATCAGGGACTTTTTTCTTTTTTCTTTTTTTTTTTTTTTTTTTTTTTTTTGGAATAGAGATGGGGTTTCTCCATGTCAGTCAGGCTAGTCTGGAACTCCTAACCTTGTGATCCACCTGCCTCAGCCTCCCAAAGTGCTGAGATTACAGGCATGAGCCACTGTGCCTGGCCTGGATTTTTTTCTTTAAAAAAATTATTTATCATGTGTAATACTCCACTTTTTGGCTTTGCTGTTATTGTATTCTGTTTATTGTCATAACAGTTTAAGTTTCTAAGTAGCCAAATTTACTGATAATTTCATTTTAGGGAGTATGAATTTTTAAAATTAGGCTTCTTAAGGCATTTCTACTTCAAGATTATAGAAAGAGTAACCCCTAATTTCTTCTAGTATTTTTATGAGGTAAACTCTTACTTTGTTTTATTTCTTTGTCTGTCTGTATTTAAATAATACCTTTTTCTTTTTGTTTTTGTTTTTTTGAAACAGAGTCACCCAGGCTGGAATGCAGTGGTGAGATCACAGCTGACTGCAGCTTCGACCTCCCGGTTCAATCAATCCTCCCACCTCAGCCTCCTGAGTAGCTGGGACAAAATGTGCACACCACGATGCCCAGCTAATTTTTGTATTTGTTGTACAGACAGGGGTCTCACCATGTTGCCCAGGCTGGTCTCAAACTCCTGGGCTGAAAGGATCTGCCTCCCTCAGCCTTCCATAGTGCTATAATTACGGGCATGAGCCTTCACACCCAACCAAAAATTGTACCTTTTTACAAAATATATCCTGAAATTTGTTTGAATCTGGCAGTTATGTAGGAATTCTTTATTCTAAATGGATAGCAACTTATTAGCTTGAATTGTCATCTTTATCATATTTCACATTACCTTATGTACATGGTTTTATTTCTCAATTGTATTGTTTTACTCACAGGTTGTTTCATGTATCAATAAAAACTATGCTAATTTGTGGATATTTTATACAATTTCTGCATTATGATCTTGTTATATTATCTTGTTTTAATGTTATGTATTTATATACAAGACAAGTATTGATGTCTATCCATTAATTTTTAAAAATCTTCCAAATGCTGTTATTCCTAATAGTCTTTCAGTTGATTTTTGGTTTATTTCTTTGGAACTTTAGATGCAAATAAAAAATGAATGTTTTGTCATCACCCTTTAATACAATAAAAACATATCATGTTTGTAATAGCTTTTAACTGTCTAGTGACAGCAACCTTGGTACCTCATCAGTATTTGATAACTTCCTTTAGAGCACTGATTACATAATTTACTTCTTTTGTATTGCCAATTGCATCCCCCACAGAGTTGAATATACATCAATACATAGGAAAATTTATCGAATGGAATTGATACTCCTAACTGAGCCCTTGTCAATGTTAGTTCCTCAGTTGTTGTGATTTGTTAATTTAAAAAAAAAAAGAGAGAGAGAGATTTGTGATGTAATTCAGGAATGGAAAACCAAACATCATACGTTCTCACTAGTAAGTGAGAGCAAAGCTATGAGGACACAAAGGCATAAGAATAATACAGTGGACTCTGGGAACTCGGGAAGAGTGGGAAGGGGAAGGAGGGATAAAAGACTACAAATATGGTGCAGTATATACTTGGTTGATGGATGCACCAAAATCTTACAAATCACCACTAAAGAACTTACTCATGTAACCAAATACCAATTGTACCCCCAATAACTTATGGAAACATTCCAAAAAGGGTTTTGTTGCTAAAGAAGATGGGGAAATTATAATTAATAATTATAATTATGCTATCGTGCCATGTGGATCAACAAAAAGAGAGCATAGCAAAATACACTTCTACAAATTACTCAACCATGAATTCTTTTTTCTTTTTCATAAAGGATCTCACAATACTAGTGTTCTGAAGAGCATTAATCATTTGTTGTTTTCTGCAGTACATGGCATCTAGAATTCAAAAAAAATCTTTTAATTCTTTAAACTAATACATGCAGATCTCTGTTAATGTAAGCTAAAATTAATGTAAAATACCCATGCTCAAGCATAGAACTGTGCTTTGTGCATTTTGGTCCGCAGTTCTAACATTTTCTTTTTTTGGACTAGACATTTTTGTGTTTTTCTTTTTTAAGGAAACATGCCTCAATATCAAGAATCAACCAATAAAATTATAGATGACCTTCAGAGTAAATGCTTATGTTTTTAAAAATGGCACAGAAAATATAATAAATTTGAGCACTTTGTATATCCTCTCCTGTGAACAATGGCTACATTCAATTGTTTATTCACTTCACTTTTGTCCCTCCAAGCCCTGTGTGGGAACATGTTGTACTTTCACTGGTCAAATTGGCAGACTGGGTCTCTCTTGCTGTCGTCGCATATCAGCTGTGCTTTTCTGTGTAGGTGGTGAACGGAAGGCAACTCAACAAAGGAACAAAGTGTCTGTTCCTACTGCCAAATCCTGAAAGCAAGGAGCCCACACAAAAAGATAAGAATAAATGAAACTACAGTAAAATAAAATGGAGACTGCAATATTGGAAACAACCAAAATCAGTTTCAGTAGTGGGGAAATTAACAAATAAATTATGGTAGTACAGTCATATAATGAAATACTCTAAAGATATTAAAGATTCTGTTTCTTAAAAAATTTCAGGGTCTAGGGGAAAACTCAATATAATGTAATGGAAAAGCTGGATGCATAGCTGCGTGTAAATTATAGATGCATACATACACGTATATATATATGAGAAAAAATACTAGAAGAAAATTCAATCAAAAGCTTACTGGGGCACGATTATAAAGTTTTTTTTATTCTTCTCTAGTTGTATATCTTATAAATATTTTATTTAAAATGTATATTCTTATAATTAAAATAATTAAAATCTTTTTAAAACATTTATTAGTTCCACTCTTCCATTTTTAAGTTTGGGTTACAAATATAAAAAAACTAAAGCATGCAATTCTATATTAAAGGCAATGAAATCATTGGTAAAGATTTATATAAAATACTAAACTTTTTTAAAAATGCTATTAACCACAGTAAGCCTAAGTATTGTTTTAAACTACAGTTTAAACTAAATCAAAAGTAAGTACAAGTTTCTTTTTTAATCTGTCACAGAATTCTATCTCCAACACTTCAGCATAATATAATCAGCACTATATTTATTACTAGTATTATGTTTAAAACTAAATTACAGCAGAAAAGAGATGATACAATATTTACAGAGGGGATGATATCCAGAAATGAGAATGAAATCATAAATTTCCATATAAAAAACTCACTAACTAAAATTATAAATGCATAAACAGAAATAAAGAAATGTATAAACAATTATTGCTTTAAAATATATTATTTTACATGGCATCTGTATCATGTCATCATTCCTTGGTCATCCAGCTCCCTACACATTATCCATCTCTGATGTAATTATTACTGTTATGCTGGAATTAACAGGCATTATCCTGTGGCCAAACTTATTTCATGTTTCAAGATAACTATTAATGACTTTGTAACAAGTGAGTTTAAATTGAATTTTTTAAGTGTGCAAAATTGATTCCATTTAAACCTCCTTTACCCAATCCTTTAGCCCAAAAACAAAAACATGACCAGTTACCCTAAAGAAATAAAATACTCTGCTTTATCTTCTGCAATTATAAGTGCTCCTAACTTATTTAAGAAAAAATAATCTATCTTGCCTTGCTGCCACCACTTCTCATAAGAAAACTCCTCCTAAAGAAAAAACAATTCTACCAGTTATAACAAGCTGAATTCTACATGTTCCAGTTCCTGCAAAGACAAATATTAGATTGTGAGACTTACCAGATTAGTTACACACGATTTTAGGCAGCTATTTAAAACTGTACACTGCACCACAGAAATCCATAGGCAGCCAAGAGTTGCAAAATTGGCAAGTTTCAGAATAAGCCAGTAAATGTTCTTCATCACTTCACCAATGGCGGATTTTTAGATAGCCAGTCTTCTAATTTTCTCCATTTTGCCGTATGAATTATTTGGGCTTCATCACTTCAATTGAAGGAGTAGCTAATGGATTTTCTTTTGTTTGTCTTGCTGTATTAGAATATATTCGACTTTTGAAATAATATTTAGACCTTTGAAATCCTTGAAAGCTTGTAACAGTTCCAAAATAGCTATTTCACAACAGCTTCCTTTTACTCCCATAAAGAAAGTCACCCACTGAATAAAGATTAGTTTTTAGAAGAGCACTTCACATGGAAATTAAAGAAACGCAAATTGTATTTCAGCAAGGGTGTGAAACACGCATAACCTGAAACTGGAACATTTCAGTGGGTCGTCCACTACGTTCTCCACCTTACTTCTCTGAGCTCCTTTCAGCTCTGCAGGAAATTAGGTTTGACCACGTATGCCTTAGCAAACAGTAGCACTATTATAATAAAGAATTATTGAAAAAATAAAAGCACCCAACTCAAGCACTGCAACTGAGAGGGAAAACAGAACTCTGAAGCCAAACACATATTTTTAAATTTAAGAGCAAACAAAGCTGAAATTAATAGACAAATACCCTGGGAGTTAAAAACAAGGAAGTTCACTAGAGCACTCTCAGAACTTCACTACATATTAACTAAAATACTGCCTTATCAGGTCTATTGAAACAGCTGAAACTAGTTACCAGAAACCTAAGATATGTACAAGTGTCTGCCTTGAGAAGGAAACATTATACAGGTTTTTTTTATTTTGAGACCGACTCTCACTCTGTCGCCCAGGCTAGAGTTCAGTGGCGCCATCCTGGCTCAGTGCAACCTCAGCCTCCGAGTTCCAGCGATTCTCCTGCCTCAGCCTCCCAAGCAGCTAGGATTACATGCACGTGCAACCACGCCCAGCTAATTTTGTATATGTAGTAGAGACGGGTTTTCTACATGTTGGTCAGGCTGATCCCCCCACCTTGGCCTCCCAAAGTGCTGGGATTACAGGTGTGAGCCACTGCACTAGGCCATATTGTACAGAATTTCAATTAGTCAAGCATGAAGATAAAATTAAGCTGAAGCCTAAAACAAAGAATTTGAAATCTACAAAGTATGGAAGAGAATTATTCTCGATAGCTACTTTTTAGATTGTTAGAGTTAACTCTTAAAAGCCAGATATTTTTGTAGTGATGCCATCTACATGGCAAGCTGAGGTGTTGAATAAACTTCCTTGTTTTCTTTTCTTTTTTTCTCTTTTTTTTTTTTCTTTTTTGTTTTGTTTTGTTTTTTGAGACGGAGTCACACTCTGTTGCCAGGCTGGAGTGCAGTGGCGCAATCTTGGCTCACTGCAACCTCTGCCTACCGGTTCAAGCAATTCTCCTGTCTCAGCCTCTCGAGTAGCTCAGACTACAGACGGGCACCACCACAACTAATTTTTGTATTTCTCGTAGATATGGGATTTCACCATGTTGGCCAGGATGATCTCGATCTCTTGACCTCGTGATCTGCCCACCTCAGCCTCCCAAAGTGCTGGGATTACAGGCGTGAACCACTGCGCCCGGCCAGCTTCCTTGTTTTCTTAAATAAATTGTACTAAATGTAACTTAACCTTTTCTTAATAATATAAGGTTCTCATTATGAGTAACACATGCCTGAGATTTTGTTTTGAGCCGAACGTCTTTATCATTGGATTTTTTTTTCAATTTTTGTGGGTACACAGTAGGTGTATAGATTTATGGGGTACAGATGTTTTGCAACAGGTAGGCAATGTGAAGTGAGCACATCGTCAAGAATGGTGCATCCATTCCCTCAAGCACTTATCCACTGAGGTGCTAACAATCCAAGTACACCCTAAGTCATTTTAACATGTACAGTTTTGACTATACATATTAAACTATTATTTTTAATATGTTTATTATTATTGACTATAGTCACCCTGTTGTGCTATCAAATAGTAGGCCTTCTTTATTCTTTCTACATTTTTTGTACCCATTAACTGTTCCCATCTTCCACCCCCTACTCCACCCACCACAACCCTTCCCAGCCTCTGGCAACCATCCTTCTACTCTCTATGTCCATGAATTCAATTGTTTTGATTTTTAGATCCCACAAATAATTGAAAACACGCAATATTCACCTTTCTGTGCCAACATCAATTCACTTAACATAATAATCTCTAGTTCCATCCGTGTTGTTGCAAATGACTGAATATGGCTGAATGGTTCTTAATTGTGTATATGTACCACATTTTCTTTATTCATTCATATGTACCACATTTTCTTTATTCATTCATCTGTCAATGCACACTTAGGTTGCTAGCAAATCTTAGCTATTGCAAACAGTGCTGCAACAAACATTAGTATGCACATATCTATTTGATACACTGATTTCCTTTCTTTTGGGTATACACCCAGTAGTAGAATTGCTGGATCATACAGTAGCTCAATTTTTAGTTTTTTGAGGAAACTTCAAACTGTTCTCCATAGTGGTTGTATTGATTTACATTCTCACCAAAAATGTACAAGGGTTCCCTTTTCTCCACGTTGCCACCCGCATTTATTATTGCCTGTCTTCTGGATATAAGCCATTTTAACTGAGTAAGATGATATCCCATTTTAGTTTTCTTTTGCGTTTTTCTGATGATCAATGATGTTTGAACACCTTTTCATATGCCTGTTTATCATTCATATATCTTCATTTGAGAAATGTCTATTCAAATCTTTTGTATGTCCTTTAATTGGATCATTAGATTTTTTCCTATAGAGTTGTTTCAGCTCCTTATATATTCTGGTTATTAATCCCTTGTCAGATGGGTAGTTTGCAAATATTTTCTCCCATTCTAGGGGTTGTCTCTTTACTTTGTTAATTGTATCCTTTGCTGTACAGAAGGGTTTTAACTTGATATGATCTTGTTTGTCCATTTTTGCTTTGGTTACCTGTGCTTGTGGGGTATTGCTCAAGAAATTTTTCCCTAACCAATGTCCTAGAGATTCCCCCATGTTTTTTGTAGTAGTTTCATAGTTTGAGGTCTTAGATTTAAGTCTTTAGTCCATTTTGATTTGAGTTTTGTATATGGAGAGAAATGGGGTTCTAGTTTCATTCTTTTGCATACTGATATCCAGTTTTCCCCACAGCATTTATTGAAGAGATCGCCTTTTCCCCGGTGTAAGTTCTTGGCATCTTTGTCAAAAATGAGTTTACTGTAGGTGTGTAGATTTGTTTCTGGGTTCTCTAGTCTGTTTCATTGGTCTATGTGTTTATTTTTATGCCAGTACCATGCTGTTTTCATTACTATAGCTCTGTAGTACAATTTGAAGTCAGGTAATGTAATTCCTCCGGTTTTATTCTTTTGCTTAGGATTGCTTTGGCTATCCGAAGCCTATTCTTGGTCTCTTGTGGTTCAATATATATTTTAGGATTGTTTTTTCTATTTCTGTGAAGAATGTCATTGGTATTTTGATAGGGATTGCATTGAATCTGTAGATTGCTTTGGGGAGTATGGACATTTTAACAGTATCGATTCTTCCAATCAATGAACATGGAATTTTTTTCCCAATTTTTGTGAATCCTAATCAGTGTCTTTAATCTGTGTTTTATAGTTTTCATTGTAGAGATCTTTCACTTCTTTGTTAATTCCTAGATACTTAACTTTATTTGTAGCTATTGTAAATGGGATTGCTTTTTTGAATTCTTTTTCAGATTGTTCATTCTTGACATATAGAAATTCTGCTACTGATTTTTGTATGTTAGTTTTGTATCCTGCAACTTTACTAAATTTGCTTATCAGCCATAGTAGTTTTCTTGTGGAGTCTTCAGGTTTCTACAACTTTAAGATAGATCATCTGCAAACAAGGATATTTTGACTTCTTCCTTTCCAATTTGGACACCCTTAATATCTTTCTCTTGTCTGCTTGCTCTAGTTGGGATGTCCAGTACTGTGTTGAACAACAGTGGTGAAGTGATCATCCTTGTTATGTTCCAGACGTTACGGAAAAGGCTTTAAGTTTTTCCCCATTCAGTATAACATTAGCTGTGGGTAGTTTATATGTGACTTTTATTATGGTGATGTATGTTCCTTCTATTCCCAGTTTTTTAAGGGTTTTTATCATAAAGGGACGTTGAATTTTAACAAATGTTTTTTCAGCACCAATTGAAATTACCATATGGTTTTTATCCTTCATTCTTTTGATATGACGTATCACACTGATTGATTTGTATATGTTGAATCATCTTTCCATCCCAGGGATAAACTCCACTTGGCCATGATGAATGGTCTTTCTAATGTATTGTTGAATTCAATTTGCTAGTATTTGGTTGCAGACTTTTGCATCAATATTCATTAAAGATTGGCCTGTAGTTTTCTTTTTTGGTGTGTCTGTGTCTGGTTTTAGTGTCAGGATAATTCTGATATCAAGGAATGATTTTGGAAGTATTCCCTCCTGCTCTGTTTTTCAGAATAAATTGAGTAGGATTGGTATTAGTTTTTCTTTAAATGTTTGCTAGCACTCAGCAATGAAGTATTAGGTCTCAGGCTTTTCTTTACTGGGAGACTTTATTACAGCTTCAATCTCATTACTTGTTATTGGTCTGCTCAGGTTTTGGATTTTTTCCTCTTCCAATATTGGCAGGTTATATGTATCCAGGAACTTCTCCACTGCTTCTGTGTTTCCATTTATTAGCATATAGTTGCTCATAGTAGCCACTAATAATCCCTTGAATATCTGCAGATATCAGTTGTAATGTCTCCCTTTTCATTTTGATTTTATTTATTTTATCTTCTTTCTTTTTTTTCCTCAGTCTGGCTAAAGGTTTGTCAATTTTATTTAACTTTTCAAAATAATGTTTTTGTTTCAGTGATATTTTTTCCATTTTTTTTTCCTGCTCTGATCTTTATTATTTCTTTTTCTCTACTAATTTTGGGTTTGGTTTGCTCTTCTTGCCCTTCTAGTTCTTTAAAATGCATCATTAGATTGTTCATTTGAAGTTTTTTCTTTCTTTCTCTTTCTTTCTTTCTTTCTTTCTTTCTTTTTTTGGTATAAGCATTAGAGCTATAAAATTCTCTCTTAGTGCAGCTTTTGCTGTATGCCATAGGTTTTGGTATATTGTGTTTTCATGATCATTTGTTTCAAGAAATTTTTCAATTTGCTTCTTAATTTTTTCATTGACTCACTGGTCATTCAGGAACATATTGTTTAAATTCTATGTATGTGAATCATTTCC